TGCGGCGATGAGCATTCGCCGCCTCGATGAAACCATCGTCAACCGGATCGCCGCCGGCGAGGTCGTCGAACGACCCGCCTCGGTGATCAAGGAGCTGGTCGAAAACGCCATCGATGCCGGCGCGTCCCGGATCGAGATCGCAACCGCCGGCGGCGGCAAGACGCTGATGCGCGTCATCGATGACGGCCACGGCATGGCACCGGCGGAACTGGCGCTGGCGGTGTCGCGCCACTGCACGTCCAAGCTCGACGACGGGCTCGACGCGATCGCCACGCTCGGATTTCGGGGCGAGGCGCTGCCCTCGATCGGGTCGGTCGCGCGGATGCGCATCCGTGCGAGGCGGCACGGTTCCGACACCGGCGCGGAAATCGTCGTCGATGGCGGGCATGTCGATGGCCCGCGCCCCGCCCCGGCCAATCGCGGCACGCTTGTCGAGGTGCGCGACCTGTTCTTTGCAACACCGGCGCGGTTGAAGTTCCTCAAAGGCGAGCGCGCGGAGAACTCCGCCGTGTCCGATGTCGTCAAGCGCATCGCCATGGCGTTTCCGGCGATCCATTTCACGCTGAGTGGACCCGACCGGTCGATGCTGGACTATTCGGCCGCCGGGCAGCCCGAAGACGGTCTGCTCAGGCGGATCGGCCAGGTTCTCGGTCGCGATTTCATCGACAATGCCGTGCCGGTCGAAGCCGAAAAGGAGGGCATCCGGCTGCGCGGCCTGGTCGGGCTGCCTTCATTCCATCGGGCATCGGCAAACCAGCAGTTCGCCTATGTCAATGGCCGGCCGGTGCGCGACAAGCAGATATTGGGTGCGCTGCGCGGCGCCTATTCGGACATGCTCGAACGCGGCCGGCATGCGGCGGCGGTGCTGTTTATCGACATCGCGCCGGCGGATGTCGATGTGAACGTCCATCCGGCCAAGGCCGATGTGCGTTTCCGCGATCCGGGCCTGGTGCGGGCGCTGATCGTCGGCGGGGTGCGGCGCGCGCTGCATGAGGCCGGCATCCGCGCCTCGACGCGCGACGGCGACCGGTTGGCCGCGGCCTTTGCCGCACCCTCCGAACCGATGCGGAACGGTTCGCCGTCACCGGGTCGAGCGCCGGTAACGCAAGGCTGGCAGGCACCGCATTCGGCAATCGCGAACGGGACCGGGTTTTCGGAAGCCGCGCAGGCCCGGTTCGGGACGGCGCCCGGCGCCCCGCCGGCTTCGGCCGACACCGCCGACAGGGCGGACACGGAACACCCGCTCGGCGCGGCGCGCGCGCAATTGCACGGCACCTACATCCTGGCGCAGACCGGCGACAGCGTGGTCCTGGTCGACCAGCATGCGGCCCATGAGAGGCTGGTCTTCGAAGGGTTGAAGACGGCGATGCACAGCCGCCCCCTGCCCGCGCAGATGCTTCTGGTGCCCGAGATCGTCGATCTCGACCCGGAGCGGGCGGCCGAACTCTGCGCAATGGCCGAGACGCTTGCCCGCTTCGGCCTTGAGATCGAACCGTTCGGTCCCGGCGCGGTCGCGGTACGCGCAACGCCGGCCATGCTCGGCGAGACCGATGTCGCCGGCCTGATCGCCGACCTGTCGGACACACTGCACGCCGACGCGGCGAACGGCGGTGACGACGCGGCCGACCGCCTGCGCGACCGGCTGGAAGCGGTCGCCTCGACCATGGCCTGTCACGGATCGGTCCGCGCGGGCCGACGCATGCGGCCGGCGGAGATGGACGCGCTGCTCCGGCAGATGGAACGAACGCCGGGCTCCGGCACATGCAACCACGGCCGGCCGACCTTCATCGAACTCAAACTGTCGGATATCGAGCGGCTGTTCGGACGGCGCTGACTACGGCACCGGCCGGCGCGGCCCCATGACGCCGACGACCGGTTTTCCTTGACGCAAGCGCCGATTTGTGGCCTTTCGCCCGGGTCGGAGAGCGCAATGAACATCCACGACATTCCAAGTTCCAACGAGGCGAAGGTCCGCTATCTGGACGCCGATTTCCGGGTCATCACACCGGGCACCTTCGTTCGCTGCGCGATCACCGGCACGCCGATCCCGATCGATGAGCTGAAATACTGGAGCGTGGCGCGCCAGGAAGCCTATGTCGACGTCAAGGCATCGCTTCAGGCCGAACGGGAAGCCGGCGCGCTGCCGACGCAATCGCGCTAACGTTCAAGTCTCCGCTGCTGGTAGCGCCGCTCTGTGGCGGTGATGATCGCGTCCATGTCGGCGGCGGTCTCAAATGTCAGGGCGACGGGCAGCACATGGGTGCGTGCGCGCAGTTCGGCCAACGGCCCTTCCCGATGCGACAGGCGCACCGCGTCCTTTTCGGTCGTCACCAGTTCCAGCCCCTCGGCATCGGCCTTGCCGATCAGCGCGCGCGCATCGGCGTCGGTGAACATGTGATGATCGCCGAAGGAGCGTGTGGCCGCCAGCATGCAGCCATAATGGTGCAGCGTCTCGTAGAACTTGCCCGGATCGCCGATGCCGCAATAGGCCAGCACCTGACGGCCCGAGATCGCCCGCACATTGGCCGGCCGCAGATGGGCCTGCATGACCGGCTTTCCGGCGCGGGCGGCGGCACGGATGACCCGGTCGCCGCGATCGCCGTCGCCGATGCGCAAAACGGCATCCGCCAGCCGCATCTGGTCGCGCAGCGGCGCGCGCAGGGGACCTGCGGGAATGACGCGGCCATTGCCGATGCCGCGCCGCGCATCGAGCGTGATCAGCGCATAGTCCATGTGCAGCGACCGGCTCTGGAACCCGTCATCCATGATGATGAAGTCCGCGCCGTCATCGATCAGCGCCTGGGCGCTGTGGGCCCGGTTGGCGCCGATCACCGTGGGCACGGCGCGCGCCAGAAGCAGCGCCTCGTCGCCGACCGAACGCGCCGTGTCGAGCTCCGGATCGACGCGATGCGGCCGCACATGCCCGCCGCCATATCCGCGCGAGACGATGCCCGGCCGGTAGCGGTGTTTTTCGGCGGCCTTGGCGATGGTGACGGCGGTCGGTGTCTTGCCGGTGCCGCCGACCGTCAGATTGCCGATGCACAGGACCGGCGCATTGACCCGTGCGGCGACATCGCGATCCATCCGGCGCCGCGCGACCGCGCCATAGACGAGAGCCGCCGGCGCCAGCAGCCGGGCGTTGAAACCGGGCTTTTCGTACCAGAAGGGCGGCGCCTCGTTACCAGCCAAACCGGGCCCCGCCATTGGCCACAGGCATACGATCGGCGTCGCCTTCCTCACCGGTCCGACCGGACGGCGACAGGCTGGCCTTGACGACCAGCGGCTGAATGTAGGGGTTCAGCGTCTGCCAGGTGCGTTCCAGCGCACCCTCCATGTCGGCGACCACGCCCTGGCCGGCGGCGGCCATGGCATCGCACATCGCCTCGTTCGCCAAAAGGAAATTGACCGCCTTGGCCAGCATCATCTCGTCATCGACGACGCGGGCGGCCCGGGCCTGCTGAAACCGTCCGTAGACTTCCTCGAAGTTGGACAGGTTGGGGCCGGCGAGCACCGCGCATCCCAGCATGGCGGGTTCGAGCGGGTTCTGCCCCCCCTCGGCAGTCAGCGAACGGCCGACGAAGGCTATCTTGCCCATGCGCAGGTAGAGCCCCATCTCGCCGATCGTGTCGCCCAGAAAGATGTCGGCCGCATCGGTGGGAAACTTGTCGTGTGTCCGCCGGACGACGGTCAGGCCCATCTCGCCGATTGCCGCCGCCAGTTCGTCGGCGCGCGTCGGATGGCGCGGCACGATGACGGTCAGAAGCCCGGGCCAGCGCTTTTTGAGCATGGCATGCACGCGGGCGGCGGCCAGTTCCTCGCCGTCGTGGGTGGAAACGGCAAGCCAGACCGGCCGGTTCTGGATACGGGCGCGCATCTGCGCGAAAACGCCGGGATCGACGGGCGGCACCGGAACATCTGCCTTCAGATTGCCCGAGACGGTGACCGGCCGGGCGCCCAGCGCACGGAACCGCTCGCCATCCCGCTCGGTCTGGGCGGCAACGTGCGAGAGGTTCTCGAACAGGGATTCGGCGAGCGCGAGCCGGCTCTTCCAGCGCCTGAACGAGCGGTCGGACATGCGGCCATTGATCAATACCTGCGGAATGCGCCGCGCACCCAGTTCGAGGATGGTCATCGGCCAGATCTCGGATTCGGCGAAGACCGCCAGATCGGGGCGCCAATAGTTGAGAAAGCGGCTGACGGCGGGTTTGAGGTCAAGCGGCACATATTGATGGATGACCTCGTCGCCGAACCGTTCGCGGGCCAGCGCCGCCGAGGTGACGGTTCCGGTCGTCAGCACCACCGGAACGCCGCGCTCGCGAAGCCGCCCGATCAGGCCGGAAACCGCGCCCGTTTCGCCGACGGAGACCGCATGCACCCAGACCAGCGGCCCGTCGGGACGCTTTTCCGACGGCCGGCCGTAGCGCTCGCCGCGCCGGTCGTGCTGCTCCTTGCCGCGCGTGGCGCGCATGCCGACATAGACGCCCATGAACGGATAGGCGGCCATGCCGGCCCAGCGATAGGTCTGAAGCGCCAGTCGCGCCCAGCGTTCGCTCATCGTCTCATACCCGCGTCCGCGCCCTTGTGCCCTTGTTCCTCATGCGCCCCTGTCGTCCCGATACGTCAGGCCGCCGGACAATGCGGCGACCGAGCCTGATGGCCGACCATGGCGACATTCGGACCGGCGCACCGAGCTCCTGCCGCCGCATCCGCTCCGCTATTGCTTGTCCGGCTCCAGCAACCGGTGCAGATGCACGACGAAATAGCGCATATGCGCATTGTCGACGGTCATCTGCGCCTTGGCCTTCCACGCGGCGACCGCGCTGGCATAGTCGGGAAAAATGCCGACCACGTCCAGCGCTTCCAGATCGCGGAAGCGGATGCCGTCGGGCGATTCCAGTTCGCCGCCGAACACAAGGTGCAAGAGCTGTTTGTCCTGAGTGCTTTCGGACATGGGGTGTCTGCCTTTCGCTGTGCGAACCGGGCCGGAAACTGGCGCCTGATTATCCGAAGCCGAGATCGCCGACAACTCCCAACATCGCCGCCTTCAGGTCGGGATGAGAGGCGACCAGCGTGCCCTTGAGCGGATCGGCGCCATTGAGCGTCACATCGGCGCCCTTGCCGTCGGTGAAGACCCCGCCCGCCTCGGTCAGGATGAGCGCGGCGGCGGCGATATCCCAGTCGGAGGCGAACGGCTTGACGAAACTTCCGTCCATCGCGCCGCTTGCGACCATCGCCAGCCGGTATGCCAGCGAGGGAACGTGGCTGTGCCGGCGCGCACGGGCCGCGCCCGAAGCGTTCAGCCGGTCGACAAGGGCGCGAGGCCCGCCGATCAGCAATTCCGCGCCCGGACGGGCGACGCGGATCGACCGGCCGTTCCGGTGTGCGCCGCCGCCGGCGGTGGCGCTGATCGTCTCGCCGAGGGCGGGGCATTCGAGCACACCGGCAACGGGCTTGCCCGCCTCCACAAGGCCGACCGAGATGCACCAGACGGCGTGGCCGGCAATGAAGGCCCGGGTGCCGTCGATCGGATCGGCGATGAAAGTGCGCGGCGCGGCCATCCGGCCCGGCACGTCGCTGTCGGCCGTTTCCTCGGACAACCAGCCATAGCCCAGCCGGGCCGCCAGAAGAGTCTCGCGCAGATAGCGGTCGACCGCATAGTCGGCCTTGGTCACCGGAGACTCGCCGTCCTTAAGCCGAACGTCGAGATCGCTGCCGCCGAAATACTGCATCGCCATGGCCCCGGCCTTGCGGGCCGTCTCGGCGATGAGCGCGAGTTCGTCGGCCAGGGCGGGAAGCGGTTCGGATGCGTTTGCGGGGGCTGCCACGGCCGGTCAGGTCCCGGCCAGTGTCATGGAGGGAACAGCCAAAGTCGGCGCGGCGGTCGAAAAGGCGCGGTCGAGATCGTTCGCCGGCACCATGGTCAGGAACATGTCGGCGAGATTGCCGGCGATCGTCACCTCGGAGACGGCGAAGGTCGGCTCACCGTTCTCGATCCAGAAGCCGGACGCGCCGCGGCTGTATTCGCCGGTGATCAGATTGACGCCCTGGCCGAACACCTCGGTGACGTAAAAGCCCGTGCCGGCATCACGGATCATCTGCTCGGGCGAAACGGTACCCGGCTCGATGGAGAGGTTGGTCGAGCCCGCATTGACGGTGGTGCCGCCGCGCACGCCGCGGCCGTTTGTCTCAAGTCCGAGTTCGCGGCCGATGGCGGTCGACAGGAACCAGTGCTTGAGCACGCCGTTCTCGACCATGGTCAGCGGGCTGGCGGCAACGCCCTCACCGTCGAACAGGCGCGAACCGGCGCCGCGCGGCCGGTGCGGGTCGTCGACCACCGTGATGGCGGGATTGGCGATCGCTTCGCCCATCTTGTCGCGCAAAAACGTCGATTTGCGGGCCACCGACGCGCCGTTGATGGCGCCCGACAGGTGTCCGAGGATCGACCGCGCGACGCGCGGGTCGAAGATCGCGGTGACTTTGCCGGTCGGCATCTTGCGCGGATTGAGCCGGCGGACGGCGCGCTCGCCGGCCTTGCGGCCGATTTCCGCAGCCGGATCGAGATCGGAAAAGTGCGTGCGGCTCGAGAACTCGTAATCGCGCTCCATCGCCGTGCCTTCGCCGGCGATCACCGACACTGACCGGCCGAACCGCGAGCCGCGATAGGCGCCCGAAAACCCGTCGGACGTGACCAGGACGAAGCCGGCCTCACCCGCCGAGGCAGAACCGCCGGACGAATTGGTCACGCCCTTGACCGCAAGCGCCGCCGCTTCGGTCTCCACCGCATCGTCGGTCAGGCGCTCGGGCGATATTTCGGTTGCGTCGAACAGGTCGAGGTCGGGCATCTGCCGCGCCAGACGGTCCGGATCGGCCAGACCGTTATAGGGGTCGTCGGGCGACACTTTCGCCATCGCCACCGCGCGCTCGGCAAGCTGGTTGGCGTCGGCCGTCGCCGCCGCCGAGACGCTTGCCACCCGCCGGCCGACGAAGACACGCAATGAAAGGTCGTCGCTCTCGGACGAATCGGTGCCCTCGACCTTGCCGTTGCGCACGGTCACGGCCCGCGACCGCGAACGCACCGAAACGGCGTCGGCCGCATCGGCACCGGCACGCTTGGCGGCGTCGACGAGCGCCGATGCGCGGTCGAGCAGTGTCTGGCTGTGATCATCCATCGGTCTGTTCCGGGATTGCGCACGGCGGCGGGCGTACCGCCCTCGACGTGCCGCAACGGCGTTGTTTTCATTTGTCGGCGCTTCATCTATTGCTGATGCGAACGTTCATCAAGGCCGGCTGCGGTCTTGACGCCCCCGATTGACGGAACAGGACATGGCCGGCGGCGCAACACCGGGTTTTTACAGCGAGGCGATCATCCTTCTGGGCGGTGCCGTCGTCGCCGCGCCGCTGTTCAAGCGGCTCGGTCTCGGCACGGTTCTGGGCTATCTGGCCGCCGGCGTCGTGATCGGTCCCCTGCTGGGGCTTTTCGCCGATGCCGAAGCGGTCTTCCAGGTCGCCGAATTCGGCGTCGTCCTGCTGCTGTTCGTCATAGGGCTAGAACTCAAACCATCGCGGCTGTGGTCGATGCGGCGGTCGATCTTCGGCCTGGGCGCCGCGCAGGTCGTGCTCACCGGCCTTGTTCTGTGTGCGCTCGCCATGGTGCTGACCCCGTTCAGCCTGTCGGCGAGCCTCGTCATCGGTTTCGGCCTCGCCCTGTCGTCGACCGCCTTCGCATTGCAGATCCTCGAAGAACGCGGCGAGATGAGCCGCCGCCATGGGCAGAAATCGTTCGCGATCCTGCTGTTCCAGGACCTTGCGATCGTTCCCTTGCTGGCCATCATTCCGCTTTTGGCGCCCGGCGGCACCGATGCGGGCAATATGAACGCGCTGAATTTCGCCCTCGCCATCGGTGCCGTAGCGGTGCTGATCGCCGCCGGGCGCTACCTGCTCAACCCGCTGTTCCGGATCATCGGCAACACCGGTGCGCGCGAAGCGATGATCGCCACAGCGCTGTTCGTCGTCCTCGCCTCGGCCATGCTGATGCAGGTGGCCGGCCTGTCGATGGCCATGGGCGCGTTCATCGCCGGCGTGATGCTCGCCGAGTCCTCCTACCGGCACGAGTTGGAAGCCGACATCGAGCCGTTCCGCGGCCTGCTGCTGGGCTTGTTCTTCATGGCGATCGGCATGAGCCTCGATCTGGGTGTGCTGCTGCGCGAATGGCTGGTCATCCTGATCGCGGTGCCGCTTGTGATGGCGATCAAGGCGGCGATCATCTACGGTCTGTGCCGGGCATTCGCCACTCCGCACGACGTCTCCGTGCGCACCGCGCTTGTGCTGCCGCAGGGCGGCGAGTTCGGGTTCGTGATGTTCTCGTCGGCCGTCGCCTTCGGCATTTTCGACGGCCAGACATCGTCCATCCTGATCGCCATCGTGACGCTGTCGATGGCGCTGACGCCGATCAGCGTCGCGCTGGGGCCGCTGCTCTATGACGACGACAAGCCCGAGCAGATGGACGAGGATTTCGCCGGCGCCGACCGCGGCGCCGACGTGCTGATGGTCGGTTTTTCGCGCTTCGGGCAGGTCGCCTCGCAAATCCTTCTGTCGGGCGGCTCCGACGTTACCATCATCGATCATTCCGCCGACCGTGTGCGGGCCGCGCAACGTTTCGGCTTCCGCATCTATTTCGGTGACGGCACGCGCAAGGACGTCCTGGAAGCGGCCGGCATCAAGCGCGCCAAGATCGTTGCCGTCTGCACGCAGAAAAAGGACGTCACCGACCAGATCGTCGCGCTGATCCAGCGTGAATATCCCGAGGCACGGCTGTTCGTGCGGGCCTATGACAGGGCGCACACGCTGGAGCTGCGCGCCGGCAATGTCGAGTATGAGCTGCGCGAGACGTTCGAATCGGGCCTCGTCTTCGGCGCCCGCACGCTGCAGGCGCTGGGCGTTTCCGAAGATGCCGCCTCGGAAATCCGCGACGATGTGCGCAAGCGCGACGAGGAACGGCTGCGCATCCAGGCCGTCGAGGGCATCTATGCGGGAGGCCACATGCTGCACACCGAGCCGGTGACGCCCGAGCCCCTGACCAAGCCGACGCGCGAGGCCAAAGTCATCTACACCGACCAGAGCGACACGCCCGACCGCGAGGAGACCACCGAACCATCATGACCGCGCCCCTGACACCTTTCCACCTGGCCTTTCCGGTCACCGACCTTGAAAAGACACGCGCCTTCTATCGCGATGTGCTCGGCTGCACCGAGGGCCGCTCGTCGGATCACTGGATCGACTTTTCACTGTTCGGCCACCAGATCGTCGCGCATCAGCGCGATGCGCCCGCCGGCGAAAGCAAGACCCATGTCGACACGATCGACGTGCCGGTGCCGCATTTCGGCGTCGTGCTGCCGATCGACGACTGGCGCGCATTGGCCGGCCGGCTGGAGGCGCGCGGCGATATCGACTGGATCGAGAAGCCGCTGACGCGCTTTGCCGGCCAGCCGGGCGAGCAGGCCACCCTGTTCATCCGTGACCCGTCGGGCAATGCGCTCGAATTCAAGGGCTTTGCCTCGATGGAGTCCCTGTTCGCGACATGAGCGAGGCGCGGGCCGGCGAGGCGAAGTTCCTGACCGGTCCGACCATGGGTCATGTTGTGACGATGACCGCCACCGGCTCGATCGGGCTGGTGGCGATCTTCATCGTCGATGCGCTCAACCTGTTCTACATTTCGCTTCTGGGACAGGAGGAACTGGCCGCCGCCATCGGCTATGCCGGCACGCTGATGTTCTTTGCAATCTCGGTGGCGATCGGCATGACGATCGGAGCCAGCGCGCTTGTCGCGCGGGCGCTCGGCGCCGGCGACCGCGAGCGCGCGGCGCGCAATGGCGGCGCGGCGCTGTTGTTCATCGGCCTTTCGATGACCGCGATCGCCGCGCTGATCTGGCCCAATCTCCATTTTCTGACCGGGCTTCTGGGCGCGCGCGGCGAAACCCAGGCGATTGCCGTCGGCTTCCTGCAAATCGTCGTTCCGTCGACGCCGGCGGTGGCCATCGGCATGGGCGCGGCTGGCATATTGCGCGCCGTCGGCGACGCAAGGCGGGCCATGTATGTGACGCTGATCGGCGGCGCGATCTCGGCGGCGCTCGACCCGGTGTTCATCTTCGGGCTCGATCTGGGCGTGACCGGCGCCGCGATCGCCACCGTGATCTCCCGCTGCGCCATTCTGGCGATCGGACTTCACGGCGCGATCGTGGTGCATAATCTGGTCCGCCTGCCGGACCCGGCGACCCTGACGGGCATCGCCCGGCCGTTCCTTCTGATCGCCGGCCCGGCGGTGATGACACAGCTCGCAACGCCGGTCGGCAACGCCTACGTGACCGCGCAGATCGCGCAATTCGGCGACGATGCGGTGGCCGGATGGGCGGTCATCGGTCGGCTGATCCCGGTGGCGTTCGGCGCGGTCTTCGCGCTTTCGGGCGCGGTCGGGCCGATCCTGGCGCAGAACCTCGGCGCCCGGAAATATGACCGGCTGCGCTCGGCGATGCGCGACGCGCTGATCTTCACCATCATCTATGTCCTGTCCGTCTGCGCCGCGCTGGCGATCTTCGCCGAGCCTATTGCGGATCTCTTCGGCGCGACCGGACAGGCGCGCGAACTGATCGTCTTCTTCTGCCTGTTTGCGGCGATCAGCTTTCTGTTCAATGGCGGGCTGTTTGTCGCCAATGCCGCCTTCAACAATCTGGGCTACGCGCTCTATTCGACCATGTTCAACTGGGGCCGCTCGACGCTCGGCGTGATCCCGTTCGTCTGGGCCGGCGCAAAGCTCTACGGCGCGACCGGCGCGATCGCCGGCTGGGCGCTGGGCGCGGTGGTCTTCGGCATCGCCTCGGTGATCGTCTGTTTCAGGGTGATCGCCACGATCGAGCATCGCGACGATGCCGAACCGCCGACGGGGCCAGTGCCGCCGACCGCACAGTCGCCGTTCACCAGCGCCAAGGGCGCGACATTGGGGTAGAGCGACGCGCTATCCGTGCCGGACGCCGGCGGGGTCCATCTCCCAGGCGGCGATCGCCGCTTCCAGCTTCTGGCGGAACTCGTCGCGCACGGTCGCCGTCGCATCGAGGATCTGCTGCGCCTTGAGAAAGTCCAGAACGCGGAAGCGCGAGACAGGCGGACGGATGAAGACATCGGGCGGGCCGACCATCAGCTTGAGCTGAAGGATCGACTGCATCATCAGCTGCGAGACGCCGTAAAGACTGTCGATGGTCGTCGGCGGCTTGGACGGGTCCCCCTGCGGGGCGCCGACCACATCGATGCCGATCACGATGTCCGCCTTGCCCATCAGATGGTCGTAGGGCACCGGATTGAACAGGCCGCCATCGACATAGATGCGCCCGTCGCGGCGAACCGGCTTGAAGATGGCAGGGATCGCCGCGGACGCTGCGATCGCCGAATAGAGATCGCCGCTCTCGAAAAAGGTCTGGCGATGGCCGTAATAGTCGGTGGCGACGATCGACAGAGGGATCTCCAGCGCATCGAAATCCTCGGCGATCTCGGGCGGCAGGAACGTCCTGACGATCCGCTCGACATTGAACTGACCGAACCGGAAGCCGCCATCGACGAGTTCGCTGAGCCGCGCCGGCCGCGTCTGCCAGAACTTGCCCATCACTTCGGTGCGGTTGCCGGCCAGCTTGAGCGTGTAGTCGCGAATGTCGCGGCCGGACATGCCCGAGGCCATGCCCGCGCCCATGATCGCACCGATCGAGGCGCCGCTGATCGCCACCGGACGGATGCCCATCTCCTCGAGCACCTCGATGATGTGGATATGCGCATAACCGCGTGCGCCGCCGCCGCCGAAGGCGATCGCGACGGTCGGGCCGCTTTGCGCCGACGGCACCTGCCCGGGTCGCACCTCGTCGATGGTCGCGCTCATGATGGCTCTCCAGCCGCGATGAAGTTCAGGGCGGTGTCGCCCGTGCGCCGGCGGTCGAGCATCGTCAGGCCGTCCGGCAGCGCGATGGCGGCCGCCGCCGTCTCTTCTAGCACGATCAGCGCGCCGGGGGACAACCAACCGCCGTGCAACATCGCCGCAAGCGCCTTGTCGCCCAACCCCTTGCCATAGGGCGGGTCGGCGAAGACCAGATCGAACGGCGCCATAGTACCGATCGGTCCCAAGCGCGTCGCATCGCGCTTGAAAAGCTTCGCGGCGCCCTGAAGGCCGAGATCATGCATTGTCTTGCGGATCAGCCCGCGCCCCTCGACGGACGGTTCGACGAACAGGGCGAAGGCCGCGCCGCGTGACAGGGCCTCGAACCCCAGCGCGCCGGTACCGGCAAACAGATCGAGGACGCGGGCGCCTTCCAGCCTGTCGGCATGATTGTGCGCGATGATGTTGAACAGCGCCTCGCGCGCCCGATCGGTCGTCGGCCGGATCGCCATGGCGCCGGATTTCGGCGCGGCGATGGCGCGGCCGCGCAACCGTCCGCCGACGATCCGCACCGGTCAGCCCTTGTCCGGTTTGCCGGGCTTGCGCGGGCCGGCGGGTTTCGGGCCGCCCTTTGACGGTTTGCGCTTGCTCTCCGGCCGGGCGCCGGGCGCCATCCACACGTTCGACGAGCGGTTGGCACGGTGCTTCGGCTTGCCGCCTTCGTCCTTGTCCGTACCGGGCGCCTTGGTCGACCAGCGGTCCCGCACCCGTTCGCGGCGGTCGCCGGCCTTCTCGAAGCGCTTGCCGCCCGATGCGGGCCCACCCTTGTCCGGCTTGTTGGCGTCGCGCGTGCCCGACACCCAGTCGCCATCCTTGCGGACCGTCATCGTACGCGTCTCGCCCTCTCCATCGCCGGCCCTGACGGGGCGGTTGGGAAACGAGCGCAGCACGGGCGCATCGAAATCGGCGCCGGACTCCTCGATCAGCCGCGCGCCGAGCTGGTCGCGCAGCGTCTTGCCCTTGACCTCGAGCACCGCGCCTTCTTCGAGCGCGCCCAGCTGGAACGGACCGTATGAGATGCGGATCAGCCGGTTCACCTCGAGCCCGAGCGCGCCGAGCACATTCTTGACCTCCCGGTTCTTGCCCTCGCGCAGGCCCATCTCGATCCAGACATTGGAGCCCTGCTCGCGCTCCAGCGTCGCCTCGATCGCGCCATAGAAGACGCCATCGACGGCCATGCCCTCCTTGAGATCGTCGAGCCGTTTCTGGGTGATCCGGCCATGGGCGCGCACGCGGTAGCGGCGCAGCCAACCGGTCTGAGGCAGTTCGAGCGTACGGGCCAGGCCGCCATCATTGGTCAGAAGCAGCAGCCCCTCGGTGTTGATGTCGAGGCGGCCAATGCTGACCACGCGCGGCAGATCGCCGGGAAGGCGCTCGAACACGGTCGGACGGCCCTCGGGATCGCGGTTGGACGTCACGAGGCCGGCCGGCTTATGATAGAGCCACAGCCGCGTCCGCTCGACCTGGGGGATCGGCTTGCCGTCGATCTCGATCCTGTCCTCGGCGGTGACATTGACGGCAGGACTTGTCAGCACCTTTCCGTTGACCGAAATGCGGCCGTCGGCGATCAGCCCTTCGGCCTGGCGGCGGGAGGCCACACCGGCGCGCGCCAGACGCTTGGCGATCCGCTCTTCGGGGCGCGCCGTCTCCGGAATTTCGGCGGGCGCGGGATCGGGCCTCGGCTCGACACGCGGCGGGCGGTCCCGTTCCTTGCGCGGACCGCCGGGTTTGCCGCCCGCAGGCACGGTGCTGCGCGGCGCGGATTTGTAGCCGCGGCTGTCGCGGGACGGCGCATCGCCGCCGGCGTCGTTTCGCGGGCGCTTGGGGCCGCCGCCGGGCCGGTCCTTGAAGCCGCGGCTCTTCATGGGCTTGCCGCCCGCCGGGCGTTTGCCGCCGGATCTCTTGTCGTCAGCACTCATTTGGTGTTTTTGCCTTGTGTCGGCGCGTGATTACCAGCTTGGCGCGCCACGCGCGAGAGAAAGTTGCCGCCTGTGCCCGCCAGACCGTCACCACACATGCAGGCCGCCCTGGACGAGGCGCGCGCCGCCGCGGAGCGCGGTGAGGTGCCGGTCGGCGCGGTGATCGTCAAGGACGGCGAGATCATCGCCCGCGCCGGCAACCGGCCACGCGAGACGAACGACCCGAGCGCCCATGCCGAGATGCTGGCGATCCGCGGGGCCTGTTCGGCGCTCGGGCAGGAGCGGCTGACCGGCTGCGACCTCTATGTCACGCTGGAGCCGTGCACCATGTGCGCGGCGGCGATCTCTTTTGCGCGCATCCGGCGGCTTTATTTCGGCGCGACCGATCCCAAGGGCGGCGCGGTGATCTCCGGCGTGCGCTTTTTCGAGCAGCCGACCTGCCACCATGCGCCGGAGGTCTATCCGGGGATCGGTGAAACCGAAGCGGCCGGCCTGCTCAAGCGGTTCTTCGCCGAACGGCGGACCTAGCGGACCGTTCTAGAACGGCAGGAAACGGCGCCAGCCGGTCTTTTCACCCTGGGCACGCTTGGCCGCGCGCTCCTTTTCCGATTCCGTCGGTCCAAGATCGCCATAGGCGGCGGTTTCGGCGGGCTGGCGGTATTCAACCGGCGGATCGGTCAGATAGACCCGGCGCACGGCGCTCGCCTGCACGCGATCCGGCCCCTCGGAAGCGCCAATCGCCTCGGCGTCGCGCCGGTTGGCGATGAAATTGGGATCGCGCAGCCCCTCATCGGCTTCGCGGCGCACCCGCGCGCGCTGCTCTTCGGGGCTTTCGGGCCACTGACCGGAGGCAGTGGCAATGCTCTCCTGCGGTGGCGGCAGATTGTTCGGATCGGCCGGACGGACGATGTCCGGGCGCGGCGTATAGTTGATCCGCGGGGGCGGCGTGCGATCGCCCAACGAGATCGCATTGTTCAGATCGTCGAACAGCTGGTCGGTCGCGGTGACACCGGTGCCGTAGGTCGGGCCGAAACAGCCGGCCAAGGCTAGGCCGCCGGCGCAAACGAGCGCCATCGACCCGGTCGAACGAAGAACTTTGTTTGACATCACTGACCCTATCGGTTTGGCGCCGCCTGATCGGGCGGACACCCGCCGAACCCTCGCCCCGAGCGCGCCATGCACGCCAAATCCGGCGATTTCGTGAAGCGCGTCTATCACATCGGCACGGACCTGGTAAATCGCCACGGTTAACGATGGTTAACCATGGCGATCGTACCGTCAAAGCCGCCCGAGATCGCGCAATTCGTGCAGGGCACGGGCATCGCGGGCGGACACGTCCGGAAACTCCGGATCAGAACCGACATCGCGCGTCACCCGCCAGGAGCGGGCGCATTTGGTGCCTTCCGCCATGGCCGGGACCACCGCGACGCCGGTAACCTCATCGAGGGTAAAGGCATCCGCCGGCGGCGCATCGCTGCTGACGACGATGTCCGAGGTGATGGCGATTTCGGCCATGTCGAGCCCGTCGATCGCGTCCATCAGCCCTTTGTCGGTGACATGGACGACGGGCGCGGCCTCCAGCGACGAACCGATCCGCTTGTCGCGGCGCTCGATCTCCAGAGCGCCGGTGATCACACGGCGCACCTTGCGGATTTTGGCCCATTTTTCGGCGAGGGCATCGTCACGCCACTGGTCCGGGCATTTGCGGAACTGTTCCAGATGCACCGATTCGGCGTCCGGATAGCGGCTCAGCCAGGCTTCCTCCATGGTGAAGGGCAGCATCGGTGCCAGCCAGGTGACCAGCCGGTTGAACAGATGATGGACGACCTGAAGCGCCGCCCGGCGGCGTTGCGACGAGGGCGGATCGCAATAGAGCGCATCCTTGCGCACGTCGAAATAAAAGGCCGACAGCTCCAGAACCATGAAATCGAGCAGCGCGCGGGTGATGCGCTTGAAGTCGAACGCGTCATAGCCCTTGTCGACCAGCTTATCGAGTTCCCACAACCGGTGCAGGACCAGCCGTTCGAGCTCGGGCATGTCCTCATATTCGACGCTCTCGCCCTCGTCATGGGCGAGCGTGCCGAGCATCCAGCGCACCGTGTTGCGCATCTTGCGATAGGCATCGATGTTGGTCTGGATAACCGATTTGCCCAGGCGCTGGTCTTCCCAATAGTCGGTCGTCATCACCCAGAGGCGCAGAATGTCGGCGCCCGACTGGTTCATCACGTCCTGCGGGAAGACCTGGTTGCCGAGCGACTTCGACATCTTCCGACCGTCCTCGGCCATGGTGAAACCATGGGTGATGACGGTGTCGTAGGGTGCACGACCGCGCGTGCCGCAGCTTTCCAGAAGCGAGGAATGGAACCAGCCGCGATGCTGGTCCGAGCCTTCCAGATAGACATCGGCGGGCCATTTCAGGTCGGGCCGGTCTTCCAGCGTGAAGGCATGGGTCGAGCCGGAATCGAACCAGACATCGAGAATGTCCATCACCTGATGCCATTTGGACGGGTCGTGCTCATTGCCGAGAAACCGTTCCTTGGCACCGTCGGCGAACCAGGCGTCGGCGCCCTCTTGTTCGAAGGCTTCGAGAATGCGCTTGTTGACGCCCTCGTCCTGCAGAACGTTGCCGTCATCGTCGGCGAAGACGCAGATCGGCACGCCCCATGCCCTTTGCCTGGAGAGCACCCAATCGGGCCGGTCGGCGATCATGCCGCGAAGCCGCGTCTGGCCCGAGGCCGGCACGAAGCGCGTCTCGTCGATCGCTTTCAGGGCGCGGTCACGCAGCGTGGTGCCGTCGCCAAGGTCCATGTCCATATGGACGAACCATTGCGGCGTGTTGCGGAAGATGACCGGCTTTTTCGAGCGCCAGGAGTGCGGATAGGTGTGCTTGAGCCGGCCGCGCGCAAACAGCATGTCCTTGGCGATCAGTGCTTCGATCACCGCCTTGTTGGCGTCGCCCTTCTTGCCCTTGTCGTCGATGACGCGGGCCGGGCCGCCCTCGCGGTCGGGGCCGAAGCCGGGCGCATCCTCGGTGAAATAGCCGGCATCGTCGACGGTGAAAGGGATGGTCGTGTCGACACCCTTGTGACGCGCTTGGTCCATCCAAATGTCAAAGTCTTCACGGCCATGGCCGGGCGCGGTGTGGACGAAGCCCGTGCCGGCATCGTCGGTGACATGCTCGCCATCGAACAGGGGGACAGTGAACTCGTAGCCGCCAGCAAACCCATCAAGCGGATGAGCGCAGCTGATGCCACCAAGCTCGTCAGCCGTTACGTTGCGTAGGCGCCGAAACTCAAGCTTTGCTTTGGCGAAACTTTCCTCAGCGAGCGCGTCGGCAAAGACCAGCTTCTCACCGGGCCTTGGGCCGAAATCGTTCTCGGCGGCGGTGACCTCGTAGAGGCCATAGTTGATCCGCGAGGAAAAGCTGATTGCGCGGTTGCCCGGGATCGTCCACGGCGTCGTCGTCCAGATGACGACTGAAGCGTCGAGCATCTCGCGATCCATTTCCTCCTGATCCCGAACGATAAACCGAACAGGAAACTTCACCCAGACCGTGTCGGACTCGTAATCCTGATATTCGACCTCGGCCTCGGCCAGCGCGGTGCGCTCGACCACCGACCACATGACCGGTTTGGAGCCGCGATAAAGCTGACCGCTCCGGGCGAACTTCAGAAGTTCGCCGGCGATGCGTGCCTCGGCATGATAGTTCATCGTCGTATAGGGCTTGTCGAAATCGCCCTCGATGCCCAGCCGCTTGAACTCGGCGGTCTGCACCTTGATCCAGTGGGCGGCGAAGTCGCGGCATTCCTTGCGGAACTCGTTGACCGGCACCTCGTCCTTGTCGCGGCCCTTGGCGCGATACTGCTCCTCGATCTTCCATTCGATCGGCAGGCCGTGACAGTCCCAGCCGGGCACATAGTTGGAATCATAGCCGCGCATCTGGAACGAGCGGGTGATGACGTCCTTAAGGATCTTGTTGAGCGCGTGGCCGATATGGATGTTGCCGTTGGCATAGGGCGGGCCGTCATGCAGCACGAACTTCTCGCGGCCGGCAGCGTCCTCGCGAAGGCGTCTGTAAAGGCCCATCTCCTGCCAGCGGGCGACCAGTTCGGGCTCCTTCTTCGGGAGGCCGGCGCGCATGGGGAAATTGGTCTGCGGCAGATAGAGCGTCTTTGAGTAATCGAGCGCCTCGACATTGTCGTTGGCGCTGCCTTTTTCGGTGGTCTGGGTCATCGTTTCATCGCGTCGTTTGGCGTCAAGCGCGGTGCGCGGCGCCGGTGAGGATCAGGTGAAGGCGGGCAGTCCCGCAAACGCATTCCCGGCCCCGCTACGCTGGGTCAGCGGCGGGCCGGGCCGGTAATTCGGAAAATGGCGCAAACGCGTGTCGACATGGCCGCGCTTCTAGACCGTTTCACCGCCAGAGGGAAGGCGCAACTGGGGACCAGCGAGTCAGAAGACGCTTGTGCCCAACCTGTCGTAGATGATGCGCTTCATGGCGCCGGTCACCGGACCCGGCGCGAGGCGGCCGGCAAAGGCAAACAGCGTTGCGCCGGCGCCCGGCGTGATCATCGCCTTGCCGCTTTGCGCTGCCGCGAGAATTCGCTTTGCCGCTTCGTCGGGCGGCATGCGCTTTGCGGCGTCGGCGCCCTCGGGCGCATGGCGTGCGGCATGGTCTGTGCGCAGCGGACCGGGACAGGCGACCGACACCGACACGCCATAGGCCTTCTTGAACGGCGCGCGGACCGACTTGGCATAGACGGCCAGCGCATCCTTGGACGCGCCATAGCTGGCCGCGCCCGGATAGCCGGTGAAGTGGCTGAGCGAGGAGACGAAGACGAGCCGCCCGCCCGGCGCCAGCGCGCCCGCCGCCGCAAGGCCTGCGCAGAGCACCATCGGCGCTTCGGTGTTGACCGCGAGTAGCCGTGCATAAGCCTCGGGCGGGATCGCCTCGAACGGGCCGGTGGCCGAAATGCCGGCATTGAGGACGATCCAACCGAACGGCCCGCGCCCCGCGAGGTCGCCAACAAGCGTATCGACGGCGCCGGGATCGGCAAGGTCACAGCGCAGATGGTCGAACGGCGCATCGGCGCCCGGCGCATCCCGGTCGATGCCTGTGACGGCGTACCCGCCGGCGGCAAGCTGCTCGGCAAAGGCGCGGCCAAGACCGGCGCTCGCCCCGGTCACAAGGGCTCTGCGTGCCGCGCTCACAGCTTTCCGCTCCACGCGGCGCGGCCGGTCCAGTATCGCCCGAAGGACAGGGTGACGGGCGAACGGCGCGCGGCGATCGCGCCTTCCAGCATCGCGGCCATGCGGTCCGCCGGTATGAAGATGTCGCGCAGGCGGCCAGGATCGTGCCCGGCCTTTTGATGCATCTCGGTCCGGGTCGGGCCGGGATGGACGATCTGGACGGCAACGCGGCCCGCCCATTCGGCCCTGAGCGCGCGCGCCAGCCCGTGCAATCCCGCCTTGGAGGCCGCATAGGCGGGAAACAGCCCCTGCCCTGTGTGCGCGACCGAGCCGACCAGCGTCAGCGTGCCGCCGGCCTTTTCCAGCCACGGGAACAGCGCACGCGCCAGAAGCACTGACGCCGTGAGATTGACGGCGAGCGTCTCGCGGATTTGCGCGGCGGACTCGATGCCGCCCTCGACCGCAAACCCGGTACCGGCGTTCAGGACGAGATTGTCGAGTTTCACCCAGCCGGCTTTCAACATCGCTTCCGCGATCGCTTGCGTTGCGGCCTCGGGATCGGTCAGCGGCGCATGGACGTAGCGCACGCCTTCGGGCAGCACCGGCAGCGCATCGGTATCGGCGCGACGGCCGGCCACGAGAATGTCGTGGCGGTCCGCCAGCCGCCTGACCAGTTCGAGGCCGATGCCGCTTGTGCCGCCGGTGATGACGATCCTGCGGCGCGCTTCCGCCATCTCAACCGCCGCCGAAGGTGAGCGTGGCATCGAGCGGCGACAGCGGCTCCACCGTGGCCAAGGTTTGGCGCGCGGACGCCTCGTCACGCTTCATCTGCGCGACGAGGGTGTCGAGATCGTCGTACTTTTCCTCGCCGCGCTGGAAGGCGACGAGGCAGACCGTGCAGGTCTCGCCGTAAAGATCGCCCTGAAAATCGAACAGGAAGGTTTCGAGCAGCGGCGCGCCGTTCTCGGTGACCGTCGGGCGGCGGCCGAAGCTGGCGACGCCGTCATGGATGGTGCCATCGGCGCGGATGAACCGCACCGCATAGATGCCATGGGCCAGCGGCGTCGTTTCCGGAAGCGCCATGTTGGCGGTCGGATAGCCGAGTGTCCGCCCCAATTGCTCGCCCTTGGCCACCTCGGCCCGCACCCGGTAGCGGTAACCGAGCAGCCGGTTGGCGTCGTCCAACCGGCCGGTCTGCAACTCGTCGCGAATGCGGCTCGACGAAATGACGTGGATGTCGGTGTCGCGTTCGGCATCGACCAAGATCACGTCGAAGCCGCGGTTCCTGCCGGCCTCCATCAGGAAGGCCGGTCCGCCCTGGCGCTTGGCGCCGAAATGAAAGTCGAAGCCGGTGACCACATGGCGCACGCCAAAACCGGAAACCAGAACATCGTCGATGAACTGGTCGGCGGTGAGCGCGGCGAAATCGAGCGTGAACGGCATTTCGACCACGGCATCGAAGCCGAGCGCCTCGAGGATTTCGGCCTTCATCGGCGCAGGCGTGATCCGCGCTGGCGCCCTGTCGGGCGTGAACACTGCGCGCGGATGCGGTTCGAAGGTCAGTACCGTCAGAGGCGTCGCATCGCGCTCAGCGGCCGCGCCCGCCGCTTCCAGCACCGCCTGGTGGCCGCGGTGTACGCCGTCGAAATTGCCGATAGCAACCGTTGCGCCGCGCAGACGGGCAGGCAGGCCGGCAAGGGACGAATGGCGCGCGATCATCGATTCGGCCTTTTTGGCGCGCGGGCGCCACGACATTTCAGGGTCGCCGGGCGCATGCGATTGACGGCCCCGACGGAGCCGCGAAAGTGCACACTTTGTGGACCGTTTCAAGCCTGCGCCGGGACCGCGAGACACGTTGCGGGGCGCCGTTCCGACAATTTGCTTCGCGGCGGCGGTTGCGGCACAGGCCCCACCGCGCAACGATGGTGTCGGGAGGAGTTGACCATGGCAAAGCCGTTTCTGGCGCATCTCGAGAAAAGTCTTGCCGCAATGGAGGCCGACGGCCTCTTGAAGCGCGAGCGCGAGATCACCTCGCCGCAGGGCGGCCATATCGCCGTCGGCGACCGGGATGTCATCAATCTGTGCGCCAACAATTATCTCGGCCTTGCCGATCATCCGGCGCTGATCGGCGCCGCCAAGGCAGCGATGGACGATCACGGTTACGGCATGGCGAGCGTGCGCTTCATCTGCGGCACGCAGGATCTGCACCGGGCGCTGGAGCGGCGTCTCGCGGCGTTCCTCGGCAAGGACGATGCGATCCTGTTTGCCGCTTGTTTCGATGCCAATGGCGGGCTGTTCGAGCCGCTGCTCGGGCCTGAGGACGCGATCGTCTCGGACGCGCTCAACCATGCCTCGATCATCGATGGCATTCGCCTGTGCAAGGCGAGGCGCTACCGCTACGCCAATTCGGACATGGACGATCTGGAAGCGCAATTGAAAGCGGCACGGGCCGACGGCGCGCGCTTCGTCATGATCGCCACCGACGGCGTCTTTTCCATGGACGGCTATCTGGCCCGGCTGCCTGAAATCGTGGCGCTCGCCGAACGCCACGATGCGCTGGTGATGGTCGACGATTGCCACGCCACCGGTTTCATGGGGCCGCAGGGGCGCGGCACGCACGCCCATTTCAACGTCGCCGATAAGGTCGATATCCTGACCGGCACGCTCGGCAAGGCGTTGGGCGGGGCGATCGGCGGCTACATTGCCGGCCCGCAGGCGGTGATCGGCATGCTGCGCCAGCGCGCCCGGCCCTACCTGTTCTCCAACTCGCTGCCGCCGGCGGTCGTCGCGGCGGGCATCGCCGCCATCGATCTGGTCGAAAAGGCCGACGATTTGCGCACGCAACTGTTCGGCAACACCGCCCATTGGCGCGCCGGGCTGACCGATCTGGGATTTGAGCTTTTGCCCGGCGAACATCCGATCGTGCCGGTGATGCTCGGCGAAGCCCGTCTGGCGCAGGACATGGCGGCGGCCCTGTTCGAGCAAGGCGTCTATGTTTCCGGCTTCTTCTTCCCTGTCGTGCCCAAGGGCAAGGCGCGCATTCGCACGCAGATGAACGCGGCCTTGTCGCGCGGCGATCTGGACACGGCGCTCGGCGCGTTCGAGCGGGCCGGCAAGGCGACGGGGGTGCTGTCATGACGGAGCGGCCCAACATGATGCGGGCGCTGGTCAAGGCCCATGCGGGTCCCGGCCTCGAGATGCAGCGCCTGCCGGTGCCGGAGATCGGGCCGGACGATGTCCTGATCCGCATCCGCAAGACCGGCATTTGCGGCACCGACATCCATATCTGGAACTGGGATGCGTGGGCAGAGAAGACGGTGCCCGTGCCGCTCGTCACCGGCCACGAGTTCGCGGGCGAAATCGTCGAGCTGGGCGCAAACGTGGACGATCTGGAAATCGGCCAGCGCGTGTCGGGCGAAGGCCATCTGGTCGGCAAGCACAGCCGGGCGAGCCGCGCTGGCCGGTTTCATCTCGATCCCGAAACACGCGGTATCGGTGTCAATGAACAGGGCGCCTTCGCCGACTATCTGCGCCTGCCGGCCTTCAACGTCGTGCCTCTGCCCGATGCGGTGTCCGACGATATCGGGGCGATCCTCGATCCGCTCGGCAATGCTGTGCACACGGCGCTGTCCTTCGATCTGGTGGGCGAAGATGTGCTGATCACCGGCGCCGGGCCGATCGGCATCATGGCCGGCGCGGTGGCCCGGCATATCGGCGCGCGCCATGTGGTGATCACCGATATCAATGAGGACCGGCTGGCGCTCGCAGGCCGGGTCGCCGACGTGGTGCCGGTGAACGTGGCCGAGACCGATCTCCAATCGGTCGCCGATGGTCTGGGCATGAAGGAAGGCTTCGATGTCGGGCTCGAAATGAGCGGATCGCAAGCCGCGCTCGACCAGATGGTCGAAGCCCTTGTGATGGGCGGCCACATCGCCATGCTCGGCATTCCGCCGGGCAAGTCGCCGGTCGATTGGTCCCGCATCGTCTTCAAGGCGATCACCATCAAGGGCGTCTATGGCCGGGAGATCTTCGAGACCTGGTACAAGATGATCGCCATGCTGGAGAACGGGCTCGACGTGTCGCAAGTCATCACGCACCGCTTTTCCGCCGAGGATTTCAAGGACGGGTTCGCAATCATGCGTTCGGGCCAAAGCGGCAAGGTGGTGCTCGACTGGGGGTGAGGTTGCGCGCTGTGCTATCAATCATGCATGGCGGCGCGAATCAGGGAAACCGAGCTCTATGCTCCCATCAAGCGGCTGCTTGAAGGCCAGGGCTATGAGGTCAAGGGCGAAGTCGGCGCGGCCGATATCGTCGCCGTGCGCGGCGACGAAGACCCGGTCATTGTCGAACTGAAAACCGCGTTCTCGCTGTCGCTTTTCCATCAGGCGATCGAGCGGCAGGCGATGACCGACCATGTCTATGTCGCCGTGCCGCGCGGCGAAGGCCGGCCGTTCCTGAAGGCGCTCAAGCAGAACCGCAAACTGTGCCGGCGGCTGGGCCTTGGCTTGATCACCGTGCGGCTGGCAGACGGGCTGGCCGAGATTCACGAAGACCCTGCCCCCTACCGGCCCCGGCCCTCAAGGCCGAAGAAGGCGCGGCTTCTCAAAGAGTTTGCGCGACGGGTCGGCGACCCCAACGAGGGCGGCATGACGCGGCGTACGCTGATGACGGCCTACCGGCAGGATGCACTGCGCTGCGCCCGGTGCCTTGGCGAGAACGGGCCGACCAAGGCCGCCGAGGTGGCGCGGCTGACCGGCGTGCGGCGCGCCCGCCCGATCATGTATGACGACCATTATGGCTGGTTCGAACGCGCCGGTACCGGCGTCTATACGCTCAGTCCGAAAGGCCGGGCGGCGCTCGATGCGCACGCGCCGGACATCGCCGTTCTCATCGAAACCGGTTCCGTATCAGTGGCCGCCGCCGAGTGAACCGATCCTGACGCCATAGTCGACCGCGACGCCGTAATCGGGATCGTCGTCGGAATCGACCATGAGCTGGCCGGCGCGGTTCAGGAGCTGATGACAGTCGCGCGACAGGTGCCGCAATTGCAGCGTCTTGCCGGCGGCCTCATACCGCGCGGCAATCTGCTCGATCGCCTGCAGGGCCGACTGGTCGGCGACCCGGCTGTTCATGAAATCGGCGGTGACGAGTACCGGATCGTTTTCCGGATCGAACAGTTCGACAAAGCCGTCGGCGGAGCCGAAGAACAGCGGACCCTCGATCTGGTAGGTCTTGGCGCCTTCGGGCGTGACGTGGGTCGTCGCGCGGATGCGCGTGGCGTTGCTCCAGGCATAGGCAAGCGCCGAGACGATGACGCCGACGATCACCGCGATGGCCAGGTCGGTCAGGACGGTGACGATGGTGACCAGAAAGATGACGAATGCATCGGTCGCCGGGATGCGGCGCAAAATGGTCAGGCTCTGCCAGGCAAACGTGCCGATGACGACCATGAACATGACGCCGACGAGCGCGGCCAGCGGGATCTGCTCGATCAGCGACGAGCCGACGAGGATGAAGGCAAGCAGGAACAGCGCCGCCGAAATGCCCGACAGGCGCGTCCGTCCGCCCGATTTCACATTGATCATCGACTGGCCGATCATCGCGCAGCCGCCCATGCCGCCGAAAAAGCCGGTCACGGTGTTGGCCGTGCCCTGGGCGACGCATTCCTTGGATGCGCCGCCGCGCTGGCCGGTGATCTCGCCGACGAGGTTCAGCGTCAGAAGGCTCTCGATCAGTCCGATGGCGGCGAGGATCAGCGCATAGGGCAGGACGATCCGGAGCGTTTCCAGCGTCAGCGGCACTGTCGGGACGTGGAACTGCGGCAGGCCGCCTTCGATGGACGCCAGATCGCCGACGCGCGGCACATCGATGCCGAAGACGATCACCAAAGTGGCAACGACCGCGATGCCGGCCAGCGGCGCGGGCACGGCCTTCGTCAGTTTCGGCACGGCCCAGATGAGCGCCATCGTCAGCGCGACCAGTCCCAGCATGAGGACGAGCGGCCATCCGGTCATCCAGACCTGGCCGCCATCGGGCCCAGGCACCTTGAACTGGGTCAATTGCGCCATGAAGATGACGATCGCCAGCCCGTTGACGAAACCGAGCATGACCGGATGCGGCACCAGGCGAATGAACTTGCCGAGATGAAAAAGGCCGGCGAGGATTTGAATGATGCCCATGAGCACAACGGCGGCGAACAGATATTCGACGCCATGCTGGGCGACCAGCGACACCATCACCACGGCGAGCGCGCCCGTGGCGCCGGAGATCATGCCCGGCCGGCCGCCCATCACCGCGGTGATCAGGCCGACGATGAACGCCGCATAGAGCCCGACCAGCGGATGAACGCCAGCCACAAAGGCAAAGGCGACCGCTTCGGGAACGAGCGCGAGCGCCACGGTCAGGCCGGACAGAAGCTCGGTCTTGATGCGCGACGGCGTCAGCGCGGGCGGTGTGTGCGGGACAGTGTCGGCAAACGACATGCGCCCGGCCAGGGCTGCCAGGGTGGCTTTCATGAAACAAGCAATCCGGGGAAGGCGATCAGGGGATGTGCCCTCCTACAGCATCCTGTGTGCAATGCAACACAGGCTGGCGTCCGGCTGCCATGCAGATCTGCATGGCCAAGACGAGAAAGGCGGGGATCGCTCCCCGCCTTCAAAAGCTGATGCTGCAAGCCGGGTGGCTTACATCATGCCCATGCCGCCATTCGGGCCCGCTTGCCGGGCCCGAACGCTTTTCAGTCGCGGGCGGCCATTTCGGGCATGATTACATCATGCCCATGCCGCCCATGTCCGGCATGCCGCCGCCGGCCGGAGCCCCCGATTCCTTCTTGGGCGCATCGGCGATCATCGCCTCGGTGGTGATCAGCAGGCCCGCAACCGAACCGGCGTCTTCGAGCGCGGTGCGCACGACCTTGACCGGATCGACGATGCCCATGGCGACCATGTCGCCGAACTCGCCGGTCTGCGCGTTGTAGCCGAACTTGTCGTCATCGCTTTCGAGGATCTTGCCGGCGATGATCGAAGCTTCGGCGCCCGCATTGGTGGCAATCTGGCGAGCCGGTGCCTGCAGGGCGCGGCGGATGATGTTGATGCCCGCTTCCTGGTCGGCATTCTCGCCCTTGGCGCTGATCGTCTTGGAGGCGCGCAGCAGCGCGGTGCCGCCACCGGGCACGATGCCCTCTTCGACGGCGGCGCGGGTTGCGTTCAGCGCGTCGTCGACGCGGTCCTTGCGCTCCTTGACTTCCACTTCGGTCGAACCGCCGACGCGGATGACGGCAACGCCGCCAGCCAGCTTGGCCAGACGCTCCTGCAGCTTCTCGCGGTCATAGTCAGACGAGGTTTCCTCGATCTGCTGCTTGATCTGGGCGACACGGCCTTCGATGTCGGCCTTCTCGCCGGCACCGTCGACGATGGTCGTCTCTTCCTTGGAGATGTTGACCTTCTTGGCGGTGCCCAGCATGTCGAGCGAGACGTTTTCGAGCTTGATGCCGAGGTCCTCGGAGATCACCTGGCCGCCGGTCAGGATGGCGATGTCCTCGAGCATGGCCTTGCGGCGGTCACCGAAGCCCGGTGCCTTGACGGCGGCGATCTTGAGGCCGCCACGCAGCTTGTTGACGACGAGCGTGGCCAGCGCCTCGCCTTCGACGTCCTCGGCGATGATCAGCAGCGGACGCGACGACTGCACGACCGATTCAAGGATCGGCAGCATGGCCTGCAGGTTGGACAGCTTCTTCTCGTGGATCAGGATGTAGGGATCCTCGAGATCGGCGACCATCTTTTCGGGGTTGGTGACGAAGTAGGGCGACAGGTAGCCGCGGTCGAACTGCATGCCTTCGACGACTTCCAGTTCGGTCTCGGCGGTCTTGGCTTCCTCGACGGTGATGACGCCTTCATTGCCGACCTTCTGCATGGCCTCGGCGATCATCGTGCCGATTTCCTTTTCGCCATTGGCGGAAATCGTGCCGACCTGGGCGACTTCGTCGGAGGTGGCGATCTTGGTGGCGCTCGACAGCAGCTTTTCGACCACTTCGTTGACGGCCAGATCGATGCCGCGCTTGAGGTCCATCGGGTTCATGCCGGCGGCAACCGCCTTGTGGCCTTCCTGGACGATCGACTGGGCCAGAACGGTGGCGGTGGTGGTGCCGTCGCCGGCAATGTCGTTGGTCTTGGAGGCGACTTCGCGCACCATCTGGGCGCCCATGTTCTCGAACTTGTCTTCCAGTTCGATTTCCTTGGCAACGGTGACGCCGTCCTTGGTGATGCGCGGCGCGCCGAACGACTTGTCGAGCACGACGTTGCGGCCTTTCGGACCGAGGGTGACTTTCACGGCGTCGGCGAGAATGTTGACGCCATCGAGCATGCGCTCGCGGGCCGTGCGGCCGAATTTGACTTCCTTAGCGGACATGATCTTCTACTCCCGGGCAATGTGCCCAATGCAATTTGCGTTTGATGATCGACGGGACGCGGCTCAGCCCAGAACGCCCATAATGTCGCTTTCCTTCATGATCAGCAGGTCCTCGCCGTTCAGCTTGACCTCGGTGCCGGACCATTTGCCGAACAGGACACGATCGCCGGCCTTGACGTCCATGGCGATCAGATCGCCGTCATCGTCACGGCCGCCCGGACCGACGGCGACCACTTCGCCTTCCTGCGGCTTTTCCTTGGCGGTGTCGGGGATGATGATGCCGCCGGCCGTCTTCTCCTCGGACTCGACGCGGCGAACGACCACGCGGTCGTGCAGCGGACGAAAGTTCATCTCTGCCATTTTCGTTACCCTTGATTGCGTTGAATGACATCTTCTTGCAAAGACAGGAACGCGGATGCGTTCGCTAGCACTCACATCGAGAGAGTGCTAGCGCCGGTCAGATAAGGATGGGAAAATCCGGAGTCAAGGGCCACGGAACGAAAACGGGCGCCCGAAGGCGCCCGTTCCGAACGGATGGTTTGTGGACCCGACGATCAGTCCTCGGGCGGGGTGTAGTGGCTCAGCCGCAACTTGCCGATATCGTCGCCGATCTTGCGGAAGGCATCTTCGAGTTCCTGAGAGTCCGCCGCGGCGATCGCCGTTTCGGACGAGGTCGCGCAATGGTTCATGATTTGCGTCGCGGCCGAGCTCGGGTTGCCAAAATAAACGAAGTAGATCTTGACGCCAAGGTTCTTGATTGATGTGCAGAACTCCTTGGATGCGTCGTCAAAGACGCCGTTGGCCTGCCACTGGCTCGGGCTGTTCGGCAAGTTCTTGTCCAGCAGGTCATCTCTCGGATACTGGAGACTGGAGTAGCTGGTTGCATAGTGGCCAGGATTCCGCGGCCAGTTGTCACCGTCGGTCATGAAGACGAGGATCTTTTCCGCTTCGCCAAAGTCGGCTGCATTATCGAACGGTTCCCAGGGCGTCAGAGTGTGCATCGCCCAAGAAAGACCGGTCGTGAGATCCGTGTTGCCGTTGGCCTGCATGTCATCGATCGCGTCTTCGAGATCGTCACGATCGTCCGTCAGAGGAATCATCGGCGCCGTATTGCACTTGCCATTGGGACCCAGTCCCCAGGCATTGCTGGGCGCGCCGGCATATTTCGGCGTATTCATCACCCGCGAATGCTCGTTGTTGACCTTATTGCCGCCCACGTTCGAGTCGCCGCCGGTATCCGAAATATAGTTGTTTCGGCCACCCCATCCGTCACGCTCGTCCGGCGCCATGTGCGGAACGAAGAGCGAGTCCCCATCATCTAGCGTTGGGGCGTCAAATCCGAACCTGTAATCGCCATGGCGATGCTCGAAACAGCCGGCCCATTCCACGTTGGAGAAGCGATTGAAGACGTCGCGGCGTGTTATGATGTTGATGCCGGGAAGGGCGCGCAGGGCATCGAGGTCTACACCGTCGCCGTCGCCCTCAAGCGGCAGATAGTCAACCAGACGGCTCGGGTCATGGTGTTGCCACCGGTCCCCACTGTTTCCAGGGCCCATTTCAAAATACATGCCGCCGTCATTGTTGTAGGGCGCAAGATAGTTGAAATGACCGGTCGAGCGGCCTTCCCAGTCGATCCACCAGGCATCGTTGCCCGAGGAGTCGGTGCGATATGCTTCAGGCACCCGCACATTGGTGTGCCAGGGAACAAGCGAAAACCGCAGGTCCGCATTGTCGAAATCGTCCATCGCGTCCGATGCGGCGTCCATCAGGACAATGGTCGCATCCTTGGCCGCATCGATCATGCGCTTTCCGCCTGACCAGTTGCCCATCGAACCGGAATTGTCGATCGCGATTGCGACTTCGACATCACGCCGGCCGAACTGCGCCTGTTTGCGGCCGACGACGGTCAACTCGTCCTGACCGAACAGGTGCATCAGGTACGTGTCGATGCTGGTCTTGGCGACGATACGCACCAATCCGCTGGACGGATCGACCTGAAAGACGTCGTAGGAAAGGGTGCGGCCCTTGACCATCTCGGCCATCAGGCCCTTGCCTTCTGCGATCAGGTCTTCGGCCGGAATGTTCGGGTTCAGCGTGGTCCGCTTGGCCAGATGCAGCGCCACCGACTGGGCCGCCGTCTCGATCTGGGTTTCGGTGCGCACCGCGTTCGTATAGTCGACCGCAAGGCCGGTCATGCCGAACAGCGGAACGACGGCGAACGCCGCCATGATGTAGGCCGTGCCTTTTTCGTCGGCGGCAAAACGCTTGAACAGGTTTTTCATCTTCTTCGCCTCGTTCCTTGCGGCATCGGTGCGCGGCGATCCCGCCCGCACCATGCGCCACAGCTTTGGCGGGTAATCTAAGGCAAACACCTAAATACCCGTTTAACGAGCCGTTCGAACTTGAACGGTCGGCGAAAACGGAAATGAAACCCTTTGCGGGTAGCCTGTCCGGCAAATCGGGAAGCAGGGGCCATGCTCAGCCACATCAGATCGTTCATCGTCAGGGAAAAGGACGGGGTTGCCGCAATCGAGTTCGGATTGCTGGCGCCGGCCTTCTTTGGGCTGCTGATCGCGATCTTCGAGATCTGCTATTTCGTCTACGCGTCCACATCGACGCAGCGCGCGGTTGAAAAGGCGGTGTTCGACCTGCGCACCAACCATGCCGCCACCGTCGTTCAGCAACGCAATCTGACGATCGAGGAATGGTATCGCGAAACGATCTGCGGGCGAGTCAGCCTTTCGACCTGCGAAAGCACCTTGCAGATCACCATCGAACGCTACGATCAGGACATGAACCAGGTCTGGTCGACGTCCGATCCCGACCAGCTGACACTGGCGCCGCGCGAGACGATCATGCGTGTCGAAGCGCAGGTCGACATGCCGTCGATCATGTTCACCGACCTGCTGTTCGGCGATCAGGCAGCCAGGCTGAGCAGCGGCATCACATTCATGACGGAGCCGTGATCATGGGTTCGATTGTCTCCACCACATATCAAGCGATCCGGCGCAGGCGCGCGCTGGCCCGACTGTTCGCACGCAATGGCCGCGGTTCGGTTTCCGTGGAAATGGCGTTCGTGCTGCCGATCTTCGCGGCGATGGCGTTTCTGACCTGGGACGCCGGCACGATCTATACGCAGTACAACCGTGCGGTCAGCAATCTCTATTCGGTCGGCGACATCATCACCACCCGCACCGAGGACCTGACCTGCAACCAGCTCGATGCGATCTCCGAACTCGTCTACGACTCCTATGCTCACGGCAACTGGGCCAGGCGGCAACGGAGCGGCGACGACTTCCCGGCCAATGGCGCGCTCGATTTCCGGTTCCTGGCGACGATGATCCGCGTTGAAACGCGCCCCAACGGGCGTATTCGCGGCCGAATCGAATGGGAATACCGGCGGCACCAAACCCGCGCCCGCAATCCCGGACGCCTGGTCAACATCCCGAACGAACTCCAGATCGACGGCATGCGCTATCTGCATCTGGATGGCTTTTTCCATCTGGCGCCCTCCTTCAATTATCTGGGCATCTTCGACATGCACCCGGCCGCAAACAGGGACGACGGCCTGTTCCGGGTAAACCAGTATTTCCCGCTTCGCTACGTCCCCAATATCGATCTGGTGGAAGAGCCCGGCGACCAGTTCGACTACAAGTGCAGGGGCTGAAATCGCCCCCAGCGCCGCAAAGTCCGTGACTTGAAAGACCCGCCGGGTTAAGCGCCCGGCGGGTTTGTTGTCGGGCAGGACGGAGAGCGGCATGGCCATGGCCAACATCGATACGCTGGATGCTTTGCACGATCGCTATGACGCGATCCTGTGCGACGTATGGGGCGTGCTGCACAATGGCGTGGTTTCGTGGCCGGCCGCCTGCGAAGCCCTGCAACGGGCGCGCAAGGCGGGCAAGACCGTCATCCTGATCACCAATTCGCCGCGGCCGACCGCGCAGGTGCTGGCGCAGCTGGCGCGATTGGGCGTGCCGGCGGACTGCCATGACGGCATCGTGACATCGGGCGACGTCACCCGCACGCTGATCGCCGAGGGCCCGCGCCGCATCTTCCATATCGGCACCGAGGAAGACCTGCCGATCTTCGACGGCATCGATGTCGAGCTTGTCGAGGATTTCGAGGCGTCGGCGATCGTGGTGACCGGGCCGCGCGACGATGAGCGCGAAACGCCGGACGACTATGCCGACCTTCTGGCACGGCTGCGGGCGCGCGACCTGCCGCTGATCTGCGCCAATCCGGACATCGTCGTCGAGCGCGGCGACCGGCTTGTCTATTGCGCAGGCGCGATCGCCCGCGCGTACGGGCTTCTGGGCGGGCGCACGCTGATCGCCGGCAAGCCGCACGCGCCGATCTATGAGGCGGCGCTGGCGCAGATCGGCGCGACGGCCGACAGGAGCCGGGTGCTTGCCATCGGCGACGGGATGACCACCGACGTCAAGGGCGCGATGGACAACGGGTTCGACCTGTTGTTCGTCTCCGACGGCATCCATGCGCGCGAATATGGCGAACCGGGCGCGCCGGACCCGGCGCGGCTGGCCGCCTTTCTGCACGATTTCGGAGCGAACCCGGTGGCCACCATGGTCAATCTGCGCTGACCGGCATCCCGGGGCGGCACGGCCGACCTGATCGAGATCAATGCAAGCGCCGCGCGCTGCCGGCAGGCTCGGACGAAAACGCGGAGCGCTCCCATGTTCAAGACCATCATCGCCGCCTATGACGGCTCGGACCATGCGCAGGAGGCACTCAAGGCCGCCTGCGATCTCACCTCGAAATACGGTGCGAGGCTGCACATCGTCCACACGCCGCAAGTGGCCAGCGAAACGATGATGGTCGGTTATTCGGCCGTGCCGCTGCCACCAAGCGCCGAGGAACTTGAAAAGGCCGGCGCCGATGCCATCGAGAAGGCCACGGCCATCGTCGGCGAGCAAGGCATCGACAATGCCGTTACACACGTTCAGCCCGGCGATCCAGGCCGGGTGATCGTCGAATATGCGAAGGCCGAGAACGCCGACCTGATCGTGATGGGTCGCCGCGGTCTGGGCGACTTCGGGTCGCTGCTCGTCGGCAGCATCACCCACAAGGTCTCGCAACTGGCCGAATGCGCGGTGCTGACGGTCAAGTAACCGGCACCGACGCGATCACTCGACCGGCGGCTGGACGAGTCCGCGCCCGGAGGCCGGGCGCGCGATGCAGCGGTCGAGCCACGCCATGACATTTGGCCGCGCGGCCATCTCGAACGGCTCTTCGGCCTTGTAGAATATCTTGGCGCCGCGCACCCAGGGGAAGATCGCGATGTCGGCGATCGTGTACTCGTCGCCCATGATCCAGTCGCGGCCATCGGCAAGCCGACCTTCGAGCACACCCAGGAGCCGCCGCGCCTCGTTCACGTAACGCTCGCGGGGCCGCGGATCCTCGATTTCCTTGCCGGCGAAGACGCCGAAGAAGCCATACTGGCCGAACATCGGCCCGACGCCGCCCATCTGGAACATCAGCCATTGCAGCGTTTCGGCGCGCCGCGCCGCGTCCGATGGCAGAAGTCCACCATGCTTTTCAGCCAGATAGATGAGGATGGCGCCCGACTCCCAGAGGCCGAACGGTTCGCCATCGGGTCCGTCGGGATCGATGATCGCCGGTATCTTGTTGTTGGGGTTCAGCGACAGGAAGGCCGGTGTCGTCGTCTCGCCCAGCGGCACGGTGTGCGCGTCATAGGGCACGCCCAGTTCCTCGAGTGCGATCGACACCTTCACCCCGTTGGGCGTGGGGTAGGAGTAGAGCTGCAGCAGTTCGGGATTGCGCGGCTTCCAATGCCGCGTGATCGGGAAATCGTCGAGTGTCCTGGCCATGGTGTCCCCTCTGCCTTTTCGGCTTGTTGCGTCCGATCACTTAAGCGCAGGGCGCAGCGATGCAAGCGCATCACGCATGACGCTGCGTTCACAAAAAAGTTCGACCGTCGGTTGGACGGGAAGCCCGCGCACCCATATCCGATCGAAGGAGATCGCGATGAGCCAGGCCGACACACGCACCGAAACCGACACGATGGGCGCCGTCGAGGTGCCCGCCGACCGCTATTGGGGCGCCCAGACGCAGCGCTCCATTGGCAATTTCCCGATCGGCGACGAGCGGATGCCGGTGCCGCTGATCCGCGCGCTGGGGCTGATCAAGAAGGCGGCGGCGGAGACCAATGCGGCGCTCGGCGTGCTCGATGCCGATATCGCCCGCGCCATTGCCGATGCGGCCACCGAAGTCGCCGACGGCACGCTGGACGATCATTTCCCGCTTGTCGTCTGGCAGACCGGCTCAGGCACGCAGACCAACATGAACGCCAATGAGGTGATCGCCAACCGGGCCATTGAGATGCTCGATGGAGAGATAGGCGCAAAGAGCCCCGTCCATCCCAACGATCATGTCAATGCCAGCCAGTCTTCGAACGACACGTTTCCGACGGCGATGCATATCGCCACAGCGCTGGAGACCCATGACCGGCTGCTGCCGGCGCTCGACCGGATGATTGCGGCCCTCAACGAAAAGGCGCGAGAGTTCGACGATATCGTCAAGATCGGCCGTACGCACACGCAGGACGCGACGCCGCTGACCCTGGGGCAGGAGTTTTCCGGCTATGCGGCGGCACTGGACCTGTCGCGCACGCGCATCGACCACGACCTTGTCAACGTCTATGCGCTGGCCCAGGGCGGCACGGCGGTCGGCACCGGGCTGAACGCGCCGAAGGGTTTTGCGACCGGCTTTGCCGCGCGCATTGCCGAGGCGACCGGCCTGCCCTTCAAGACCGCGCCCAACAAGTTTGCCGCGCTCGCCTCGCACGCCGCGCTGACCGATTTCCACGGCAGCCTGAACGCGCTGGCTGCCGACCTGTTCAAGATCGCCAACGACATCCGCTTTCTGGGCTCGGGGCCGCGCTCGGGCTTGGGCGAACTGATCCTGCCGGCCAACGAGCCCGGTTCTTCGATCATGCCCGGCAAGGTCAACCCGACCCAGGCCGAGGCGCTGTCCATGGTGGCGACCCAGATCATGGGCAACCACACGACGATCACCATGGCCGCCGCGCAGGGCCATTTCGAACTGAACGTCTTCAAGCCCGTCATCGCGCTCAACGTGCTGCAGTCAATCCGGCTCGCCGCAGACGCGATGGCATCGTTCACCGAGCGCTGCCTTGAAGGCATCGAACCGGACCGGGCGCGCATCGCAGAACTGGTCGAACGCTCGCTGATGCTGGTGACGGCGCTCGCGCCCCATGTCGGCTACGACACGGCGGCGGCGATCGCCAAGGCAGCGCACGCCAACGGCACGACCCTGCGCGAGGAAGCGGTTGGCGGCGGCCATGTTTCCGGCGAGGACTTCGACCGGATCGTTCGTCCGGAGCTGATGGTCGGGCGCAGGACATGAGAGGGCACAGACGGTGACCGGGCCGGCCAAGCGCGTGATCGAGAACGTCGAAGACTATCCGCGCCCGCCGGCGCTGGAGCGGGTCGACGACACCATCCGGATCGTCTTTGCCGGACAGACCGTCGCGGAGACAGACGAGGCTTACCGCGTGCTCGAGACGTTTCACGCGCCGACCTACTATCTGCCGATGGCCGCCTACGCAGAAGGTGTGCTGCAGCCCGGCGAGGGTTCGTCGCTGTGCGAATGGAAGGGCCAAGCGAGCTATTTCGACATCGTGACGAACGGCCAGCGGGCCAGCCGCGCGGCGTGGTCCTATCTGCGCCCGACACCGGATTTCGCCCCGATCAAGGGCTTTTTCGCCGTCTATGCCGAACCGATGGACGCCTGTTTCGTCGGCGGCGAACGCGTCACGCCGCAGCCCGGCAACTTCTACGGCGGCTGGGTGACAAGCCGGATCACCGGATCGGTCAAGGGCGCGCCGGGCACCACGCATTGGTAGGCGGGCAAACGCCCGGCAAAAAAGTTAACGAAATGTGATCCGGGCATGATCGGTGGCGTAGACAGCCATGCCGGTCCGATGGTTCCCCCGATCAACCGCAATCCGGCACCTTTGAAGGGCCCCCGATCGCCCGGAGAAGTTTTGCGCCGCGCCACTTCGCTCAACGCGATGGCGCGGCTTTTTTATTGGCCGTTAGCAGAGAGCCGGGCCGCGATTGCGGCGATCTGCGGCGGCACGCCTTGTTTGGCGGTGAACAGGCAGGCTTGCGACCGCAGGATCACGCCGTCCGACAGCACCTTCAGCCGGTTGGCGCGCAGCGTCGAGCCCGTCGAGGTGATATCGACGATGATGTCGGCCTGGCCGGCGGCCGGCGCGCCCTCGGTGGCGCCCAGGCTCTCGATGATGCGGTAGAGCTGGATGCCGTGCTCTTGCGAAAAGTGGCGCTGGGTCAGCCGCCAGTATTTCGTCGCGATGCGCAGGCGGCGGCCGTGGCGGGCGCGAAAGCCCGCCGCCACCTCGCCCAGATCGGCCATCGTCTCGACATCGAACCAGGCTTCGGGAACGGCGACAACGACATCGGCATGGCCGAAGCCAAGGCGGGCGGCGCAACCGAGCCGGTCCTCGCTGTCGGCCAATCCCTCGCGCACCAGGTCTTCGCCGGTGATGCCGGCATCGATGCGGCCCGCGCCCAGTTCGCGCGCGATCTCGGAGGCCGACAGGAACGCCACCTCGACATCGTCGCGGCCCCTGACCGTGGCGCGATAGGAGCGCGCATCGGCGGGCGGAACGACGTCCCAGCCGGCCTCCGCCAGCCGTTCCAGCGCGGTTTCGCGCAAGCGCCCCTTGGAGGGCACGGCCAGCGTGGCGATGCTCATGACACCCCTCCCGCAGCCCGGGCCACCCGGTCGAGCCAGACGGAAAAGCCGACGCCGGGCGTTGGCGCCTCAGCGCCCAGCAGCGGCAGCAGCCGGTCGTACCGCCCGCCGCCCGCCAGCACCGTGCCGTCACGGGCGCGCACCTCGAACACCAGCCCCGTATAATAGTCGAGCCGGCGGCCGAAGCTTGCCCGGTAGGTGATCGCCTGCGGATCACGCCCGCGCGCGGCAAGCGCGTCGATGCGGGCGGCCAGCGCGGCAACGGCGTCTGAAATGTCGACGCCGGCATCGGACTGCCATTGCGCCAATGCATCGGGCGCCGCAGCGAGCGGTGCGGAGATGGCCAGAAAGGCACGCAGCGCGTCCAGCCTTGCGGGGTCTGGCAGATGTTGAGCCGCTTCGACCTTTGCCAGCAGCCGGCCGGCTATGTCGGTAACGGCACGGCCGCCGGCTTCGGGCAGGCTCGCCGCGCGCATCTCGCCGGCGATCGCCGCTTCGAGCGCCGCCCGGTCGCCGGCGCGGGCCGGATCGGCGATCGCGGCGGGCATCTCGGGCATCGGCGCGGGGCGCGACAGCCGGTCGAGCGTCGCCGCAAGGGCCGCATCGCTGCCAAAGGCATGGGCAAGCGCCAGGCGCCAGCCGGCCGGCAGGCCGAGCGCTGCCAGCACCGCATCGAACACCGTCTGGTCGCCGAGCACGGTTTCAACCGCGTTTTCAGGCACACCCAGCCGGCCGATCATCGTCGCCGCATCGGCCACCGAGCGCGCATCGGCATCCAGCGTGTCGGCGGCGCCGATATCCTCGATGCCGGCCTGCAGGAATTCGCTGCCACCGGCGCGGCGCTGGCGAAAGACGGTGCCGACATAGCCGTGTCGCGCCGGCCCGCTCTGCGCGGCGAGATGAGCCATGCAGACGGGAATGGTGAATTCGGGACGCAGGCACAGCGCTTCGCCCGTTTCGCTCTGGGTGACGAAGATGCGCCGGCGCAATTCCTCGCCGGCCATGTCGAGGAACGGGTCGGCCGGCTGCAGCACCGGCACATCGATGCGCGCCGCGCCGAGCCCGGCGAGGATGGTCTCGATGTCCGCCCGCGCGGCAAAGGAGCGATGGGCGTTCATCGGGTAATTCCCGTGGTGGGTATCACCGTCTCGCAATACCCCCACCCTTTATCCCTCCCCTCAAGGGGGAGGGAAGACAAAGACACCTCGCGCAATTGATCAACGGCGGCGCCTGGCTCGACCTTCGGCAGATCGGGGCGCAATGCCAAGGTCTTCCCTCCCCCTTGAGGGGAGGGATGAAGGGTGGGGGTACGGCGCGGTGTCATGTCACGTCCAGTTCCCGCAAAAGGGTCTCAATGCAGCCATCGAGGTTTTCGTCCAGTTCGCCGGTGTTGATCCGGTGCACGCGATAGCCCAATTCGGCGAGCTTTGCATCCCGCCGCGCATCGCGCGCCATGCCCACGGCGGTGGCATGATGTTCGCCGTCGAGTTCGATGACGAGGCGGTGTGAGACGATGACGAAGTCGACGACATGGCTGCCGATTGGCGCCTGCCGGCGGACGTGTATGCCGTAATCGTTCTTGAAGCGGCGAAGCTCCCTCCATAATCGCCGCTCGCCATCCGTCATCGTCCGGCGCAGGCTTCGGGCACGTGCGATCCGACGTTTGTCCCGATTGATCGTCATCGATCCGTCCTCAGGCAGCTGCCCGCCCCCACCCTTCATCCCTCCCCCGCAAGCGTGGGAGGGAGGACCTTTTCATCCCGCTTCCGGGCATGGAACGTTGTCTGGCGTTGAGTTTCGCCGGTGGGCGACCAAACAGGCGTCCCCCTCCCACACTTGTGGGGGAGGGGTAAGGGGTGGGGGTTCGGATTTCACCACCCCGCGTCATCTCAGGCATTTTCAGCCTGTGCCGCCAGCAACTTCATGACCTCGGCCACCAGATCGCCTTCGGCCACTTCGAACTGGCCGGGGCGGGCGGCGCGGTATTCTTCGTTGCTCTCGATCGCGGCGGCCTCTTTCCGGCCCTCGATCATGTCCTTGATCTGGATTTTGCCGCGCTCGCGCTCGTCCGAGCCCTGGATGATCGCGACCGGGCAGCCGCGCCGGTCCGCGTAGCGGAGCTGGTTGCCGAACTTCTTCCAATTGCCCTGATACATTTCGGCGCGAATGCCGGCGGCGCGCAGGCTCTGCGTCGTTTGCTGATAGCGCCCGAGCGCCTCGGTGTCCCCGTCCATGACGGTCACCAGTACCGGCGCGACCATCTCGTCCGTTCCGAGCTTGCCGAGGTTCTTCAGCGCCGTCATCAGGCGCGACACGCCGATGGAAAAACCCGTCGCTGGCACGTCCTGACCGGTGAACCGCTTGACGAGGCCGTCATAGCGCCCGCCGCCGCCGACCGAGCCGAACTGCACCGTCTCGCCCTTCTCGTTGACGACATCGAACAGCAGTTCGGCCTCGTAGACGGGGCCGGTGTAATATTCGAGGCCACGGACACAGGTTACGTCAACTCTGACGCGATCGGATTGATAGCCACAACGGCTGACAACGGCCATGATCGACCTCAGTTCGGCCATGCCATCTTGGAAACGACGGTTTTGCGAAATCGGGTGATCGCGGCGTTCAAAAAGCAGAAAAGCACCTTCGAAAAGACTCGGGCGCCCTGTTTCTAAAACCTGTTGAACGGCCCTACGAATCTCTGATTCAGGTGGTTTGTGAGGATCGTTTTCCAGAAGAACCTTAAGAGCTTCAGTTCCAAATTCGACGCTATGGATCGGCATATAAGAAACTTCTTGCAGCACAAGAAGTTGTCGAATTGCTTCAATCTGGACCTCTCCCAGCGCCGCCCCCGGCGTGAAGTCCCCGCTCTCATCCTTGCGACCCTCGCCGAGCAGTTGCCGCACGCCGTCAATGCCGAGCCGGTCCAGCTTGTCGATAGCGCGGAGGACGGTCAGCCGCCGCCCGGCATTTTCCTCGCCGCCAAGGCCGATCGCTTCCATGACGCCATCCAGCACCTTCCTATTGTTGACGCGGATCACATAGTCGCCGCGCGCAATCCCCAGCGCCTCCATCGTGTCGGCCATCATCATCGCCATTTCGGCGTCGGCCTGCACGCCCGGCGCACCGACCGTATCGGCGTCGAACTGCATGAACTGGCGGAACCGGCCCGGCCCCGGCTTCTCATTGCGGAACACCCAGCCCTGCCGGTAGGTGCGGTAAGGCAGCGCGATCTCGTTGATGTTCTGCGCGACATGGCGCGCCAGCGGCGCGGTCAGATCGTAGCGCAGGCTCATCCACTGCTCGTCATCGTCCTGAAGCGAGAAGACGCCCTCGTTCGGCCGGTCCTGATCGGGCAGGAACTTGCCGAGCGCGTCGGTGTATTCGAACGCCGGCGTCTCGACCGGATCGAAGCCATAGCGCTCGAACACGGCGCGGATCTTTGCCACCATCTCGTCGGTCGCACGAATGTCGGCGGCGGAACGGTCGGCGAAGCCGCGCGGCAGGCGCGCCTTCAGCTTTTGCGGCTTTTTGGTCTTCTTGTCGGACATGGGGAACGCGCCGTTCGGTCGGGTGTGTCGGTCGCGCGTCTCCTAGACGACCCGCAAACGCGCCGCAAGGCGAGGCGGCGGTCACGCGCCGGTGCCGGCAAAATGACATGCGCGCCGCGCCGATTGTGCTAACGGAACCCGATGCGCCTGTTTCTTCTGACCGCCCTGACCATGACCGCCTTTGCCGCCAACTCGGTCTTCGCGCGGCTGGCGCTGGGCGATGGCGCGATGGACCCGGCCAGTTACACGCTGATCCGCATCCTCGCCGGCGCTTTGATGCTGGTGCTGCTGGTCGGCCTCGGCGCGCGCGGGCGCGGCCGCATGCGCAGCACCGGCTCCGTCGCGTCGGCACTGGCGCTGTTCGGCTATGCGGCCGGCTTTTCCTACGCCTATGTCGCGCTTGAAACCGGCATCGGCGCGCTGATCCTTTTTGCCTGCGTGCAGGCGACGATGATCGGCTGGGCGGTGGCGCGGGGCGACAGGCCCTTGCCGCTCGAATGGCTCGGCCTGATCGCCGCCTTTGCCGCTTTCGTCTGGCTGGTCTCGCCGGGGCTGGCCGCGCCCGATCCGCTCGGCGCGGCGCTGATGGCCGGTGCGGGTATTGCCTGGGGCATCTATTCGCTGCGCGGACGCGGTGTCGGCGATCCGCTGGCCGGCACGGCGGGGGCCTTCGTGCTCGCGGCGCCGCTCGGCGTCGGGCTCGCGCTTGTCGGATTGGCCGGCCTTGCGGCAAGCCCGTTCGGCGTCCTCATGGCTGTGGCGTCAGGGGCGCTGGCGTCGGGTCTCGGCTATGCGCTGTGGTATCGCGTGCTCGGATCGCTGACCGCGACGCAGGCCGGCATCGTGCAGCTCACCGTGCCGGTGATCGCCGCGCTCGGCGGCATCGCGTTCCTGGGCGAACCGCTGACGCTGCGCTTCGCCCTCGCCTCGACCGTCATTCTGGGCGGCGTTGCCGTCGCCATCGTCGCACGCGGCAAGCGCGGGCCGGCACCGTCCGCCGTCATCCGGTCGGATCAGTAATAGGGCGACACGCAGGGCCGGCGCGGCCCGTGATAGGGCTGGAACGTGTTGTCGCGCAGCCTGTAGGACCGGTAGCGATGCTCGCACCATTGCTTGTGCGCGTGGCTCAGCCGGATGATGCGCGGATGCACGGCACGCGGCGGATGATAGGGCTGCACCGGAATGTAGCGGTAGCGCGGCACGACGACCACGAAGGCGCGGTGCGGGAACCAGTAGCCATGATGGCGGCGATAGCCGTGCCGCTGGCGGTGATAGCCGCGATAGCCGTTGTAGTAGACGTGGCCGCCGCTCCAGCGGATGCCGACGCTGACGTGGCCGCGCCCGCCGACATGGACGATGCCGGACGATCCGGCCGCCAGCGCGTCGGCGGTCAGCTTCGGCGCCGGCATGGCGTCGGCCGAGGGCGTCAGGGCCAGCCCCGCGGCCACGGCCATGGCCGCCGCGATTGCGATTTGCCTGAGTTTCATCGGAACACTCCCGTGATGGTTTGCGGTCCCTACGCGGTTAATAAAACATGAATCCCCTGACAGCACAAAGAAACAAGGTGCGGCATGATTGTGTGGTTAATGCTGCCCAATCCGCCGGGCGGCGCGTTTGCGCCGGTGCCAGGTCAGCGCCAGCGCAATGCAGTGCCGGATCGCGGCCTCGTCAACCGGTTCGCCGGCGGGCAGCACGATGGCGCGATTGCCCTCGAAGGCGAGCGTGTCGCCGTAAAGGTCGCGGAATTCATCGACCAGCCCGGTATGGCAGATGAACATCAGCGCCTCGTCGCCGTTCGGCCGCTCCTGGATGCGCACCGAACTGCCGATGCGCGGCCTTGCCGGCGTGAAGCTTGCCTCACCCCATTTGACGCTCTCGGCCAACTCGCCGACGGCGTCGGTCTCGGCTGCGGCCTGAAGGATCAGCGTTCGCGCCCGCCCGCTCATGGCCGGACGAACGCGGCGCGGGCCGCCTCGACCGCCGGGCGGCAATGGCAGCCCTCCAAATGATCGTTGACCAGCCCCATCGCCTGCATGAAGGCGTAGACCGTCGTCGGCCCGACAAAGGACCAGCCGCGCTTTTTCAGTTCCTTGGATATCGCCGTCGATGTCGGCGTCTTGGCCATGGCGGTGAGCGCGGCATAATCGGCAATGGCAGGCCGCTCGTCCGCGCCCGGCTCTCGCGCCCAGAAAAAGGCGGCAAGCGAGCCGAACTCGTCGCGCATTTCGCGCGCACGTTTCGCATTGTTGATGGTCGAGACGATCTTGCCCCGATGGCGAACGATACCCGCATCGGCCAGAAGGCGCTCGATGTCCGCGTCGCCGAACCCGGCCACCTTGTCGAAATCGAAACCAGCAAACCCGGCGCGGAAATTGTCGCGCTTTCTGAGGATCGTCAGCCAGGAAAGGCCCGACTGGAAGCCTTCCAGACAGATCTTTTCGAACAGGCGGCGATCGTCGCCGACGGGCATGCCCCATTCGGTGTCGTGATAGGCCATGTAGTCGGGCTTGCCGCCATGCCACCAGCAGCGGACCTTGCCGTCCTCGCCGCGCACAAGCCCCTCGGGCAATGGATCGTCCGTCATTAACCGTGTCCCTTAAGCCGCCATTCACCACCGCCGACAACGCGCCGCTAACCTTGCCAATCGGTTTCCGGCGAACGGCGCATTTTATGAAGCCCGATTCATATTTTGATTGGCGCGCGGAGTCATGGTCCGGGGCGAAGGTTCCTGACAGCGATGTCCGGAACCATCGGCCAAACAGTAGTGAGTACGACCGATGACGAACCTCAGACACGGCGCGGCGGCACTGGCTGCGGCGTTCGCCCTTATCATCGCCGGACCGGCCCAGGCCAACGACCGCTATGCGACGCCGCCGCCGATCGTGCTCAGCCCGGATCTGAGCCAGCCATGGGTGATGCAGCTGCAGAACCCCCGCGCGCAGGGCGTTCGCGCGTCCGTGCCGCGCGTCGTCACCCGCCGTCCGGCCGGCGAGCGCCGCGTCCACCAGCCGCAACGCCAGCAGCAGCAGGCCGCATTGGCGCAGCCGCAGGTGCGCGGCATCGATCCTATCTACCTGCCGCAGACGGTGGCCTATCATGGCAGCGAGGCGGCCGGCACGATCATCATCGAGACGACCGACCGGTTCCTCTATCTGGTCAATGGCGACGGCACCGCCAAGCGCTATGGCGTCGGCGTCGGCAAACAGGGGTTCGAATGGCGCGGTTCCGAGCGCATCACCCGCAAGGCCGAATGGCCGAGCTGGCGCCCGCCCGCAGAGATGATCGCCCGCGAGGCGCGCAAGGGCCGGCACCTTCCCACCTTCATGGAAGGCGGACCGCAGAACCCGCTTGGCGCGCGGGCGCTCTATCTCGGTTCGACGCTCTACCGCATTCACGGCACCAACCAGCCCTGGACAATCGGACAGGCGGTGTCTTCGGGCTGCATCCGCATGCGCAACGAGGACGTCAAGGACCTTTATGCGCGCGTCAGCGTCGGTGCCAATGTGATCGTGCGGTGACGCTCTTCAAGTGCCCCGGCGCAGGCGCATCGGGGAACTTGATGTCACACCGGGTCGGAATTTGATTGGCTCGACGCCCCGCATCCAGTATTGGATGGTCACGGATTGAAGAGACCATCATGATACGCACATCCCTGATCGCCGCCGCAGTCCTTGCGTCGTCCACCGCCGTCGCATCCGCCGAGTTCCAGTTTTCGGCCTATGGCGGCTGGCAGACCGCGCCACACAGCCTTGTGACCGTCACCGGCATCGGCGCGGAAAGTTTCACGGCGGGCTGGGACGGCCGGTCCTTCGAGATGCCGCCCTATTGGGGCCTGCGCGGCACGTACTGGCTTGAGCGGCTCGACATGCCGAAATGGGGCGTGTCGGTCGACTTCACCCATGCCAAGGTCTATGCGGACGCGGCGACCTTCCCCAAGACCGACAACTGGACACGGTTCGAGTTCTCCGACGGGATAAACATCCTGACGGTCAGCGCGATGCGGCGCTTCGACCGCTGGAACGGGTTCGAGCCCTATGTCGGTGTCGGTGCCGGCCTTTCCATCCCGCATGTGGAAGTGACGCGCCCTGAGGGCACCACCTTCAACTACCAGGTCGGCGGCGCCGCGCTGCAGGCGCAGGTCGGCGCCAACTACCATATCAACGACTGGCTGTCGGTGTTCGGCGAATACCAGTTCAACTATGCGATGAACAATGTGACGCTGACCGAAGGCGCGAAGCTGGAAACCAACATCATCCTGAACGCCTTTGTCGCCGGGGTTTCCGTCCATTTCTGACCGCGCGGTCGCCGGCTTTCATGCCACCAACGCCTGCGATCGGCGTGCCAATCGTCCCGTGGCGGCGCATGGCTGCACGCCAAGGTTGACGACTTAACGCCGAATTAACCCCGCTCGTTAACCATGCGCGCATCCGGAAGGCGGCGCGTATGGTCGTGTCCGCCGGCTCCGCTCGTTCAGGACCAGATCCATGCGTACCCTTCTGCTTTCGTTCGGCATGAGCGCCGTATTGGTTGCCCCGCTGGCCCAGGCGGCCGATCTCGACATTGTCGAGGCGCCGATGGCCGGCGACTTCAGCGGCGCCTATGTCGCCGCGCGCATCGCCGGCGCCTTCACGCCGGATACCAATTTCAATCTGACCGTCGTCCCGACCAACATCGTCAACGATTATGACCGCTTGGGCTTTGGCGGCGCGCTCGCCGTCGGTTACGAATTCGACTGGGGCAGCAATGTCGCCCTGCGCGGCGAAATCGAGGGTGGCCTGATCTCGGCGGAGATCAAGAGCCACACCCTGGTCGCCATCGCGACGACGCTCGATGGCGGTGCCGCGTTCGGCACGACAGAAATCGTCTACGGCATGGTCAACGCGGCGGTCGACTATGATTTCGGCAACGGGTTCAAGCCGTTCATCTCAGGCGGCATCGGCCTTGCAGAGGTCAACTTCAAGAACCATGGCGTCGGCCTCGCAGCGCCGGTGGGCCCCTTGGGTCCGGGCAATGTCACAGCGATGAACGACAAGGATTCCGGTCTTGCATGGCAGATCGGCGGCGGCGTGGGCTATGAGGTCGACGAGCGGGTCACGCTGGAAGCGGGCTACCGTTACTTCCAGGTCAACGACATCAGCCTGACGGCGGTCGATGGCACGGTGACCAACGTCCCGGTCAAGCAGCACCAGGTCATGCTGGGTGTACGCTACGGGTTCTGAGCCCCAACCGACATGGCGCAGTGAGGGCGGCCTGAGGGCCGCCTTTTTCATTCGGCCGCCTCGACCAGCGCTTCAAGACTGGTGCGCTTGCCGGCACGCGCTTCCGGCACACCCGCCGGCCGGTCGCCGCCATAGACCCAGTTCAACAGCGCAACCGTGTGGACGATCGGGATGCCCGTGCCCGACGCAATCTGCGTGATGCAGCCGATATTGCCGGTGGCGATCACGTCCGGCCGGGTGGATTCGATGTTGCGCACCTTGCGTTCCTTGAGCTGGGCCGCGATTTCCGGCTGCATGATGTTGTAGGTGCCGGCCGAGCCGCAGCACAAATGCCCCTCGGGCGGGTCCTTGACCGTGAAACCGGCTGCGGTCAGCAGCGTCTTGGGCAGCGTGGTGATCCTCTGGCCATGCTGCATCGAGCAGGCGGAATGGTATGCCACCGTCAAACCGGGTTCGACCGACGGGGCGGGCAGGTCGATGCCCGCCAGATACTCGGTGATGTCTTTCGCCAGCGCGCTGACCCGGGCCGCCTTTTCGGCATAGGCGGGATCGAGCCGCAGCATGTGGCCGTAATCCTTGATCGTCGTGCCGCAGCCCGAGGCGGTGATGATGATCGCGTCGAGCCCGCCATTGTCGACCTCACGCATCCAGGCATCGACGTTGCGCCTGGCGTCGGCGAGCGCTTTGTCCTCGCGGCCCATATGATGGACCAGCGCGCCGCAGCAGCCCTCGCCCTTGGGGACCACGACTTCCACGCCGATGCGCGTCAGAAGCTTGATCGTCGCCTCATTGATGCCCGGATCGAGAACGGGCTGGGCGCAACCGGTCAGGATCGCCACGCGGCCGCGCGTTTCGCTGGCCGGCGCATGGGCGCCGGGTCGGGCATAGGGCGACGGTCTGGCGATCTTCTTCGGCGCCAGATCGAGCATGGCACCGAAGCGCCTGAGCGGACCGATCGATTTGAGCAGAGGCGCGAACGGGCGACCGAGCCGAGCCGCGTAGAGCGACGCCTTGAACCGCCCCGGATAGGGCAGGACCTGCGCCAGAATGGTGCGGATCAGACGATCCATGAAGGGCCGCTCATAGGTCTTTTCGATATGCGCGCGGGCGTGATCGACCAGATGCATGTAGTTCACGCCCGACGGGCAGGTGGTCATGCAGGCGAGGCACGACAGGCACCGGTCGATGTGCAGAACCGTCTTCGCGTCGGCCGGCCGGTCGTTCTCGAGCATCTCCTTGATCAGATAGATGCGCCCGCGCGGCGAATCGAGCTCGTTACCGAGCGTGACATAGGTCGGACAGGTCGCCGTGCAGAAACCGCAATGCACGCACGAGCGCAGGATCGTCTCCGAATGGGCGACGTGCGGATCGTCAAGCTGCTCGGGCGTGAAACTGGTCTGCATGGCGAGGTGTCCGTTGCTGTGGCTCGGATCTTCAGATCCACCAGGTGAGCGGATCGGAGATCGGCTCACCCCGGCCCAGCGCCTGGATGCCCTTGACCAGGCGGATGATCACCCAGACCGCGACCGCGATCATCAAGAGGAAACCGATGCCGACAAAGGCGAGGATGAAGCTGATCAGCGAGAAGAGGATGCCGATCCAGAAGGTGCTGATCAGCCAAGTGTAGTGGGTTTCCACATAGCCGCCAGCCTTGCCGCGATTGAGATAGGCCATCACCACGCCGATCAGCGCGGTCAGGCCGGTGATGATGCTGGCAAAATAAAGGATGTAGATCAGTTGTGCGTTGCGCGGACCGGCGTCGAACCAGCCTTCGGTGGAGATCGGCTGATTGCTGCCCGGTTCGGGCGGATTGGACGGATTGCTCATGATGGAACTTCCCTTGAACGATGGCGTCAGGCCGCATCGCGTCCGGAATTGAACGCGCGGCGGCCAGAGTTGAACACGCCATCGGGATCAATTGAAGCGCGAATCCGCTCGCTCAGCGCGGCAACCGGCGCCGGTTCGGGGTGGAAAACCGGCGTCCGGGCACGGACGTCTTCGGCGGCACGGACCAGAAGCGCATGGCCGCCGGCGTGGGTGGCGACGGCACCGCGTACCAGGTCCGCCCGGGCATCTCCGCCGTCGAGCCTCAGCCAGACAAGCCCGCCCTGCCAGTCGAAAAAGGCCTGGCCGGCGGCGGCGCCGAGAATTTGGCCGGCGACGGTGTGGCCGACCATCGGCGGCACCGAGATGCGCCAGACGGGGGTGTCGCTTCCATCGGCGAACGGGTGCACATCGCGGATCGCGATCCAGGCCTTGCGGGAGGCGCCGCCATCCAGTTCCGCAATGGTTTGGCGCGTGTCCAGTTGCGGCTTGAGGCGGTCGATGCGTTCGGCGACCGAATCGGCGAACCCTTCAAGGCGGAGTAGCGTCGATGCGCGGTTTTCATGGCCGGCGCCGAGGACTGCACCGCTCAACGCGGCCGGCAGGTGCGCCGCACCGGAGACCTCGGCGCTGGTGCCCATGGCGGCGGCCATCAGGCGCGCGGCCTCGGCGCCGTCGGCACCGTCGATCACCAGCGTCGTCTCGGTCTCGGCGCGCGGCAGCACCTTGAAGGCGGTTTCGGTGATCAGGCCCAGCGTGCCCCAGGAGCCGGCCATCAGCTTGACCAGATCGAGCCCGGTGACGTTCTTCATCACCCGGCCGCCATTCTTGATCGCTTCGCCCCTGCCGTTGACAAAGCGCACGCCCAGCAGCGAGTCGCGCGCGGCGCCGGCGGTGATGCGCCGGGGGCCGGACATGTTGGTCGCCGCAATGCCGCCGATCGTCTGGCCCGCATCGGAGCCCAGAAGCCGGCTCCAGTCGGAGGGTTCGAACATCAGGGCCTGATTGTTGGCCGCCAGGGCCGTCTCGATCTCGGCGACCGGGGTGCCGGCCCGCGCGACGATCACAAGCTCTTCGGGATTGTATTCGACGACGCCCGACAGGCTGGTCGTCACGATGGCGGCATCGGCGGTGACCGGCCGGCCGATGGCGTTCTTGGAACCGGCACCGGAAATGGCGAGCGTCCGGCCGGCAGCTCTTGCCTCGGCCACCATGGCGCAGGCTTCGGCCTCGCTGGCCGGCGTCAACGTTTCTGGCGCGGCCATCGTCATGATGCCTTGCGCATGTCGAGATCGAGCGGGAAGACCTTGGAGGGGTTGAGCCTCCAATCCGGATCGAAGGCGGCCCGGACCGCCATCTGCTGGTTCAGGTCCGTCTCGGTGAACTGGTGCAGCATCAGGTCGCGCTTTTCGACGCCGACGCCGTGTTCGCCGGTCAGGCAGCCGCCCGCATCGACGCACAGTTTCAAGATGTCGGCGCCGGCCGCCTCGGCCTTTTGCGCCTCGTCCGGATCGTTGACATTGTAGAGGATCAGCGGGTGCATGTTGCCGTCGCCGGCGTGGAACACATTGGCGACGCGCAGGCCGTAGCGCTCGATGATGGTGTAGGTCTCGCGCAGCACGTGGGAGAGCTGTCCGAGCGGAACGGTACCATCCATGCAGATATAGTCGGCGATGCGGCCGGTCGCGCCGAAGGCGGATTTGCGGCCCTTCCAGATCTGCGCGGCCTGGGTTGCCGACTGGCTTTCCTTGACCGACTTGACGCCGTGCTTCTTGGCGATGGCGATGATCCGCGCCAGCATCGCGTCCATCTCGGCGTCCGATCCCTCCACTTCGATGATCAGCAGCGCCTCGACGTCGAGAGGATAGCCGGCCTTGGCGAAGGCCTCGCAGATCTCGATGGCCGGCTTGTCCATGAATTCGATGGCGACCGGTATGATGCCCGAGCCGATGATTTCCGAAACGCAGGCGCCGGCGACTTCCGAGGAATCGAACCCGAACAGGACCGGGCGCGCGCCTTCGGGTCTGGCCAGAAGCCGGACTGTCGCCTCCGTGATGATGCCGATCTGGCCCTCCGAACCGCACAGGAGGCCAAGCAGATCGAGCCCGGGCGCGTCGAGCGCCTTGCCGCCCAGTTCGATGATCGTTCCGTCCATCAGGACAAGCCTGGCGCCGAGCAGATTGTTGGTCGTCACGCCATATTTGAGGCAATGGGCGCCGCCGGAATTCATCGCGATGTTGCCGGCGATCGTGCATGCAAGCTGCGAGGACGGATCGGGGGCATAGAAGAAGCCGTCCGCCGCCACGCGGTCGGAGATCGACAGGTTCGTCGCTCCCGCCTGAACCGTGGCGGTCCGGTTGTCATAGTCGACTTCGAGAATGCGGCTCATCCGGCTGACGCCGATCACCACCGCGTCCTCCTGCGGGATGGCGCCGCCGGCAAGCGACGTGCCCGCCCCGCGCGGCACCACCGGCACGCCCTGTTCGGCGCAATATCTCAGCACCGCAGCCACCTCCCCAGTGGTCGCGGGCAGAACGACCGCGAGCGGCACGCGCCTGTAGGCGGTAAAGGCATCGGTCTCGAACGGCACCAGTTCGCGCGGATCGGTGACGAGGCCTTCGCCCGATACGAGCGCGGCAAGGCCGGCGGCGATCTCCTCGCGGCGGGCCATGATGGCCGGATCGGGCTCCAGAAACGCGATTTCCTGCACGGTGTTCTCCTCCCGCCGACAAGGGCGATGCCATCTTATGGGTCGTGGCCGACAATGGCCACAGCACGGCGGCTCCGCTCCTCGGCTTTCACTGGTAAAGATTATTTACCACTTATCCCGTGACGTTGCAATGCGCGAATCTGCAACCGCGATTTCTACTTTTGCTGGACTTTCGCCGGAGGCGCCCCATTTCCCCGACTTGGACGACCTCAACCGACGGCCGGCGGCGGCTTGTCTCGCGCCGCGGCCGGCAACAATGGCATCCGAGTGGGCATGAGCAATTTTGGAGATTTGGAGATTTTCGCCCGGGTCGTGGCGGCCGGCAGCATGTCCGCCGCCGGGCGGGAACTGGGCCTGTCGCCGGCCGTCGTTTCAAAACGCCTGCGCCGGCTCGAAGACCGTCTGGGCACGCGGCTGTTGCAGCGCACGACGCGGCAGATCGCGCTGACCGAGGCCGGACAGGGTTTTTACGAACGGGTTGTCGCCATACTTGCCGGGGTCGAAGAGGCCGAGGCGTTCGTCTCGCGGCGGTCGGCCCATGCGCGGGGCACGTTGAAAGTCAGCGCGCCGACCTCGTTCGGCCGCATGCATATCGCGCCGCATCTTGCCCCCTTCATGAAAGCCAATGCGGACCTGTCGGTGAACATGCTCCTGTCCGACGATCTGGTGGATATCGTCGGCGAAGGGTTCGACGTGGCCATCCGCATCGCCGAGCTGGCCGATTCGAGTCTTGTGGCGCGCAAACTGGCGCCGGTGCGCCGGGTTCTGTGCGCGACGCCGGACTATCTGGCCGAGCATGGACGTCCCGAGACCCTGGCCGACCTGGCCGACCATAATTGCCTGACACACCAGGCATCGGACATCTGGCGGTTCGAGGGTCCGGACGGCGATGCGAGCTTCAGGCCGCAGGGCAATCTGCAAACCAACTCGTCCGAAGTGATCCGCGAGGCGGTGCTGGCAGGCCTCGGAGTGGCGCTGCGCTCGACCTGGGATGTCGGCGACGAGCTGGCCGCCGGCCGGCTGGTGCAATTGCTGCCGGACCATGAGAGCGCAACCAATGTGGGCATCTATGCGATCTATCCGTCGCGCCAGTTCCTGCCGGTCAAGGTCCGCCTTTTCATCGATCATTTCGCCGATCTGTTCGGCTCGGTGCCCTATTGGGAACGCGGCGCCCAAGCCGGACATGGCCGCGACAACAGGGCCGCGCCGGACGATGCGCCGCAGCGGCCGGGCAACCCGAAGGGTCCGCCGAGCGGCTATCGGGGCAATGGCGCCAACGGGCACGGGGACGGTGCTCCGGCAGGCGAATAATCGCCTCGTCCGCGGTCAGTCCGCCGTCTTGTCGCGTCCCAGATGACGCTGGCGTATGCGCCGCACGATCCACCAGATGGAAAGGATCGTCACCGGCACGAACAGCGCGGTCAGCGCGTCGGTGCTCAAGCCGGGCAACCGGCCCGGGACGCCTTTGATCGCATAGGCGAACAGGCCCACGATGTAATAGGAGACGGCCGCGACCGACAGACCCTCGACCGTCTGTTGCAGGCGCAGTTGCAGCTTGGCGCGGCGGTCCATCGATTCCAGAAGATCGCGGTTCTGCTTCTCGACCTCCACATCGATGCGGGTGCGCAACAGGTTCGCCGCGCGCGCCAGCTTGCGCGACAGGTTGGCCTGGCGCTCCTCGACGGCGCGGCACGTGCGCATGGCCGGCGCCAGCCGTCGTTCGAGGAACGAACGCCACGTGTCGTAGCCGGGGACCGAATCCTCGTCGAGCGCCGACAGCCGGTCGCTGACAATCTCGTCATAGGCACGGCTGGCGCCGAACCGATAAAGGCTGGAGGCGGCGTCCGCCTCGAGCTGGCCCGCCAGCCCTATGATCTCGTCGAGCAGCACCTCGGCGCCGCCCGGCTCGATCTCGCGCATGCGGTGGGTCAGTTCGGCGAGCCGGTCCTCGGCCTTGCGCATGCGCGGAGACAGACTCTGGGCGACGGGCAGGCCGAGCATGGCCATCGTTCGGTAGATCTCGATGTCGAACAGCCGCTGCGCCAGCGATCCGGTGCGCTGCGGGGTCATGCCCTTGTCGAGGATCAGGATCCGGGTCAGCCCGTCCTGATCCTGCCGGAAATCGGTCGCCACGATGGCGCGGCCGCCCTCGGTCTGGGACAGGCACAGGGTCTGCCGGTCGAACGCCTGGAGCCACTTCTCATACCCGTCGCCATGCGGGCGGATGTCGATACGCACGCCGGCGATCAGCGAACCCGGCGCGGGAAACGCATCGCCGAACGGATGACCGGTCAACGTTTCGCCGGCGGCTTCGGGCAGCGGGCCCTCCCACAGATAGGTCGATGCCTCGGTGTGGCGTTCCCACCACAGGCTCCCCGGCCCAGTGCGAATGCGGTGATGGCGCGCGGTTTCCGCCGGCGGCGCGACGCCGTGCTGGCGCGACAGTTCGGCCAGCACGGCCTGATCGACCGATGCGCCGCCATCGGTGATGAAGCACAGTTTCAGGAGCGCGCGGGGCGCGGTGATCGACGGAGCCGGGCGCGCGTGCACCTCACCGGTGGCCGCCGAACGCTGGGGATGGACGGGAAATCCGAACGCGCCGGCGCGCTGCGCGTGTCCGGGCCGCGCCGGCAGCCGGTCGGCGTCCGTCTTTCCGGCATCCGTGCCCTTGTTTGGCTTGCCTGCCGGCGGGGAGACCTTTTCGCTGTCGGTGGTCGTCACTGATCTCTCCTCGTCGCGCGCCGCGTACCGTTGACGGCCCGGCATGGCTTGCCGGGCCGCGTTCGCCGCTTCACCATCATCTATAGGGCTCGATCGGGCGCAAGGAAAGCAATCGGGACGCCCTTGGGTGCCGGCAAATGGCCGGAATTGGACAATCAAATTGACCAGTCGCGGCACGGCTGGCTAGATTGCGGTCGGAGGAGCATCGGCGATCATGAGTGCAGCGCTTTTTTCGCGGGTCAATCATGCGCGAACCGCCGACGAGGTGGGTGCGCAGATCGAGGCGCTCGTCCTGGAAGGGGTGCTGCGGGTCGGCGACAAGCTGCCGGGCGAACGCGATCTGGCCCAGCAGTTCAACATTTCGCGCCCGATCGTGCGCGAGGCGCTCAAGCAGCTCGAGGAGCGCGGCCTTTTGTGCACGCGGCACGGCGGCGGCACCTTCATCGCCGACGTGATCGGCGATGTCTTTTCCAAGACCATGCTGGAACTGATCGCCGACCATCCCAAGGCGACCGACGACTATCTGGAATATCGCCGCGAGGTGGAGGGTATCGCCGCCGATTTCGCCGCGCGCCGCGCCACGGACGACGACAAGGCGCTCCTGACATCGATCATCGAGCGCATGAAGGCGGCCCACCAGAAAGAGGATGTGGCCGAGGAAGCCGCGCTCGACGTCGAGTTCCATCAGGCGGTCAGCGAAGCGGCGCACAATGTCATTTTGATGCACACGCTGCGCTCGTGCTACCGGCTCCTGTCTAACGGTTCGTTCTTCTCGCGCAGCCTCGTCTACGGCTATCCGGGCGCGCGGGACCGGCTTCTGGATCAGCATCTGGCGGTCTACAAGGGGATCATGGACGACGATCCCGCCGGCGCACGGGCGGCCGCCGAAGCGCATATGGACTTCGTGCAGCAGTGCAAGAAGGACGCCGAAAAGGCCAAGGCCTGGCAGACCGTTTCACGGCTGAGGCGCCAACAGCGCAAGGCCGGCTGAACGCGCCGTCGGTCCGGAGCCGGTTTCCGGCCTTCATTCCGGCCTACATGTTGTGCGGCCAGGGACGGGACGGCTGCAGCAGATTGTGCCGGCCGACGCGGTTGATGTCCGTCTCGCCTGCCAGCCCCATCGTCACATCCAGCTCCTTGTGGATGATCTCCAGCGCCTTGGTGACACCCGCCTCGCCGAGCGCGCCGAGCCCGTAAATGTAGGCGCGGCCGATATAGGTCGACTTGGCCCCCAGCGCGATCGCCTTGAAGACGTCCTGTCCCGAGCGGATGCCGCTGTCCATGTGGATCTCGATCCGGTCGCCGACCGCATCGACGATCGGCGCGAGCACGTCGATCGAGGCCGCCGCGCCGTCCAGCTGGCGGCCGCCATGGTTGGAGACGACCAGCGCGTCGGCACCGACCTTGGCGGCGATCTCGGCGTCCTCGACATCGTTGACGCCCTTGAGGATCAGTTTGCCGTCCCATTTCGATTTGACCCACTCGATGGCGTCCCAGTCGAGCGTCGGGTCGAACTGGGCATGGGTCCATTCGGACAGCGAGTTCATGTTGGTGACGCCCGGCGCGTGGCCGACAATGTTGCCGAAGGTGCGGTTCTTGGTGCCCAGCATGCCCAGGCACCATTGCGGGCGCAGCGCCAGGTCGGCGATCGATTTCAGCGTCGGCTTGGGCGGCGCCGACAGGCCGTTCTTGATGTCCTTGTGGCGCTGGCCGAGCACCTGAAGGTCGAGTGTCAGCACAAGCGCCTCGCAACCGGCCGCCTTGGCGCGGTTGATCAGGTCCTCTATGAAGCCGCGGTCGCGCATCACATAGAGCTGAAACCAGAAGGGCGCGGTTGTCGCCTCGGCCACGGCTTCGATGGAACAGATGCTCATCGTCGACAGGGTGAACGGAATGCCGAACTTCTCGGCGGCACGGGCCGCGGCGATTTCCCCGTCGGGATGCTGCATGCCGGTCAGGCCGACGGGCGCCAGCGCCACCGGCATCGCCACGTCGCGTCCGATCATCTGCGTCTTCACGGAGCGCTCGTCTATATTGCGGGCGACGCGCTGGCGGATCTTGATGCGGCCGAACGCGTCCTCATTGTCGCGATATGTGGATTCGGTCCAGGCGCCGGAATCGGCATAATCATAGAACATCTTCGGCACGCGGAACCTGGCGCGCCGTTGCAGGTCCTTGATTTCGGTGACGGGTCCGAACATGCATTCACTCCGCTTGAGGTCGCAGAGTGTTAGCCTGTCGGCGGCAGTGTGAAAAGGTGGCGGAAAGTCTCGGCAGCGGCCATGCCCAGCCGGGGCGTTAGCGCGTCTGGCCGGCGATGGCCGAAACGCCGTAACCGTCGGCGGCGGCGCCTCCGGCCAGCGAGGTTTCGGAGTAGACGGCCATGCCCCACAGCGTAATGCCGAACAATGTGGCAAGCGACAAAAACGTAGCGCGCACGGTCATGATCTCCCCATCATCGGTGCAGCCGGTATTGCCTGAACGCGTTTGGGTGTCAGGGGTTCCGAGCCGCCATTGTCCGCGCGACCACAATGGACCAGAATTGCCTTCGGCAGAGTGACGATCGTCACATTCGCCGGGCCGCGCGGATGCGGGCTAGCCTGCCCGGCCGCCAAGTGCCAGCCCAAATGTTAGGCAGTGCAGCAATTATGACACTTCAAAACCGCGTAACGCCGTTCGGTGTCATAATTGCAACAAAGGCGCGCGGAGCCTTCATGGGAAATCGCGGCATCATCCACAATGCCGACACGAAAACGTTGCACTCGATGCGCCGCTGGACGCTCAAGGCCTGGCTGATATGCCTTTGCGATTTCAAAGGGCGGCGGCGGCCGGTGATGGGCAAGGGCAGCTACACCGAATTGTTTTTTCTCGACGAGGCGACGGCGCTGGCGGCCGGGCACCGGCCCTGCTTCGAATGCCGGCGCGCCGACGCACAAGCCTTCAGCGCCGCATTCGCCAAGGGGACGGGTCTGGCCGTGCCCAAGGCGTCGGCGATGGACCGCATCCTGCATGCCGAGCGGCTTGACGGGGGCGCCAAGCGGCTTCATCCGATGCCGGCCGCTGCCGACCGGCTGCCTGACGGCGCGATGCTGGCGAGCGGCACCGATGCGCTGCTGGTAGCGGCCAGGCGCCCATGGCGCTGGTCTCCGGAGGGGTACCGCCGGGTGGACCAATGGCCCGAAAACCTGACCATGCTGACACCGCCGTCCACAACTGCCGCGCTCGCCGCAGGATACCGCCCGCAGATCGATGCGAGCGCGGGCGCTTGACGCGTGGCCCGGCACGGTGCAACGCAGCGCCATGCGTGCCAACTACAAACTGCAGCGGCTTTTCATCGATGCCCCGCTTTCCGCCGGCGCGACCATCGAGACAGACCGGGGACAGGCCAACTATCTTCTGAACGTGCTGCGGATGAAGGACGGCGCGGAACTGCTCGTCTTCAACGGACGCGACGGCGAATGGCGGGCGGCGCTCGAACCGAAAGGCAAGCGCGCCGCAACGCTCCGGGCAACGGCATTGGAGCGGCCGCAGCCGGCCACGCCCGATCTCGTCTACGCGTTCGCGCCGCTGAAGACCGGCCGGCTCGACTATATGGTCCAGAAGGCGGTGGAGATGGGGGCGGGCGTGTTGCAGCCGGTGATCACCCAGCACACGCAGCAGCCGCGCCTGAACATGGCCAAGGTGCGGTCCAATGCGCTGGAAGCGGCGGAGCAGTGCGGCGTTCTGGCGCTGCCGGACTGCCGCGAGCCGATCCGGTTCGACGCGTTCGTCGACGGCTGGGACCAGGCCCGGTCGCTGGTCTTCTGCGACGAGGATCACGAGACCGACAATCCGCTCGAAAGGCTTGCGCCGCTGCGCGGGCGGCCGCTCGGCCTTCTGATCGGGCCGGAAGGCGGGTTTTCGGATGCCGAGCGGGCGCGGTTGCGGGCGCTGGCCTTCGTGACGGCCATACCGCTCGGGCCGCGCATATTGCGCGCCGACACGGCGGCGGTTGCGGCGCTTGCCGTGCTTCAGGCCGCCGCCGGCGACTGGTGACAGGGACGGCCTACTCTTCGAGCACGTTGAGCTTGAAGTCGGCCAGAACGAGTTGCCACCAGTCGATCGTGTCTTCGAGATTGCGCGTGGAAACGCCGCCGAACAGGTTCACATCCATCTCGACGACCGGATCCTTGACGTCGTCCAGATAGGCCTTGCCGAACCGCTTGTCGGCGTTCCAGCTGCCGATCTTGCCCAGCGAGACATTGCCCGACGTTTCCCATGCGGCGCGGAACTGGATCGACTTGCAGTCGGCCCCGTCCTGGCAGCCATAGAACAGGACCAGAAAGCGGGTTCCGTCGATCCGCGCGACGATCATCGGATCGCCGGCATCGTCGGTCTCCAGTACCGCGCTGCCGAAGCCCCGCATGAGATTGATGATCGCTTCGGGATCGGTGGCATCGACCAGTTTCTGGGCCGACGCGGCGGTAACCGGCAGCAACAGGCCGGCGAGCACGCAAAGAGCAAATCTTTTCATGTCATCCTCAATCTTGAAAATACAAAAACAGGGCGCAAAACGGGATGCAGCCATCGCGGCCTTTCCCCCAAGGCAACAATGGCAAGACAAGGGCCTTGCCGCAACCGCCGGCATGCGTCATTCAGGCAAGCCAACGTGATCGGAACGGAAGACATGGCGCGCGACACGACCGACGAAAGACCGATCGAGACCGTCGAGGAGCTGGCGGCCGATCTGGAGGCGGGATGCAAGCCGGCCGAAGACTGGCGGATCGGAACCGAGCACGAAAAGTTTCCTTTCTATGCAGCCAACAATGCGCCGGTGCCCTATGGCGGCGAGCGTGGCATCGCCAAACTGCTCGAAGGCATGCAGGACAAGCTCGGCTGGCAGCCGATCATCGATGACGGCAACATTATCGGCCTTTACGAGCCGACCGGCACGGGCGGCGCGATCTCGCTGGAGCCCGGCGGCCAGTTCGAACTGTCGGGCGCGCCGCTGGAAACGATCCACCAGACGTGCCGCGAATCGAATGCCCATCTCGCCCAGTTGCGGCTGATCGCCGATCCGCTCGGCATCAAGTTCCTCGGCCTTGGCGCAAGCCCGAAATGGTCGCTGGACGACACGCCGAAAATGCCGAAATCGCGCTACGACATCATGCGCGCCTACATGCCGAAGAAGGGCGATCAAGGCCTCGACATGATGCACCGGACATCGACCATCCAGGTCAATCTGGACTTCTGCTGCGAAGCCGACATGCGCAAGAAGATGCAGGTCGCCTACCGGCTGCAGCCGATCGCCACGGCGCTGTTCGCCAATTCGCCCTTTACCGAGGGCCGGCCGAACGGCATGGTCTCCTGGCGCGCCGACATCTGGCGCGACGTCGATCCGGACCGCAGCGGCGTTCTGCCCTTCGTCTTCGCCGACGATTTCGGCTTCATGGATTATGTGCAGTGGGCGCTCGACGTGCCGATGTATTTCGTGCTGCGCGAGGGCCGCTACATCGACTGCACCCACGTCACCTTCCGGCAGTTCATGGATGGCGCGCTTGAAGGCGAGATTCCCGATCCGCGTCCCAACAAGGGCGACTGGACCAACCATCTGTCGACGGTCTTTCCCGAGGTGCGCCTGAAGCGTTTCATCGAGATGCGCGGCGCCGATGGCGGGCCGTGGCGGCGCATCTGCGCCCTGCCGGCTTTGTGGGTCGGTCTTCTTTATGACGAGACGGCGCTGGACGCCGCCGACACGCTTACGCAGTCATGGAGCCACGACGATGTGGTGGCGCTGCGCGATGCGGTCCCGGTGGAAGGCCTGCACGCCCGCATCCACAACCAGTCGGTCCGCGAGATCGCCTATGAGGTGCTTGAGATCGCCCGGGCCGGGCTGAAATCGCGCGCCAAGTTCAATCAGGACGGGTTCGACGAAGCGCATTTTCTGGCGCCGCTCGAAGAAATCGCAGCGCGCGGCACGACCGCGGCCGAACAGATGGTGACCAAATATCACTCGGTCTGGGGCGGTTCGGTGGAGCCGGCGTTTCTGGAGTATGCCTACTGAACCGATGAGCCCTAAAGCCGGTCCAGCATCGCGTACCAGGTCAGCGCCAATGTGAGCAGCGGCTTGCGGAACCGGCGCCCGCCCGGAAAGGGCGGCACTTTCAACTCCCTGAACAGGTTCAGCCGGTCGCGATTGCCGGCCACCGCCTCGGCCCACATCTTGCCGGTGAAATTGGACAGCATGACCCCGTGACCGGAATAGCCGCCCATGGCGGTGACGCCGGGCATGACCTCGCGCACGAACGGTTCGCGCGGCAGGGTGATGCCGACCGAGCCGCCCCAGGCATGGGTGATCTCGATGTCTTTGAGAGCCGGATAGACCTCGACCATCTGCCGACGCACGCCCGCTTCGATATCGGCCGGCGTCTCGCCGCCATAGGCTTCGCGCCCGCCGAAAAGAAGCCGGCCATCCCCGAGCCGCCGGAAATAGCGCACGACGAACCGGCTGTCGTCGACGCTCTCGCGACCGGGCAGGATGGTCTCGGCGGCCCCGCCTTCGAGCGGCACCGTCGCGCCGATGAAGGAACTGATCGGCATGACATGGCTCGCCATCGTCCGTTCAAGCCTTGCATCGCCATGGGCATTGACCGCGAGCAGCACGCGGTCTGCGGTGACCGTTCCCTCGCCGGTGATCACACGCACCTTGCCCAACGCCGATGCCAGCCCGATGACCTTTGTGTTTTCATGCAGGCGCGCACCGCGCGCGGCGGCCACCCGAGCGGTGCCCACCACCAGCTTGAGCGGATGGATGTGGCCGGTGCCGCCGTCATAGACGCCGCCGAAATAGCGCTCCGATCCGACGATCTCCGCCGTCTCCTCACGGTCGAGGAACCGAAGATACGGATAGCCGAAACGCTCGGCCATCGTGTCGGCATAGGCGCGATAATCGTCCACATAGCGCGGCTTGTGGACGACCGAGACATGGCCCTGCGTGTAGTCGATGTCGACGCCGTTTTCTTCGGCGAAAGCGAGCATGTGCCGCTTGGCTTCCTCGGCGATGTCGAAAAGCGCCTTGGCGCGCTCGAAACCGAGTTCTTTCTCCTGCTCGTCCGCCGACGAACGCTGGCCGGTGTTCAACTGCCCGCCATTGCGGCCCGAAGCGCCGTCGCCGCACCGCGCCGCGTCGAGCAGCACCACCGATGCGCCCAGGCGGGCGGCTTCGGCCGCCGCGGACAGGCCGGTGAAGCCGCCGCCGACGATGCAGATGTCCGCCGTAACGTCGCCGTCGAGCGCCGGATAGTCCGGCCGGTCGCCGACCGTGGCCTCGTACCAGGACAGGCCCGGAGAGATCGGGCTGCGATAATCGATTGCGTCAGTCACAGCTTACACATTCAGCAGCAGGTATTCACGCTCCCACGGGCTGATCACCTGCATGAAGGTCTCGAACTCGCCTCGTTTGACGCCGGCATAATTGGCCATGAACTCGCGGCCCAGAACCCCGTCGAAAGCGTGCTCCTCCTCGAACAGCGAGACCGCTTCGAGCAGACCGCGCGGCAGGTCGATCTCGCCCTCATTGGCCGTCTCGGCGGTCGGGTCGGTCGGCACCAGGCCATAGACCATGCCCAGATAGCCGCAGGCCAGCGAAGCGGCGAGCGCCAGATAGGGGTTGGCGTCGGACGAGGGCAGCCGGTTTTCGACGCGACGCGCCTCGGCGTCGGAGGCGGGAATGCGGAACGCCGTCGTCCGGTTGTCATAGCCCCATGCCGTGTTGACCGGAGCGGCGATCGACTGGGTCAGCCGCCGGTAGGAGTTCACGTAGGGCGCGATCATCACCAGCGCCTTGGGCATATAGTGCTGCATGCCGCCGACAAAGGACCGGAACAGGGGCGACTCGCTGCCGTCTTCGGCGGTGAAGATGTTCTTGCCGGTCTTGGCGTCGATCACCGACTGGTGGATGTGCATCGCATTGCCCGGCGCGCCCTGGATCGGCTTTGCCATGAAGGTGGCATACATGTCCGCCTTGAGCGCGGCTTCGCGGATCGTGCGCTTGAACAGGAACACCTGGTCGGCGAGCGCGAGCGGATCGCCATGGCGCAGATTGATCTCGAGCTGGCTCGGGCCTTCCTCGTGGATCAGCGTGTCGATCTCCAGCCCCTGCGCCTCGCAGAAATGATAGATGTCGTCGATCAGTTCGTCGAACTCGTTGATGCCGGCAATCGAATAGCTCTGCCCGCCGGCGATCGGCCGGCCGGAGCGGCCCGTCGGCGGCTGCAGCGGATAGTCCGGGTCGGTGTTCTTGGCGACCAGATAGAATTCGATCTCCGGCGCCACGACCGGCTTCCAGCCCTTTTCGGCATAGGCATCGACGACGCGCTTGAGCACCTGACGCGGTGTGATCCAGGAGGGTTCACCCGTGCGCTGGTCGACCAGATCACAGACCACCTGCGCGGTCGGATCGCTTTCCCAAGGCACGACGGAGAGGGTGGCAAGGTCCGGCATCAGCTTCAGATCGCCGTCACGCGGATCATAGCGGAACTCGCCGGTCTCCTCGGGATATTCGCCCGAGATCGTCTGCCGGAACAGGGCCGAGGGCAGCGCCAGCGCCGTGTTCGAGGTGAATTTGGACGAGGGCATCATCTTGCCGCGCGGCACGCCGGCAAGGTCAGGCGTGATGCACTCGATGTCCTCGATCGAGCGGGCGGCGAGCCAGGGCCCGGCCTCCGACCAGTCCGCAACGCCGCGCAGATTGTCGATGTAGGCCGGCGGGGGCGGCGTGATGGGCTTTTTTCGGTTTCTTGCAGGGCGCTCGGCGCGGGTGTCTTTCGACATCAATCACCTGGGTTGTTGTTTTCCTCCCTATAGTCGCCGCAACGGGCCGCGTGAAGCGGTTTGTCGCCGCGCCGACATCGGCTGTCGGGCTGGAGACTTGCCGGACCCGGCTTGTACGGCCGACACTGGCGTCATGACATCGTCCGCTTCCGACGACAGCGCCGGCACCGCCCTGCCCTTCGATCGCGCCGAGTATGGCGCGCGGCTGGCACGGACACGTGCCGCGATGGAGGCGGCGGGGCTCGACACGCTTCTGGTCAGCGATCCGTCCAACATGGCGTGGCTGACCGGCTATGACGGATGGTCCTTCTACACCCATCAGGCCGTGATCGTGCCCGGCGATGGCGATCCCGTCTGGTGGGGCCGGGCGATGGACGCACGCGGCGCGCGCCGGACGGTGTGGATGGATGACGACGCCATTGTCGGATACGAGGATCATTACGTCCAAAACCCGGATCATCATCCGATGGAAGCGCTGTGCGGCCTACTTGCGGAGCGCGGTCTGGCGCGCGGGCGCATCGGCGTCGAAATGGACAATTACTACTATTCCGCCAAGGCCCATCAGACGCTTGCCGGACGGCTCGACGGCTGCGATCTCGTCGATGCCGAAGGGCTGGTCAACTGGCGGCGGGCGGTCAAGAGCCCGGCGGAACTCGCCTTCATGCGCCGTGCCGCGCGCATCGTTCAGACAATGCACGGGATGATCGCCGAGATCGCCGAGCCGGGCCTTGCCAAGCATCTGCTGGTCGCCGAAATCATGAAGGCCGGCACTCTGGGCGCGGACGGGCATTGGGGCGACTATCCGGCGATCATGCCGCTGACGCCGTCGGGCATGGACGCGACCGCGCCGCATCTGACATGGGACGACCGGCCGATGCGTGCCGGGGAAGCCACCTTCTTCGAAATCGCCGGCGTCTATCGGCGCTATCATTGTCCGCAGTCGCGGACGCTGTTTCTGGGCACGCCGCCGCAGCGCTACCGCGACGCGGAGCGGGCGGTGCTTCTGGCGGTCGATGCCGGGATCGCGGCGGCCGAACCCGGCCGGACCTGCGGCGACATGGCGGACGCGTTCTTCGACACGTTGGAGGCGCAGGGCTTTTCCAAGGAGTCGCGCGCCGGCTATTCGATCGGCCTGTCTTATCCGCCCGACTGGGGCGAGCGGACGATGAGCATCAGGCGCGGCGACCCGACCGTTCTGCAACCGGGCATGACGCTGCATTTCATGCCGGCGCTCTGGCTCGACGATGGCGGACTGGAAATCACCGAGCCGATCGTCATCACCGAAACGGGCGCGCAATGCCTGACCGAAACGCCGCGCGGGCTCGTCGTCAAATGAGCGCTGCCAGCCCGATCACGGCATCGATCGATCTTGACGCGGACGGCATCCGGCACGGCCATCTGCGCCTGCCGCACAGCCATGACGGCAGCGCATGGGGCCATGTGATGATCCCGATCACCGTGGCCCGGAACGGCGACGGCCCGACGGCACTTCTGACCGGCGGCAGCCACGGCGACGAATATGAGGGGCCGCTGGCGCTGATGGAACTGGCCAACGCGCTCGAGCCCGCACGGATGGCCGGCCGCGTGATCATCGTGCCGGCGATGAACCATCCGGCGTTCGCGGCCGCCCGGCGCACATCGCCGATCGACGGCGGCAATCTGAACCGCGTCTTCCCCGGCGCGCCCGACGGCACGGTGACCGAGAAGATCGCGCACTATGTGGCAAGCGAAATCCTGCCGCGCGCCGACATCGTCCTCGACATCCATTCGGGCGGCAAGACGCTCGACTTCATTCCGTTCGCAGCGATCCACGAGACCGGCGACCCGTCTCAGACCGAGGCGGCGCGCGCGGCCATGGAGGCGTTCGGCGCGCCCCATGCGATGATCATGCGCGAACTGGACCCGGCCGGCATGTTCGACACGGTGGCCGAGCAGGCCGGCAAGACGTTCGTGACCACCGAACTTGGCGGCGGCGGCACGGCAACGGCGGCGAGTGTCGGCATCGCCCGGCGCGGCGTGCGCAACCTTTTGATCCATGCCGGCATCGTCGATGGCACCATCGACCATACGCCGAGCCGGCTTTTGTCGATGGACCATGATGGCTGCTTCCACTTGTCGCCGGGCGCGGGCATCCTGGAACCGTGCCGGGATCTGGGCGTCATGGTTCAAGAGGGCGAACTCATCGCCCGCATCTGGCCTGCCGACCGCACCGGCGTCGCACCGGCCGAGATCGCTGCCCTTTCGTCCGGACTGCTGGCCGGCCGGCATTTCCCCGGATTGATCGCGATGGGCGATTGCCTGGCCGTGATCGCCCGGCCCGTCGGCTGAGCGGACGCCGCACACGGCACCATCGTCGTGATGGCGCCCGCCGACGCCTGTGCTAGGTTTGCGCCGATCACGGCGATGGAGGCGCACGCATGATGACCCTTTTCGACACGCTGACGCAGGCCCAGAACGGCGAGGCGATGCGGGCCATGGCAGCCCGGTTCGGACTGAGCGAAGAGCAGACACAGTCAGCCATCGAGGCGCTGATGCCGGCCTTTTCGGCGGGGCTGAAGCGCAACGCGGCCGACCCGATGGGCGTGGCGAATTTCATGCAGGCGCTGTCGACAGGCCAGCACGCGCAATATTTCGAGGATATGGGGCGGGCGTTTCAGCCGCAGGGCGTGGCCGAAGGCAACGGCATTCTGGGCCATCTGTTCGGCTCCAAGGAGGTCAGCCGGGCCGTCGCCGCGCAGGCCGAGCAAGCGACCGGCATCGGCCAGGAGATCTTCAAGCAAATGCTGCCGGTGATCGCCTCGACGCTGATGGGCGGAATGTTCAAGCAGTCGACCGGACAGGTCAGCCAGGCGTCGGCGCCCGGCGGCAACTTCATGGCCGAGATGATGGAGCAGTTGATGCAGGCCGGCCGCCAACCGACCCGGCCGGCGCAGAACCCGATGGACAATCCGTTCGGGCAGGCGCTCAACCAGATGTTCGGCGGCGGATCGGACGGCGGCGGAAAGCCGGCCGCCAATCCGATGGCCGACAATCCCTGGGGCAAGCTCTTCACCGAGATGATGGGTGGCGGGCAATCCGAACCGGAGCCGGAGCCGAAACCGCGCGGCAACGCCTATGAGGAATTGTTCGGACAGATGTTCGAGACCGGCCGGCAGACGCAGGATACCTATCAGAAGGGCATCGACGACATTTTCGACCAGTATCTGCGCGGCATGATCAAGCACCGCTGACGCATCACCGCCCGCGCATCACCAGCACATTGCCGACGATCACCAGCGCCAGACCGGCGATCGCCGTCAGCGTCCACTGATAGCCTTCAAGCGCGGTGGAAATGAGCAGCGCGAAGATCGGGAAGACGACCGTCGCATAGCCGGCGCGGCCGGAGCCGATGCGCCCGACCAGCGTCAGATAGGCGGCGAAGGCAATGACCGTCGACACGACGGCAAGGAAGATGAGCGACCACAGATAGTCGAACCGCGGGTCCCAGTTGAACGGCTTGCCCAGAACCAGCGCCAGAAACGCGCACCACAGCGCGCCATAGACCATGCCCCAGGCGTTGGCCGAGACCATCGGGATTTCGGCGCGGCGCCTGGACAGTTGCGCCGAGATCAGCGATCCGGCGGAAAAGCACAGCGTGCCTGCGATGCAAAGGGCAAGCCCGGTGGCGACCTGATCGTCAAAGCCGCCTTCGGTGATCTTTGGCCAGAACATCAGCGCGATGCCGGCAAAGCCGATGGCGCCGGCAAGCACCGTGCGGCGGCTCGGCAGGTCGCGCCAGACGAGCGCGGCCAGAAACACATTGGTCAGCGAGGCCAGCGAAAAGACGACCGACAGGAGCCCGCTGACCAGATAGGCCGAGCCGTAATAGAAGAGCAGGAAATTGGTCGAGAAGATGCACACGCCCATGGCGGCAAACCGGGCATGCTCGACCGCCGGGAACCGCATGCGCCGGCCGCTGAGCACGGCCCAGGCGATCATGATCGCGCTGGCGATGACGAACCGGTAGACGAGCGACACTTCATTGGCGACCACGCCCGGCTGCAGCGACAGCGCGTACCAGGAGAACGACCAGGCCATCACCGTGAGCGCATAAAGACCGTAATCGGCCGGCGCGAAGGCGCCTTGCGCGGGCGGAGCGGACGCCCCTTGCGGTGCGGGAGGTTGGACGGACATGACGGTTTCCTCGACCGGCCCCTACGCCGCGCCGGCGCGGTTGGCAAGCCGACACTTGACCGTCCGCCGGGCGGCTGAAACAAACCGGCATGGCCAGCGATCAGCCCCTTGCCGATTCCCCCACTTCGAACGTCGCCGAATATTCGGTCGGCGAGATCAGCCAGGCGGTCAAGCGCACGGTCGAGGATGCATTCGGGCGGGTGCGCGTGCGCGGCGAGGTGTCGGGCTATCGCGGGCCGCATTCGTCGGGCCACGCCTACTTTCGCCTGAAGGACGACCGCGCGACGCTGGAAGCGGTGATCTGGCGCGGCACGTTTTCCAAGCTGGCCTTCAAGCCCGAAGAGGGTCTGGAGATCATCGCGACCGGCAAGCTGACCACCTATCCCGGCTCGTCGAAATACCAGATCGTGATCGATGCGATCGAGCCGGCGGGCGCCGGCGCGCTGATGGCGCTTCTGGAAGAACGGCGCAAGACGCTGGCAGCCGAAGGCCTGTTCGATGCCGCGCGCAAGCGCCCGCTACCCTTCATGCCGCGCGTCATCGGTGTCGTCACGTCGCCGACAGGCGCGGTCATTCGCGACATTCTTCACCGCATTGCCGACCGGTTCCCCTGCCAGGTTCTGGTCTGGCCGGTGCGGGTTCAGGGCGAAACATCGGCGCGGGAGGTCGCGGCGGCCATTGACGGCTTCAACGCGCTGGCGCCCGGCGGGCCGGTGCCGCGGCCGGATGTTCTGATCGTCGCGCGCGGCGGCGGCAGCCTTGAGGACCTTTGGGGCTTCAACGAGGAGAGCGTGGTGCGGGCCGCGGCCGGCTCAGCCATTCCGCTGATCTCGGCGGTCGGCCACGAGACCGATACGACTCTGATCGACCATGCCAGCGACAGGCGCGCACCGACGCCGACGGGCGCCGCCGAGATCGCGGTGCCGGTCCGGGCAGACCTTGAAGCCCATCTGGCGCAACTGGGCGCGCGTCTTGCCGGCACCGTCTCGCGGCTGGCCGACGACCGGCGGTCGCGCGTGCGGGCACTGGCACGCGGTCTGCCGCAGCCCGACCAGATCCTTGCCCTGCCCCGGCAGAGGCTCGACGGGCTCGACGGTCGGCTGCGATCCAGCCTCGATGCGCGGCTTGCCGACCGGCGCGGGCGGCTGGCGGCGCTGGGCGCCATGCTGGCGCCGGCACGGCTTTCCGAAAAGGTCGCGCGCGACCGGCAGAGCCTTGGCCGCTTGGCACGGGACCTGCCGCTCGGCCTGTCGCGCGGGCTCGATCTGCGCCGGCGTGAGCTGGCGCATCGCGCGGCGCGCCTGACCACGCGCACCAGCCAAAGGCTGCATGGCGACGGCGCACGGCGACTGTCGCAAGCGCTGGCACGGCTCGACCGCGCCGCGCACGACAAGGCCGGCGATGCGACCAGCCGCTTGGCAGAAGCGGCGCGGCTGCTCAAATCGCTGTCCTACCAAAGCGTTCTGGAGCGCGGCTATGCGCTGGTGCGCGATGCGGACGGCACGCCGGTGCGCGGATCGGCCGGCATTGCATCGGGCGACCGGCTGGCCATCCAGTTTGCCGGCGATGACCGGCTCGATGTGGTCGCCGACGGCAAGGCGCCAAAAAATCCCGGACGGCAAAAACCTGCGCGTCCGGCATCAAAAGGCGGCGGCCAGGGCAGCCTGTTCTAGGGTCAAAAAGCCGGAATTCTTCGGAACGTGGCGATGACGATGGGGCCACCCGGCAAGGGGTGGTACGAGCGGGTGGATTTGAACCACCGACCTCTGGAGCCACAATCCAGCGCTCTAACCAACTGAGCTACGCCCGCAAACCGTTGTTCGCGACGCTTCGCATAGTCCGCTGGCGGCGCTTTTGCAAGACTTGCCTTTGCCGTTCACGAGGTCCGCCAGCGCAAAGAAAAAGGCCGGGCGAACCCGGCCTTCGGACCCGTACTCGGTGATCGGGCCCGGGCCGGAGCGCCGCCGGGAGGAGGATGCGGCGATCCGGCAATTGTGAGGACGGTCAGTCCTGCTTGAGCGCGCCCATGGCCTTTTCGGCGACGGCCTTTGCAGGGGCAGTCATGTCCTCGCCGGCCTTCTGGTAAAGGCCCTGCATGGTCTTGGCGGTATCGACGGCCTTTTCGGCCTGTTCGCGCACGAAAGCGGTCTGCAGTTCGATCATCTCGGCGACCGACTTTACGCCGACCATCTTCTCGAGATGGCTGAACGTGCTCTCGGTGTTGGCGCGCATCGTGTCGATGGCGGCAAGCGAGATCTTCGAAGTGTTTTCCTGTGCCGAATGGATGCCGGCCTCGGCTTCCTTCTGCACATCGTCAAAGGCGGCTTTGGCCTTTTCCATGGCAGCTTTCGACTTGGCGAGGTTTTCCTCGGCCAGCGTACGGAACTGTTCCAGCATGTCGGCCGGATCGGGCATCTGGCCCATGGCGAATGCGTCCTGTGCGGCTTTGGCTGTCGGAGCTTCGGTTTTGGGAGCGGCGGCTTTGGCCATGTCATTGTCCTCCAAGGGTTGAATGAGACTGACCGCTATATAGCGTATCGAATTGTGCATTGCAACAATTTTGTGCGACGCACAATTACCGTTAACCAGAGATTCACTCCGTGACCGGGCCGCGCGGTTGAAAACTGGACGGGTGCCGCTCAATAAGACAATTAAGGTTTTGTTAAGAGCACGATGGCCGACGCGGCGAGCATGGCGGACGACATGACCAACTCACGAAACTGGGACGGGACATCCTTCATCGATATCGCGGTGCAGGACGGCGTCCGGGAGGCGATGCTGTCGGGCCAGGCCGCGCTGATCATCGACCGCAAGAGCGGCGCCCTGCGCTGGGCCAACGGCGCGGCGGCCGGGCTGTTCGGGCTGTCGGCGATCGGCAGCCGCGCGGGCGAAACGGCGCTTTCGCCGGCGGCGGAAACCGGCATGCGCCAGGTGCGCGCCGTGCTTGGCGCGCTGAAGGACGAGCCGCGCACGGCGCTGGTCCGCCTCCGCTCGGGCCTGACAAGCCGGCTGGTCAAGGCCCATGTGCGCCGCATCGATCTGTCCGGTGTTCGCGGCAAGCATGCGCTCGTGACGGCGCCGGCGCGCGATACCCAAATGAACGAGGCCGAATGTCTGGCGGTCGCCCTGACCGGCCTCGAGGACGAGGGCGCGGGGGCCGCCATCATCGACGGCGGCGGCCGGGTGCTCAGCGCCGGCTCTTCTTATGAGGCGCTTGGCGTGCCGGCGGACATCGCCCGCGATCTAGCAGCCCGGACACGCGGAGAAGCCGACCGCCTCGTCAAGCAGATCGTCGATCTGCCGGACACCGGATCGGCCGTTGCCGCCGGCGTCGGGCGTTTGGCCGACCTGCCCGAACGCTATCTGATCGTCGCACTGGCGCTTGCAGACCGACCTGCGGAACCGGCCTCGATCGCCGCCGCTGCGGCTGTGGACCTGATGCCCGGCGACTTCGCGACGGCGGCCGAAATGGATGTGGCGCCGGCCGCATCCCGGAACCCGGACGAGGACATATCCCCGGTCGCCACGGAAAGCGACGCGAGCGGTGTCGGCGCCGACGCCAACCGCAACACGCAAACCGCGGAAGAACCCGAAAGGGAGCCGGCGGAGATCGCCACCGTGCCCGCGCCGGCGCCCTTCACCGGACCGGACCTCGGATCGGGGCCGATACGTTTTGTCTGGAAGACCGATCGCGACGGCGTCTTCGTCGACGTGTCGCCCGAATTTTCCCGCGCCGTCGGACCCAATGCCGCAGAGCTTGCGGGACACGGGTTTGCCGATATCGTCGACCGGCTGGCGCTCGATCCGGCGGGCGAGATTGTCGCCGCCCTGTCGCGTCGCGACACCTGGTCGGGCAAGAGCGTGCTCTGGCCGGTCCAGGGCACCGACCAGCAGGTGCCGGTCGATCTGGCGGCCCTGCCCTATTACAGCCGCGAACGGGAATTCGAGGGCTATCGCGGTTTCGGCATTGCCCGCATGGCCGACATCGCCACCGATCCGGACGCGCGGGGACTGGCGCTGACCACCCCGCTCGGCGCTCCGGCCGAGACCGGTGCCGATTCGGCCGACGAGTACGTCGTGGACGATCAGGGTCCGGCCGCCGAAGCCGATGACGGCGCGGCGGAGACCGGCGAGGCTGCCGGCTCGGATGCGCCCGACCTGTCGCACGAACCGCCCGTGCTTGCAGTGGCGCCGGCCCACCCGATGCGCCGCAGGAGCGACACGATCGTCCCGTTCCCGGACGCCGCCGCCGAGGAGCGGAACAATGCTGCGCCCGGACCGCATCTGAGCGATGAGGAAGCCGAAGCCTTCCGCAAGATCGGACAAGCGCTCGGCCGGCGCGACGATGGCGTCGAGACCGGTACGTTCGATGGCCAGTCGAGTCCCGCGTCGACCGGAGACGATACGACATTGGCGGACGAACCGGGCGAAGAAACCGTTGAGGCCGAACATCACCCGGCTCTCGAGCCGGCCATCGAAACGGCTGCCGCCGAAGACCGCAAGGCCGAAGGCCATGATGACGAAGACGATCGCCACGACATGCCCGACGATGTCCTGGCGGTGGAAGCCGACGGCTCCACGCTTGAGGACGTGCCGTCTGGCGAGCCCTGGGCCGAAACCCCGGTCGACGGTGAGGCGCCCGTGCCGGCCACGGACGGGCTGGCGCCGGAGACGCTGGACGAATTGCCGTTGCCGCTCCTGATCGTGCGCAACGAGCAGGCGCTCTATACCAATGCCGCGTTCGCCGCCATGGCCGGCGATGCCGACACCGGGGCGTTGAACCAACGCGGCCTCGACATGCTGTTCGGCGGCAGCGCGCCGGACACCGAAGACGATGCCGGCGACCGCGCGATCACGCTGGTCGGCGCCGACGGGCAGCCGATCGCGGCCCGCGCGCATCTGCAGATCGTGCCCTGGATGGGCGCGCGGGCGCTGATGTTCGCGTTCGAACCGCGGCCGCTGGCCGACGACACGACGAGCGCGTCCGCCGCGTTGCCGGGCGATACCGCAACAGGCGGCGCGCCCGAGCCGTCCGACGTCGCCTCGCGGCCCGACCCCCATGCCGTCAGCGCGGCCGAAGCCGCCGAACTGCGCGCGATCCTCGACACGGCCACCGACGGGGTGATCCTGATCGGCGCCGACAGCACGATCCGCTCGCTGAACGGGTCGGCATCGGCGCTGTTCGGCTATCCGAACGAGGAAATCGAGGGCAAGAGCTTTTCCTTCCTGTTCGCCCATGAAAGCCAGCGCGCGGCCATGGATTATCTGCACGGCCTGTCCAACAACGGCGTGGCAAGCGTTCTCAACGAGGGACGGGAAGTGCTCGGCCGCGAACGCAATGGCGGCTTTCTGCCGCTGTTCATGACGATCGGCCGGATGCCGGCGAGCAACGGCTTCTGCGCCGTGATCCGCGACATCACGCCCTGGAAGCAGACCGAGCAGGCGCTTCAGGACGCAAAGCGTCAGGCCGAGCAGGCGTCGAACACCAAGTCCGAGTTTCTGGCCAAGATCAGCCACGAGATCCGCACGCCGCTCAACGCAATCATCGGCTTTTCCGAACTGATGGCCGAGGAGCGGTTCGGGCCAATCGGCAATGAACGCTACCGGGACTATCTGGCCGACATCAACAAGTCCGGCCGGCACGTTCTGGACCTGGTCAACGATCTTCTCGACATCTCCAAGATCGAGGCAGGCAAGCAGGAGCTCGAATTCGAGAGCGTCGCGCTGAACGAGGCGATCGGCGAAGCCATCGCAATGGTTCAGCCGCAGGCCAACCGCAACCAGATCATCGTTCGCTCCAGCCTCGAGAGCACGGTGCCGCCGGTCGTCGCCGACCTGCGCTCGGTCAAGCAGATCGTCCTCAACCTTCTGTCGAACGCAATCCGCTTCACCCATGCGGGCGGACAGGTGATCGTTTCGACGAGCTACACCGGCAATGGCGCGGTGCTGCTGCGCATCCGCGACAGCGGCATCGGCATGTCGGAGAAGGAACTGGAAAGCGCGCTCAAGCCGTTCCAGCAGGTCACCGCGGTCGGCCAGCGGCGCGGCGACGGCACGGGGCTCGGCCTGCCGCTGACCAAGGCGCTGGTCGAGGCCAACCGCGCCGAATTCGGCATCAGTTCAGAACCGGGTCAGGGCACGCGGGTCGATATCATCTTCCCGCCCGCGCGCGTTCTGGCGAGCTGACACGGCGCAAGGTTCGCACACGTCCCCGCCAAAGAAAATGCCGGCCCCCTGCGGGAGCCGGCAGAATAAAGATCGCTGTGAGTGGAGGCGGCGCCAATGAGACCCGGTTTCCGACGGGCCAGTTGAAAGTGTTAACGCCAGCTTAAGCGCGAGGCCTTAACGGTTCCTTGCCGGGCATGGTTAACGAAGCGGCGCGCTGTTCCGTAACGACACCGTGGTTAACGTGGCGGCACCTGGCACAAGGTCACGGCAGCAATTCGGCCCGGTCGGCGAAATGCGCCAGCGCTTCGGGATTGGCGAGCGCTTCCTGGTTCTTGACCGGCCGGCCATGGACCACCTCGCGCACGGCCAGTTCGACGATCTTGCCCGATTTGGTGCGCGGAATGTCATCGACCGGCAGGACCACAGCCGGAACGTGGCGCGGCGAAGCGCCGGTGCGCACCTTGGCCTTGATCGCCTTGACTAGCTCGTCGGTGAAGGCTGCGCCTTCGGCAAGGCGCACAAACAGCACCACGCGCACATCATTGTCCCACTCCTGGCCGATGCAGATCGCCTCGAGCACTTCGGGCATCTGCTCGACCTGGTTGTAGATTTCGGCCGTACCGATCCGGACGCCGCCGGGATTGAGCGTCGCATCCGACCGGCCATGGATGATCAGGCCGCCATGACCGGTGATCTCGGCGAAATCGCCATGGCACCAGACATTGTCGAAGCGCTCGAAATAGGCGGCACGGTACTTTTCGCCGTCCGGGTCGTTCCAGAAGCCGACCGGCATTGAGGGGAACGGTTTGGTGCAGACCAGTTCGCCCTTTTCGCATTGGACCGGCTTGCCGTCATCGTCCCAGACCTCGACGGCCATGCCGAGCCCCGGCCCCTGGATTTCGCCGACATGAACCGGCTCGCCCGGAACGCCGAGCACGAAGCAGGAGACGATGTCGGTGCCGCCGGAAATCGAGGCGAGATGGACGTCCGACTTGATGCCGTCATAGACGAACTGGAAGCATTCCGGCGACAGCGGCGAGCCGGTGGACGAGATCACCCGCACCGTAGACAGATCGTGCGTGTCGATCGGCCGGAGGCCGGCCTTGCGCACCGCGTCGATATATTTCGCCGACGTTCCGAAGTAGGTCATCTTCTCGCGGTCGGCAAAATCGAACAGCACGTTGCCGTCGGGCGCAAAGGGCGAGCCGTCGAACAGCAGCAGCGTCGCCCGCGAGGCGAGCGCAGTCACCAGCCAATTCCACATCATCCAGCCGCAGGTGGTGAAATAGAAGACGCGGTCGCCGGCCTTGATGCCGGCATGGTAGCGATGCTCCTTGAGATGCTGCAGCAGCGTGCCGCCGGCGGAATGGACGATGCATTTGGGAATGCCGGTCGTGCCGGACGAATAGAGAATGTAGAGCGGATGGGAAAAGGGAAGCCGCTCGAACGCCACCGGGCGGGCTTCGAAGTCGGCAATGGCGGCGTCCAGCGAGCAGGCTTTCGGCGTTGCCTGGGCGGTCCGCTCCGCCGCGCCCAGATAATCGACGATGAGCACGTTCCTGACCGAGGGCAGGTGCGGCACGATCTCGGCCAGCTTGCCGCCAATGTCGTTGGGCTTGCCATTGTACCAATAGCCGTCGCAGGCGATGAACATGACCGGCTCGATCTGCGAAAACCGATCGAGCACGCCCTTGGGCCCGAAATCGGGCGAGCAGGACGACCAGATCGCGCCGATCGAACTGGCCGCCAACATGCCCGCGACCGCTTCGGGCATGTTCGGGATCATCGCCGCCACCCGGTCCCCGGCCTTCACGCCGTTTGCGACCATCGCCTGTTGCAGCCGCGAGACCAGCGCATGCAGATCGTCCCAGCTCAGCCGCCTTGTAACCTTGTCTTCGCCCTGGAAAACGATGGCTTCGCCCGGACCCGTTTGCCGCAGCAGGTTCTCCGCAAAATTCAGCTTCGCATCGGGGAAGAAATCCGCGCCCGGCATCCGGTCTCCATCGGCCAGCACGGTGGCGCCCTTGTCGCCGATGACGCCGGCATCGTCCCAGACCGCCGACCAGAACCCCTCGCGGTCGTCGACCGACCAGCGGTGCAACTCGGCATAGCCGCCGAACGAGCGGCCCGCGCGCTGCGACGCAAAATCCATGAACGCCCGCACCGCCGATGTCTCGACGGCTTTCGGCGATGGTGTCCAAAGGGGTGACGTCATGATGGACCAGCCTCCTCATCTGCCCGATGAACGGTCTGGTACGCGCTGATCCGATCCATCGCAAGCCGGGGCGCCGACGGGCGCGACCAAAGGCGTGAGGATATCGGACAAATCGGCCAAAACCGTTTGTCGGGCCAACGGGTTTTTTGGTAGAGCTTGCGCATGGGTAAGTCTGCGTTGCGTGCTGCCGCGATCCTTGCGGTTCTGGTGGTTGCCATGGCCGGCGCCGTCGCGCTGACCCTGCCTTGGCTGGTATCGACCGACATCGTGCGCTCGTCTATCGAGCGGGAACTGGGCAACTTTTTCGGCACCGACGCCGAACTGGGCGGCCAGACCCAGGTGAGGATTTTCCCGCGACCGCGCACCACACTCAGAGACGTGACGATCGCCGGGCCGGGCGGGCGGGCGGCGCCAATCCTGACCATCGAGAGCATGGAAGCCGATATCGGGCTGGTGGGGCTCGTTATGGGCCGTCCTGAATTCTCCAACTTCCGGCTGGTGCGGCCGCATCTGAGACTGCTGGTCGGGCAGGACGGCTCCATCGACTGGGCGGCACAGAGCGGACGTGCCGGCCGGCTGTTCCGCCGGGCTGCCGACGCCGAGGGGGAGATGTCCGGCGACGCACTGGGTTCGGTGGTGACTGCCCAGGGCCGCATCACGTTCGAAAGGGGCGACGGCACGGTGATCGAGGACATCACGGCCGTCGATGGACAGCTGAACTGGCCGCAGCTCGACGCGCCGCTGTCGCTGTCGGCGGAGGCGATCTGGCGCGGCACCGCCGGCAGTCTGGCCTTCAACACACAATCGCCGCGGGCCTTCTTCCTCAACACGCCGTCCGAGACCGGCCTGACCGTCCAATCCGACGCGGTGGCGCTCGATTTCGACGGCATGGCGAACGCCGGCGGCCCGCTTTTCGCCGACGGCGCGATGAGCTTCTCGACCCCTTCCCTGCAGACGCTGATGACGATCCTCGGCACGGATCTGACGCCCGGAAGGGCGCTCGGCGAAGTCGCCCTGTCCGGGCCCGTGCGGCTGGCGCAGCGCCGGATGCGATTCGAGGGGCTGGACATCACGGTGGATGGCAACAGCGGGTCGGGCGTGCTCGAAATCGGCATCAGCGCGCAACGCGCCGAGCCGGCCGTGACCGGCACGCTCGACTTCGCAACGCTCGACATCGCGGCATTCCTGTCGGCGTTCATCGATCTGCCGCAACTGGTTGGCGACGGCCCGCCCTCGATGGCCGATGTGGCGACCCAGATCAGCACCGATCTGCGCGTGTCGGCGGCCGCCGCCACGTTCGGGGACCTGTCGCTCGAAAACCTCGCCGCAACGGCCCAGGTCTCGGACGAGGTCGCGATCTTCGACATCGGCGATGCGCTGGCCTATGGCGGTCATGTGCAGGCACGTCTGGCATTGTCGTTTGCCGAGGGCGGACGGGCCGAGGTGATCCTGTCGGGGCAGGACGTCGATACGGCAGCCATTGGCGAAGCGTTCGCATTGCCCCGCGCGCTGCCGCGCGGGCGCGGCAATTTCTCGGTCACCATGCATGCGCCAACCACAGGTCCCATGCGGTCGGGCCGAACGCTTGACGGCATGGTGTCAGTCGAGGTCCGCAACGGCGTCATGCCCGGCTTCGGGTTCGGCCAGCTTTCCGGGCAGCGCGATATCGTCCGCTATTTTTCGCTCGATATGGAGGCCGGTGGCGAGACCTTTTCAAGTGCCCGGATCTATGGCGACATCGCCGAAGGGCTTTTGACGCTCAAGGACACACGCATCATATATCCCGACGGCGAGGTGCGGCTCGAAGGCATCGTCACGCTGAGCACCGGCAGCCTGGCGCTGACGGCGACCGCCGGCCCGGCAATCGCCGACGCCACAGCGGACAATGCCGGCGCGGAGCCTACGGCGCCGGCGGAGGACCTTGCCCGCTTCTTCGTCGGCGGTTCGTGGAACCGGCCGTTTGCGGCGCCGGTGCTGCTGCCAATGCCGGGCCGCGATGGTTAGCAACCGGTTAATCCGGCCGGCAAAGTTTTAGCCGATTTTTACCTTCCTGGCGGACAATCACCGCATCGATCGGGCAGTCCGGGGTTTGGCGTGTTCCAGTTTCTCGCCATCACATTGAAGATCAGCGTCGCGTCCATGCTGTTGGGCGCGGGACTTTCGGCGTTCGACATCACGGCAGCCGAGCTTCTGGCGCAGGCTGGCCTGACCCCCGAGCGGCTCAGCGAAATGCTGCAACAGGCCTGGGCCTGGGCGCTGCCGAACATGGTGCTGGGCTCGATCGTCATCGTGCCGCTGTGGTGCGTGAGCTATCTGCTGCGGCCGCCGCGCGGCTGACCTGCCCTCAGGCCGGGTCGGCCTGCCGCGCCCGCGCGTCGGCGACGGCACGCTGCTTGGTCACAAGCGTCGCGGTGATGACGCCGATCGCAACCAGCCCGATCAGGATCGTGCAGACGGCATTGATCTCAGGCGTGACGCCAAGGCGCACCTGCGAGTAGATTTTCATCGGCAGCGTCGTCGCGCCGGGTCCCGACGTGAACGACGCGATCACCAGATCGTCCAGCGACAGGGTGAAGGCCAGCATCCATCCGGACAGAACGGCCGGGAAGATCACCGGCAGCGTCACCTTCCAGAACGCCTCGAACGGCGTGCAGCCAAGGTCCTGCGCGGCCTCTTCCAGCGACATGTCGAAGCTGACGAGCCGCGACTGGACGACAACGGCGACGAAGCACAGCGAGAAGGTGATATGCGCCAGCGTCACCGTCCAAAAGCCGCGATCCATGTTGATCGAGACGAACAGCAGGAGCAGCGACAGGCCGGTGATCACCTCGGGCATGACGAGCGGCGCGTAAACCATGCCGGTGAACAGCGTCCGGCCGGTGAACCGCGTGTAGCGCACCAGCGCCAGCGCCGCCAGCGTGCCCAGAACGGTGGCGACGGTCGCCGAAACCAGTGCGACACGGATCGTCACCCAGGCCGCGTCCATAAGCCCCTGATTGTTGAACATCTCGACATACCAGCGGGTCGAGAAGCCGGCCCAGACGGTGACGAGACGGGATTCGTTGAAGGAATAGATCACCAGAAGGATGATCGGGATATAGAGGAACGCAAACCCCAGAACGACCGAGGAGACGTTGAACCATGTCCAGCGGCCGCTCATGAACCCGATTCCTGCGCACGGGCCTGGGCGTTCTGGAACAGCACGATCGGCACCACCAGCAGGATCAGAAGGATGATCGCTACCGCCGAGGCGACCGGCCAGTCGCGATTGTTGAAGAACTCCGTCCACAGCGTCTTGCCGATCATCAGCGTGTCCGACCCGCCAAGAAGATCGGGGATGACGAATTCGCCCACCGCCGGGATGAAGACCAGGAGGCAGCCCGCCAGAACGCCCGGCAGGGCGAGGCGTGCGGTGACCTTCCAGAACGCGCCGAGCGCGGTGCAGCCGAGGTCCTGCGCCGCCTCGATCAGCGAATAGTCCATCTTTTCCAGCGTCGCGTAGATCGGCAGCACCATGAAGGGCAGGTAGGAATACACGATGCCGATATAGACCGCCGTGTCGGTGTTCAGGATCGTCAGCGGCTCGCCGATCAGGCCAAAGCTCATCAGGAACTGGTTGAGCAGGCCCTCGGGTTTCAAAATGCCGATCCACGCATAGACGCGGATCAGGAAGGAGGTCCAGAACGGCAGGATGACCAGCATCAAGAGGATGGGCCGCAGTCCCTCCGACGCGCGCGCCATGCCATAGGCCAGCGGAAAGCCGATCAGCAGCGTGAGGAAAGTGGAGACCAGCGCGATGCGCAGGCTCGAGAAATAGGCGTTGCGGTAGAGCGCGTCCTCGGTCAGCCAGACATAGTTGGCGAACGACAGCTGCGACAGTGACTCGCGAAGAGCAGCCCAGCCCTCGCCAATGTCGAACTGCGGCGCATAGGGCGGCATTGCCAGAACCGGCTCGGACAGCGAGATGCGAAAGACGATCAGGAAGGGCAGCAGGAACAGCGCCAGCAGCCATAGATAGGGGACCAGGATCGTCAGGCGGCGGAAGAGGTTCATGGATTGCGCCCCGCGATGGCCATGTCAGCGCTCCAGCAGAATGCCGCAGTCGGGGTCGAACGAGAGCCAGACCCGTTCCTCATAGCCGATCGGGTCTTCGACGGCGCGTTCGGAATTGAGCACGGTCGCCTTGATGACGGTGCCGGAATCGAGCCGCACGTTGAAGACGGTCAGTCCGCCCAGATAGGCGATGTCCCAGACCTCGCCTTCGACGGCGTTGTGGTCCTGCTCGGGTTTGGTCCGGGTGACATCGACCTTTTCGGGGCGGATGGCGAACCAGGCATGCTTGCCCGCATCCACGCCCGGCTGAGCCACGGCGCGGATGCCGAACCCGTCGCTGGCTTCCATCTCGGCCAGCCCGTTCTCGACGGCCGTGATCCGGCCCTCGAACATGTTCACATTGCCGATGAAGTCGGCGACATAGCGCGTGTTGGGCGCCTCGTAGATCTCGCCGGGCGTGCCGGTCTGCACGACGGTGCCCGCATCCATGACGGCGATGCGGTCGGACATGGTCATCGCCTCCTCCTGATCGTGGGTGACGATCATGAAGGTCAGGCCGAGCTGTTCCTGCAAGTCCATCAGCTCGAACTGGGTTTCCTCGCGCAGCTTCTTGTCGAGCGCGCCGAGCGGTTCGTCGAGCAGCAGAAGCTTGGGCCGCTTGGCGACCGAGCGGGCGAGCGCGACGCGCTGGCGCTGGCCGCCCGACAGTTGATGGGGCTTGCGCCGGGCGAACTGTTCGAGCTTGACCAGCTTGAGCATCTGGTCGACGCGCTCGGCGACGGCGCCCTTCTCCATGCCTTCCTGCCTCAGGCCGAAAGCGATGTTGTCGGCGACATTGAGGTGCGGGAACAGCGCGTAGGACTGGAACATCATGTTGACCGCGCGCTTGTGCGGCGGCACGCCCTTGAGCGGCTGGCCGTCAAGGAAAATATCGCCCGATGTCGGCTCCTCGAAGCCGGCGAGCATGCGCAGCAGCGTGGTCTTGCCGCATCCTGAAGGGCCGAGCAGCGAGAAGAACTCGCGCTCATAGACGTGCATGGTCAGGTTGTCGACCGCGGTGAAATCGCCGAACCGTTTGGTGACGTTCTCAAAAGCGATATAGGGCTTGGCCGAGCCGTCGGCCCATGGCGTGAACGATCGCCGCACATTGCCCAGTGACTTCATGAGACCCCCGAACGTCCCCGAAAACAAGAAACGCCCCGGGCCGTGCGGTCCGGGGCGGTGCGTTTACTGGCCGGTGGTGATCCGCGTCCAGGTCCGCGTCACGCTGCGCTGTTCGCGCTGCGTGTAGGGGGTGACGGTGTAGAGCCGTCCGATCGTCTCCTCATCGGGATAGATCGCCGGATCGCCGATCACGTCCTCGTTGAGGAACTCCTTGGAGGCGGCGTTGCCGTTGGCGAAATAGACATAGTTTGAGGCCTTCGCCATCACCTCCGGCCGCATCATGTAGTCGAGGAAGATGTGCGCCTGTTCGACATTTTCCGCGTCGGCCGGGATCGCCATGTTGTCGAACCACATCAGCGCGCCTTCCTTGGGAATGATGTAGTCGACGGTGACGCCCGCGTCGGCCTCTGCGGCCCGGTCTCGGGCCTGCAGCACGTCGCCCGACCAGCCGACCGCCAGGCAGATGTCGCCATTGGCGAGCGCGTTGATGTACTCAGACGAGTGGAACTTGCGCACGAACGGGCGGATCGGCGCATAGACTTCCTCGGCCTTGGCGAGGCTGTCCGCATCCCGGCCATCGGGGTCCATGCCGGCATAGTTGAGCGCGGCCGGGATCATCTCGGCCGGCGCGTTCAGGTGGAAGATGCCGCAATCCTCCAGCTTGGCGGCCGTCTCCGGATTGAACACCAGATCCCAACTGCCAAGATCCGCATCCTCTCCGAGGCGCTCCTTGACCATGTCGACATTGATGCCGATGCCGGTCGTTCCCCACATATAGTTGACCGCATATTCGTTGCCCGGATCGTAGAGCTCCAGCCGCTCGGCGATCGCCGGGTCCATGTTGGCCAGGTTCGGCAGCGCATCCTTGTTCAACGGCTGGAACACGCCGGCCTTGATCTGGTTGGCCAGAAACGTGCCGGTCGGCACGACGATGTCGTAGCCGGTGGAACCAGCCAGCAGACGCGTCTCCAGGATCTCGTTGGAATCGAACACGTCGTATACCACCTCGATGCCGGTCTCGGCGGTGAACTCCTCAAGGATCGATTCATCGATGTAATCGGACCAGTTGAAGACCTTCACCACGCCCTCGGCATGGGCCGCTCCGGCGGCCAGAACCGCTGCGGTCGTCGTGAACAGAAGGGTTTTGAAACGCATGTCAGAAGCTCTCCCGGTTTTTGTTGTGAGCGCCTTGGGGCGGCCCCGCCGCCCGCAATTGCGGGAAAGCCTATTTGTGTTTTCGGCGGCGCACAAGCGGTTTCGCGCAGCGCGCCGCCCGGCGGCCTACAGATAGGTCGAGCGCTCGAGCGGCGTGATTTCCGACCAGAAAGCAAGGATTTCCGCGCGCTTGAGATCGCGGTAGATGCGCGCCAGTTCCGGCCCCAGCGCGCGCTCGCAAAAGGCGCCCGCAGAGGTCAGCTGCAGCGCTTCATCCATGTCGTCGGGAAGCTGTTCGCCGACGGTCGTGTCGTAGGCGTTGCCCTCGATCGGCGGCGGCGGCGTCTCCATCTTTTCGAGACCGTCCATCATCGCCTGCAAGACGGCGCACAGAAGAATGTAGGGGTTGGCGTCGGCGCCGGCGATGCGGTGCTCGACGCGGCGGTTCTCTTCACCCGATGCTGGAATACGCAGCGCCACCGAACGGTTGTTGTGGGCCCATACGGCGCGGGTCGGCGCATAGGAGCCGGGCTGGATGCGGCGGAAGCCGTTCCAGGAGTTGATGAACAGCAAGAGTGCCTGCGGCATGGTGCGGATCAGTTCGGCGACCACGCCGCCCAGCCGCGCTTCGCCGTCGCCGCCGGCAAAGATGTTGTTGCCGGCCTCGTCGACGATGGACGCGTGCACATGCATGCCGTTGCCCGCATATTCGATGAAGGGCTTGGCCATGAAGGTCGCCTGCAGAGCGTGCCGTCGCGCGCAGCCGGTGATGATCCGCCGCAGCATGATGACATCGTCGGCGGCGCGCAGCGGGTCGCGGCGGTGTTTGAGATTGACCTCGAACTGGCCGGGCGCGGCCTCCTTGACAATCGTATCGATCGGCACCGACTGGGTGTGCGCGGCGGCGCGTATGTCCTCGAACAAGGGGCCATATTCGGCCAGATCGTCGAGCCCGTACATGCGCTGCCTGTCGGGGCCGACCGCTGTGCCGACGGGCTGGGGCGTCCGTTCGCCGGAAGCACCATCGGCCTCCAGCAGATAGAATTCCAGTTCGAAGGCAACGACCGGATGCAGCCCGCGCTTGGCGAGCGCCTTGGTGATGCGGCCGAGCGCGTTGCGGCAGTCAAAGCGCAGCGGCGTCCCGTCCGGCGCATGGCCGCGCAGCAGCACCTGCGCCGTCTTGCGCTTGGCCCAGGGCACGATGGTCAGCGAGCCGGGCACCGCGCGGAAGAAACCGTCCAGATCGCCGCTTTCGATGTGAAGCCCGGTCTCGACGACCTCGCGCCCCCAGACATCGAGTCCATGGATCGACATGGGAAAGTTGACGCCGTCGCCGAAAGCCTTTTTGAGCGCGTCGGCCGGCGCCCATTTGCCGCGCAGCACGCCGTTCGGATCGACGATCAGGAATTCGACCGCCTGAAGGTCCGGGTGCGCGGCCATGAAGGCGTCATACTCGGCCATATCCGGGTCGCCGGTCGCCCCCGGCTCCACCTCGGCATCCTTCAACGGCACGGTCATGCTTGCTCGATCCTTGTGTTCGACGCGCGAACTTGAAGGCCGGCACGGCGCACTTGTCAATCGCCCCGGCAGGGGTATTGCCGGACCGAAGAGCGGGACCGGCTTTGCCGGGCCGTCCGCCCCAAAGGCGGGCGACGGGTGCCAGCAGCGCACGAAGGCGATAGCCGAATGCGTTGCCATGGACCTCGTAGAAACGCTGTTCGGCGTCGCGGGATCGGGCCGGCGGGCGCGGTTTCTGAAAGATGGGCGGCGGCATGATGCCGGACATGAGAACACCTCTTGTTTTTCATGCCTCGAACCTAATACCATCTCCTTCGGTCAAAAATTCCATGAAACCGCAAAGCATTTTGCAAAAATGAAAAACCTGAACTGGGACGATGTGCGCATCTTCCTGCGCGTGGCGCAATCGGGCGGCCTGTCGGCTGCCTCGGCCTCCACAGGACTGAGTCCGGCAACGATCGGCCGCCGTGTGACGGCGCTCGAACAATGCGTCGGCCGCGTCCTGTTCGAACGGTCGCAGACCGGCTACCGGCTGACAGCCGACGGGCGCACGCTGATGGACAAGGCGCTCGCCATGGACGCCACCATGCAGCCGATCACGGACTGGTCGCGCACGAGCGGGCAAAAGCCCGGCGTTCGGATTTCCGCCGGCACATGGACCGCCGAACTGCTTGCCGCCGAATTCGCCGCGCTGTGGACGCCCGGCGATGCATTCCACGTCTGCTTCAAGACGACAGAGGCGCGGCTCGACATCGCCCATCGAGAAGCCGAGATCGCGCTGCGCAGCCAGTCGCCCGATGGCGGCAATCTGGCGGTGCGCAAGATCGCCGATGTGGCGTTCGCGCCCTACCGCGCGGCATCGCCCGCCGCCGACGCGACGCCCGGATGGGTGGCGATCGGCCGCGACGAGGCGCTGACCGCATCGGCGCACTGGCTGCTCGACCAGGAACGCGCCGAGATTGTTGCATGGGCCAACACGCCGCACACGCTGCGCGCGCTGATCCGCGCCGGCGCCGGACAGGGCGTGATGCCCTGCTTTGCCGGCGATCGCGATCCGCAGCTTGTGCGCGCCGGGCCGGTGATCGGCGACCTGGCGCAAGTGCAATATATGGTCACCCATGCCGACGACCGGCATCGCCCCGAGGTGCGCACGCTGATCCGCCGCATCACCGCGCTCGCCGAGGCGAACGCCGCGCTGTTTCGCGGCGAACGCCCGCAATGAGGCCGGTCAGACGAAGTCGAACACGCTGAAGCCGGTCGTCATGTCGTCGAGCCCGAGCGGCCTTGTGATGGGGGGTTCGGCCCGGGCGAGACACCCGGCGCGCTCGCAGACCCGGCAGGCCGGGCCGACAGGCAGCGTCTGCACCCGGCCCGGCGCATCGGGCACGCCGCGCAGCACCGCGCCATAGACGATGTCGTTGCGGTGGGCGATCTCGCAGCCCAGAAGGATCGCCGTGCGGCGCGGCCGTTCGTGAAAGGCGCCCTGCGGCCCTTCGAGCGTGCGGGCGATGATCAGGAACTCGACGCCGTCGGGCATCTGCACGGCTTCCACCAATATGTGGCCGGGCGTGTTGAACGCCTCGTGCACAGGCAGTTTGGGACACGAGCCGCCGAACCGCGCCTGCGGATAGCCGCGCGCGCCGGCGCGGCGGAAGCGGTTTCCGGCCTGGTCGATCTCGGCCATGAAGAAGGGCACGCCCGCCGCGCCGCGCCGCTGCAGCATGGTCAGCCGGTTGGCCGCCTGCTCGAACGACACGCCAAAGCGCGATTTGAGCACGTCGAGATCGTATTTCTCGCGCACCGCGACCTGCAGGAACCGCTCATAGGGCATCATCAGCGCGTGGGCGGCATAGCGCGCCATCTCGAAACGGGCGATGCGCCGCGCTTCGTTCGATGACAGTTTGAGATCCTCGATCTCGGCGGTGATCGCCACCTGCATGCGGATCAGCGCCGCCTCCATCGCCACTTCGCGCTTCTGGTCGAACGGCGAAAGGCGCTCGGAGATGAACAGCCGGTTGGAATGGCGGTCATAGCGGCGCTTCCAGTCGGGCATCGCCTCGACCGGCAGCACCTTGACCGAGATGCCGTGGTCGGCGCGCAGCCAGCCCGTCAGCGCGCCCATCAGATCATCGCCCGGCGAAAGAAGTTTCGTGAAGCTTTCGGCCTCCTCCTCCAGCCGCGCGAAATGGTTGGGCCGCTTTTCGAGCGTGTCGCGCACCTCGTCGGCAGGCAGGCGCGCCGAGGCGATGCGCGTCTCGCGGCCCTCCCGGGCGAGCATGTCGGACAGATCGCTCAGCCGCTCCTGGCTTTCGCGATAGGCGCGGTAGAGCTTGACGAGCGCCGCGGACACGTTGGGCGCGCCTTCCGAAATCTCGATCAGTTCCTGGTCGCCGGGCAGTTCGCCGGCGAGCAGCGGATCGGCGAACATTTCTTTCAGTTGCGGCAGCACCTGTTCGCCGCCGCCCTGCAATTCGTTGACATCGACCTTGTAGACCGAGGCGAGCTTCAACAGGAGCTGGACGGTGAGCGGGCGCTGGTTGCGTTCGATCAGGTTCAGATAGCTCGGCGAGATGCCAAGGTCTGCGGCCATTGCCGTCTGGGTCAGTTCGCGCTGGGTGCGGATGCGCCGGATGCGCGGTCCGGCGAAGATCTTCTGGTCGGCCATGGCAAGGCTCCTGCGGCTGGCCGATCCATGCCCGATTGTGACAGTTTTGACAAGTTGACGAAAGCAGGCCGTCAAAGCCGCTACCGGCTCACGCCAAAAACACGGCAGTGCGGCAGATGCCTGTTGTCTTTGCATTTTTGCGTGGCATTGTCGGCATCGGGCGCCACCGGCCTCGCCTTGTCACACGCCGGACCATGATGATCGGTCAATCGCTTTGACCGGTTTTTACCAGGTCCGGCGGATGGCAGGACGGGCGCGGGCCGCGTCCGGACCTGAACCAAAAGGGGCAGTGGACTTTTGTGCGCCGCCCCGCCAATAAGGGCCAAAGGCCACCACGCCACGGAGCATGACATGTCGAGCCACGAACGCCCCAAGACCCACGTCAAGGAACGCGCCGAAGAGCAGTCGTCCACCATGGGCGCCGACCAGCAGGCGGCGATCCGCATGCTGGCCAACGATCTGCACCGGCTCAACCAGTCCGTGATGAAGGCGGTGGAGGCGGGCGTGTCGGTGGAGCTGGTGCGCTCGGCCCGCCACCATGGCGGCGACGGGAACTGGGGCGACCTCTTGATCCCGGTCATCGTCACCCAGGGCAAGTAACGGGCACCGTGGCGGCGTACCCACCCGCCACCGCACGTCTCCGACTCGGGCGCAGCCCGCAAGCGCAACCCCGTCTCGCCGACTTTTGGGCGGCATGCGGAGGCGGAACAAGCGCCTCGGGTCAGGCGCAAGGCGCAAAGCTCCGGGCAGACTCGGGCGTCAGCCCGCGCAAGACCTTGCGCCAGCTTAGAGAGTCAGAACAACGGGCGGTTTGGCAGCCGCGATCCGAAGTTTTCTATGTGCGGTCGCCAAACCGCCCGTCCGGCGGGCTTGCGGTGATCGCCATTTTGGCGGGCTTCGAAAACCCTGTCCGCTTCGCTGGTCGCTCAGCGGGGTTCGAAGCCGGTTGCGGGGAACGCCCGCAGACCCGAGGCCAAAACCTTCATTCCGCACGCCTGCGCCCGGATCGGCTCTGCCGATCCGGAAAGCTTGCAGGCGATCCAAAAGTGGCGTTTGGAACCTTTCCGCAGCATCAAAGATGCTGCGGGGCCAAACGCGCTTGGGGGTTCATCACCCAGCCGGACACCTCTGCCCGGCCAGCCAGGCCGCCGTCCCTTTCCCCGGATGGTCGGTTCTAGACCCGAGGTTCCGCGAAAGGGATGGCCGGGAGTGTAGGGGCGGTAGCGGACGGTTGGATAAGTTTTCGCTGGGACCTCCCGCCTCGCCGTCATCCCTGTGCTTGTCACAGGGATCCATTCCAGAGGCTTCGACGGCTGATCGCTGAGCGAGAACCGGGCTGCGCGTCGGCAAAAGGCAGCGCACCTTGTCTCTGAGCGACGTCCCGTTCCGCCGACCGCGATTGGTTCGGTGAGCGGCCAGGCCCGCCTCTGCCAGCGAACCCGCGCAATCGGCCGGAATGGATCCCTGTGACAAGCACAGGGATGACGGAGGAACGCGCGGCCCGCTGCCCTTCTTTCGTCGGCATTCATGCCGGACCGCCGGCAACACCAAATGAACCGGGTCAGGCTAAAGGAAACTGCGCAAGGCAGAGCCCGAGGGGATGGTTGGATAAGTTTCTTGGCAATCCGCCACTGCGGCGTTTAGATCGACCGAACTGAATTGGGGGAGGTATTCTTGTCACTGAGCTGGAATGAAATCCGTCGGCGCGCGGTCGAATTCGCGGACGAATATTCGGATGCGACATACGAGAAAGGCGAAACCCAATCGTTCTACAACGACTTCTTCGATGTCTTCGGCATCAAGCGGAGGCAGGTTGCCCGTTATGAGGAACACGTCAAGAAGCTGTCGGGCGACACCGGATTTATCGATCTTTTCTGGCCGAAGACGCTTCTTGTGGAGCAAAAAAGCGCCGGGCGCGATCTGACCGCCGCGGCCGAACAGGCCGGTGAATATTTCGACGCGATCAGGGACGCAGACAAGCCCCGCTTCCAACTCGTCTGCGACTTCCAAAACTGGGAACTGCTCGACCGAGACACGCGCGAGACGTGGTCCTTCACGCTTTCAGAACTGGCAGACAACATTCAGGCCTTTGCCTTCATGATCGGGCGCGAAAAGCGCGTCTTCAAGGATCAGGACCCGGTCAACATCGACGCCGCCGAACTGATGGGCGCAATCCATGACGAGTTGGAGGCATCGGGCTACAAGGGCCACGATCTCGAAGTCTATCTGGTGCGGCTTCTGTTCATGCTGTTTGCCGACGACACCGGCATTTTCGAAACGCGCGACATGCTGCTCGATTTCATCGAGCATCGCACCAGTGAAGACGGGTCCGACCTCGGCTCGAAGATCAACGACCTTTTCCACGTGCTCAACACGCCCGGGGACCTGCGCTCGCCCCATATGGACGAAGACCTGGCGCGGTTCCCCTATGTCAATGGCGACCTGTTCTCCGAAAGCCTGCCGCCCGCCTGGTTCACGGCGGGGATGCGAGACACCTTCCTTGAGGCATGCCGCTTCAACTGGTCGAAAGTGTCGCCAGCCATTTTCGGTTCGCTGTTCCAGTCGGTGATGGACCCGGCCGAGCGGCGCAAGAAAGGCGCCCATTACACCACCGAAAAGAACATCATGAAGCTGATCGGACCGCTGTTTCTGGACGATCTGCGCGCCGAACTCGATCATCTCAAAGGGTTGAAAACCGGCAAGGCCGGGCGGCTCGAAGCCTTTCGGCGGCGGCTGGGCACACTGACTTTTCTCGATCCGGCCTGCGGTTGCGGCAACTTCCTGATCATCGCCTATCGCGAATTGCGCAAGCTGGAAATCGAGTGCCTCGCCGAACTGCGCGGTACCGACACCAAAGAGATGTTCGGAGAGACGATCTCCGAGGTCAATGTCGACCAGTTCTACGGCATCGAACTGGAGGAGTTTCCCGCCCGTATCGCGGAAGTCGCGATGTGGATGATTGACCACATCATGAATGTCGAATTTGGCGATGCCTTCGGGCTGATCCTGACCCGCATTCCGCTGACAAAGTCGCCCCATATTCTCAACGATGATGCGCTGGCGGTCGATTGGAACGACCTCCTACCGGCGCACCAATGCTCATACGTGATGGGCAACCCGCCGTTCATTGGGCAAAGCTATCAGTCCAAAGAGCAGCGCGAAGCGCTCCGGCAAATTGTTGACCCAAAAAGGAAGTCCGCTGGAGCGCTGGACTATGTAACCGGATGGTTTCTGAAGGCCGGAGCATACATCAATCAGGATGGCTGCAAAGCTGACATCGCCTTCGTTTCTACGAACTCGATCACCCAAGGGGAACAGGTCGCGCTTCTTTGGCCCATCCTCTTTGAACGATACAAGATGGAGATCGCCTTTGGCCATCGCACCTTCGAATGGGGCAGCGAAGCGCGCGGCAAGGCCCATGTGCATGTGGTCATCGTCGGGATCACCCGGCGGGACCGCGAGCGCGATGTCAAGCGACTGTTTTCTTACGAAAACATCAAAGCCGAGCCGGAAGAGACGCGCCATAGGGCACTGACGGCCTATCTTTTTGGAGTGACCGATGGGGCCAATCGGTATCGCGTGATCAAAGAGTTGCGAAATCAAATTTCTGATGCACCATCCGCGCGAATGGGTACCAAACCAGTTACCGGGCAGCATTACTTCTTTTCAGAAACCGAGAAGGCGCAATTCATAGCGCGAGAGGCGAATTCACGATTGCTATTTCGGCCTTTCCTTGGCGCACAGGAGTTTCTCTATTCCAAAAACCGGTGGATACTTCATTTAGCCAATGCGGAACCATCATTACTACGGACCATGCCGCTGGTAGCGGAACGAATCTCGCAAGTACGCGAGATGCGGGCGCGAAGCAGGAAAGCAGCGACGCGAAAGCTGGCCCAAACTCCGACGGAGTATGAAGTAAATACTGTGCCGAACTCACCCTATCTGGTAATTCCAGAGGTTAGTTCCGAAGCAAGGGACTACGTTCCTATTGGCTGGCTCCTTCCGCCCACAATCCCAAGCAATCTGATACATGTGATTCTTGATGTATCCACCTTTCACTTTGCAATCCTCACCTCCGCCATTCACATGGCGTGGCTTCGCAACATCGGTGGGCGGCTGAAAAGCGATTACCGCTACTCCATCGGCCTCGTCTACAACACCTTCCCCTGGCCGGAGATGGACGACGCGGCGCGGGAAAAAATCGGCGCGCTGGGCCAGGCCGTGCTGGATGCGCGGGACGAATTTCCCGACGCGACATTGGCCGATCTCTACCACCCGGACCTGATGCCGCCCGCCCTGCGCAAGGCCCATACCGCGCTCGACAGGGCCGTGGACCGCCTCTACCGCAAAACGCCCTTCGAAAGCGAGCGCGAGCGCGTCGAGCATTTGTTCGGCCTGTATGAGAAAATGGTCGCGCCCGTCGAGGCAGAGGCCAAGAAGACGCCGAAGCGGCGGAGGCGCAAGAAAAACGAGCCAGCCAACGAGGGCCTCAGGAATGGACCCCCGGGTCAAGCCCGGGGACTACGGACCGAGGAATAGCCCCTTTCCCTCCACCCCTTCCTGTGCCACCAAACTTGCATGAGTGGGGACATCACCAACGACCAGATCTTCCTGTTCGGCCTGTTCGGCATCCTGTTCGCCATGCTGGTCTGGGGGCGTGTGCGCTACGATCTGGTGGCGTTCGCCGCGCTTCTGATCGCCGTCCTGGCCGGCCATGTGGACCCGGACGCCGCGTTCGCCGGCTTCGGCCATCCCGCCGTCGTCATCATCGCGCTTGTGCTGATCGTCTCCCGCGGCCTCGTCAATTCCGGCGCGGTCGAACTGATCGCGCGCTTTGTCGTCGCGCCCGACCGGCCGCTGCCGGTCCATATCTCGGTGATGGCGGTGGCCGGCGCGGCGCTGTCGGCGGTGATCAACAATGTCGCCGCGCTGGCGCTTTTGATGACGCTCGACATGGATGTGGCGAAGAAGGCCAGGCGCGCCGTGTCGCTGACCCTGATGCCGCTGTCGTTCGCGACCATCCTTGGCGGCATGATCACGCTGATCGGCACGCCGCCCAACATCGTCATCGCGCAATACAGGCAGGACGCGCTGGGCGCGCCGTTTTCCATGTTCGATTTCACCCCCGTCGGGCTGATCGTCTCGGTGGTGGGCATCGCGTTCGTCGCGCTGGCCGGCTGGCGGCTGATCCCGGCGCGCGACGGCAGCCAGCCGCTCGACGAGGATGCCGGGCTCTATGTCGCCGAGGCGCGGGCGCGCGAGGGGTCGCGGGCGATCGGGCGGATGGTGCGCGACCTTTACCCGGACGCCGCCGACAAGGACGTGCAGATCATCGGCCTGGTGCGGCGGGGCAAAAGGCTGCCCGGCTTTGCGCGCACCGAGGAAATCCGCAAGGGCGATTTCCTGGTGCTGGAGGGCGATCCGAAATCGATCGAGGCGTTCATGGGCACGGCGGAGCTCGATTTCGCCGGCTCGGAGAAGCATGGCGGCCTGCGCGGCGCCAATCTGACGCTGATCGAGGCGATCGTGCCGGACACGGCGCGCATCGTGAACCGTTCGGCGCTGGACGTGCGGCTGCTCTACCGCCACGGGGTGACGCTGCTGGGTGTTTCGCGCGGCGGCAAGCGCTTCCGGGACCGGGTGCGCAAGCTGGCGATCCGGCCCGGCGACGTGCTGCTGCTGCTCGGCCCGGACGACCGGATGGACCAGACCGCCCAGTGGCTCGGCGTCTATCCGCTGGCCGACCGCAAGACCGCGCTGATCCAGCGGCGCAAGGCGGCCGCGGCGATCGGCGCGTTCGGCATCGCCATCGCGCTGGCGGTGACGGGCATCACCACGCTGGCCATCGGGCTCAGCGCCTGCGTTGTCGCCTATATCGCCATGGGGCTTCTGGGCGGCGAGGATTTCTACGCGATGATCGAGTGGAAGGTGATCGTGCTGCTCGCTTCGCTCATTCCATTGTCGGCGGCGCTGGAAGCCTCGGGCGGCACGGAGCTGATCGCCAACGCCATTGTCGGCGGCACCAATGGCTGGCCGGCCTGGGCGATCCTTCTGGTCCTGATGGTCGTCACCATGACGATGAGCGACTTTCTGAACAATGTGGCGACCGCGCTGATCGCCGCGCCGATCGGCGTGTCGGTGGCGGGCTCGCTGGGCGCCAATCCCGACCCGTTCCTGATGGGCGTTGCGGTGGCGGCCTCCTGCGCCTTTCTGACGCCGATCGGCCACAAGAACAACACCATCATCATGGGGCCGGGCGGCTACCAGTTCGGCGACTATTGGCGCATGGGGCTGGCGCTGGAGGTGATCGTCATCGCGGTGGCGGTGCCGGCGATTTTGTGGGTGTGGCCGTTGTAGGGAACGCCCCGTTTACGGTAGGTGCACATCAAACAGGCACAATCGGCGATAACAGACAGAAGGGCCGATCATCATGAGCACCGTCGCCATCACGGGAACCGGCGTCTTCACGCCGGAACTGGTCGTCACAAACGACGAACTGGTAGAAACCTTCAACGCCTGGGCCGACCGGCAGAACGAAGCCAATGCCGACGCCATCGCGGCCGGCGAAACGGAGCCGGTGCCGCATTCGTCGTCGGAGTTCATCGTCAAGGCGTCGGGCATCGAAAACCGGCATGTGCTGAACAAGTCCGGCATTCTCGACCCCGAGATCATGCACCCCGTCCTGCCCGAGCGCTCCGAGGACGAGCTCGGCGTGATGGCCGAGATGGCGCTCGACGCGGCTAAAAAGGCGCTGGCGCAGGCCGGCCGCACGCCCGCCGACATCGACGCGGTGATCTGCGCGGCGTCGAACCATGAGCGCGCCTATCCCGCGATCGCCATCGAAATTCAGGAGGCGCTCGGCATCGAGGGCTTTGCGTTCGACATGAACGTCGCCTGCTCGTCGGCCACCTTCGGCATGCAGGCCGCGCACGACATGATCGCCAACGGCTCGGCGCGGGCGATCCTCGTCGTCAATCCGGAGATCTGCTCGGCGCATCTGGAATGGCGCGACCGCGACTGCCACTTCATCTTCGGCGATGTGTGCACTGCCGCCGTCCTCGAACGCGCCGACGCCTCGGACGCGGCGGGCCGGTTCGAGATCGTCTCGACCCGCTGCAAGACGGTGTTCTCCAACAACATCCGCAACGACAATGGCTTTCTGCGGCGCACCCGGCCCGGCCATATGGAAGACCGGCGCGACATGCTCTTTCGGCAGGAGGGCCGCAAGGTGTTCAAGCAGGTGGTGCCGATGGTGGCCGAACTGATCACGCAGCATCTGGCCGACAACAATATCGCGCCCGACCGGATCGCGCGGCTCTGGCTGCACCAGGCCAACAAGGCGATGAACGATCTGATCGGCGCGAGGGTCCTGGGCCGGACGCCGGAGCCGGGCGAACAGCCCAACATCTTGCAGGAATACGCCAACACCTCGTCGGCGGGCTCGATCATCGCCTTTTCGCAGTACAATGACGATCTCAAGCCCGGTGACCTCGGCGTCATCTGCTCGTTCGGCGCCGGCTATTCGGCGGGCAGCGTGATCGTGCGGAAGGTGGGTTAGGGCGATTTGCGGCTTAAACAAAGGAAGGCCGGCCGCGAGATGTTCGGGCCGGCCTTTCTTCGTCGCTGCGTTCTCCGTCAGTCCCTGGGCTCGTCCATCAGGCCTTTGACGATGGCAAAGCAGGCCAGAAGCAGGACGATGGTGAACGGAAAGCCGGTCGAGACCGCCATCGCCTGAAGCGCGCCCAAGCCCCCGCCGAGCAGCAGCGCGATCGCCACCAGCCCCTCGAAGGTGCACCAGAACACGCGCTGCGGCAGCGGCGCATCGACCTTGCCGCCGGCGGTGATCGTGTCGATCACCAGCGAGCCGGAGTCCGACGAGGTGACGAAGAAGACGATCACCAGGACGATCGCGACGAACGAGGTGATCGCGGCCAGCGGATATTGCGACAGCATGACGAACAGCTTGAAGTCCTGCCCCGCATCGGCAACGCCGGTGAACCCGTCATTGACGATCTGGTGGATGGCGGTGCCGCCGAACGCGGTCATCCAGAGCACGCAGACGGCGGACGGGATCAGCAGCACGCAGATGATGAATTCGCGCACCGTGCGGCCGCGCGAGACGCGGGCGATGAACATGCCGACGAAAGGCGACCAGGAAATCCACCAGGCCCAGTAGAACGCCGTCCAGCCCTGGCTGAAATTGGCGTCCTCGCGGCCGAACGGCATCGACAGGGCCGGCAGGTCGGCCAGATAGACGCCCAGATTGGTGAAGAAGCCGGTGATGATCGCCAGCGTCGGGCCGACGATGATGACGAACGCCAGCAGCAGCATGGCCAGCACCATGTTGATCTCCGACAGGCGCTTGACGCCCGCATCGAGCCCGGCGACGACCGACATCAGGGCGATGGCGGTGATCGCCAGGATCAGGATCACCTGAAACGTGTCGGTGTTGGGAACGCCGTAAAGGTATTCGAGACCGGCGCTTGCCTGCGAGGCGCCGAAGCCGAGCGAGGTGGCAAGGCCGAACAGGGTGGCAAAGACGGCCAGCGTGTCGATGATGTGGCCGGTCCAGCCCCATACCCGGTCGCCGAAGATCGGGTAGAAGACCGAGCGGATCGTCAGCGGCAGGCCCTTGTTGTAGGAGAACAGCGCCAGCGACAGGGCGACGATCGCATAGATCGCCCAGGGGTGCAGGCCCCAATGGAAGATGGTGGCGGCCATGCCCAGATTGGCGGCCGCCTGTTCGTCGCCGACCGCGCCGCCCAGCGGCGCCCAGTCGGTGCGAACGCCATTGTCCATCGCGGTTCCGCCGAGCGACGAGGTGAAGTGCGAGATCGGTTCGGAGACGCCGAAATACATCAGGCCGATGCCCATGCCGGCGGCGAACAGCATGGCGAACCAGCCCATATAGGTGTAGTCGGGCGTCGCGTCGCGGCCGCCAAGGCGCACCTTGCCGAGCGGGGTGACGATCAACACCAGACACAGCAGCACGAAGACATTGGCTGCGGCCAGGAAGAACCAGTCCAGCGTCGAGGTCAGCCAGCCGCGCAGGCCGTTGAACAGCGGATCGACCTGGTTCTGGAAGGCCAGCGTCAGCACGACGAAGGCGACCACAGACAGGCCCGAAATCATGAAGACCGGATTGTGGATGTCGAGCCCGAACGGGCCGATCGAGGTCTCGATATTGTCCTGACCGACCTCATAGTCGGTCTCGATCAGATTGGCCGGCCCTTCGGGCTGCGGCAATCCGGTGGAGATTGTCTCGTCGCTCATGGCGCTGTGCTCCCGTTTGTTGTGTCGTTGTCGCTTCGGCCCGGCGCGTCAGCGCACCAGGAACACCGAAGCCTTGGCCTGTTTGGCCATGGCGCCGCCATGGGACGGCCAGAGGTGCCAGAAATGGTCGGCGATGCCGGGCGCGTGCGTGGCCATGACGACCAGATCGGCGCCGATGTCCTCGACGGCCTTTAGCAGGCTCCGGTCGAGATCCGCCGCCGGGTCGTGGCTGACAACGGCATGGGTTGCGACACCGATCCCCTGCGCCTTGGCCTGCTCGGCGGCGAAGGCGTCGAGGTGGGCCCGGTATTCGTCGGGGTTGTGGCCGCCCGGTCCCGGCGTGGCTGCCGTTACGCCGATATAGGTCACCTGTGCGTCATGAAGCCTTGCCAGATCGGCGGCGACCCCGATGGCCTTTTGAAGTTTGTCACAGTGTGCCAGGTCCACCGGCACGGCGATTTTCTTGTACACGATGCCCTCCCATTGTTGTGCGCCCGGCGCGCTCCCGGCACGCGGACATGTTGCTTTGATTGTGACCGTCTGCCGCAGGCAAGATCATTCCTGCTGCGCAATGGCGGGGCGCATTTGGGACAAATACGGTCGGTTTTTGCGCGTGGCCCCGTTGGCGCGCGTCTGCAGCGCGCCGGCCGTCCGGACACGGCAACGGGTCACGGACGGTGCCCAAGGGCTAACGCGTTCATGGTTGGCGCGCAACCGCGCGCTGCCGAAAAATTGGGCAACGTTCCGGCTTGCGCAGAAATTCCAATGGCCTAAGCTGGCTCAATGTCGGAGGGCGCAGCGAAACATTTCGACGAGATGACCGGCCGGGGCGATGGCGTCCGTTCACCCTATTTCGCCTACCGAAGCTGGTTCGAGGCGGAAGACCCCGCCCGCCTCAAGCACAAGGCGGCCGAGGCCGAGACCTTCTTCCGGCGCATGGGGATCACCTTCAATGTCTATGGCGAGGCGGACGCGACCGAAAGGCTGATCCCGTTCGACGTGGTGCCGCGCATCATTTCGGGCCGCGAATGGGCGCGGCTGTCCCGCGGCATCGAACAGCGCGTCACCGCCATCAACGCCTTTCTGCACGACATTTATCACCGTCAGGAGATCCTGCGCGCCGGCCGCATCCCGGTGGAACTGATCGCCGGCAATGACGCCTTCCTGCCGCAGATGATCGGCGTCAAGCCGCCCGGCGGCGTCTACACCCATATCGTCGGCACGGATCTGGTGCGCACGGGCGAGAACGATTTCTACGTGCTGGAGGACAATGCGCGCACGCCGTCGGGCGTTTCCTACATGCTGGAAAACCGCGAGACGATGCTGCACATGTTCCCCGAACTGTTCTCGTCGGTGGCGGTGCAGCCGGTCAGCACCTATCCGCGCAACCTGCGGCGTTCGCTCGCCGCCTGCGCGCCCGCCAACCGCGCCAACGGCACGCCGACGATCGCGGTGCTGACGCCGGGCATCCACAATTCGGCCTATTACGAGCATGCCTTTCTCGCCGACCAGATGGGCGCCGAACTTGTCGAAGGGCACGATCTGCGCGTCGTGGACGGGCGCGTGGCGATGCGTACGACGCGCGGCTACCAGCCGTTGGACGTGATCTACCGGCGCGTGGACGACGATTTCCTCGATCCGCTGAACTTCAACCCGTCCTCCATGCTCGGCGTACCGGGCATTCTGGATGTCTACCGGGCCGGCAACATCACGATCGCCAATGCGCCGGGCACGGGCATAGCCGACGACAAGGCGATCTATTCCTACATGCCCGAGATCGTCGAATTCTATACCGGCGAGAAGGCGATCCTGAAGAACGTGCCGACCTGGCGCTGTTCGGAAAAGGATGCGCTGGCCCATGTGCTCGACAATCTGGACAAGCTCGTCGTCAAGGAAGTGCACGGCTCGGGGGGCTACGGCATGCTGGTCGGGCCGGCGGCCTCGAAAAAGGAAATCGCCGCCTTCCGGAAGAAGCTGAAAGCGCGGCCCGGCAGCTATATCGCGCAGCCCACACTGTCGCTGTCGACCGTGCCGATCCTGACCAAGTCGGGACTGGCGCCGCGCCATGTCGATCTGCGGCCGTTCGTCCTGGTGTCGCCCAACGGCATCAAGATCACGCCCGGCGGACTGACGCGCGTTGCGCTCAAGAAGGGCTCGCTGGTGGTCAATTCGTCCCAGGGCGGCGGCACCAAGGACACATGGGTGCTCGATGAGTAGGGCGAGCGAGCGGGGTTTGCGGTACAAATGTGCGACGCAGCCTCGCCCTTCGGGGCTGCGGGCGCGCGATCACACTCCGTCAGGCGCAACCGGCCCTGAACCGGGCAAGCTCGCCGGAGGGCAGCGCTGATGCTCGGAAAGACGGCAGGCGGCATATTCTGGATGTTCCGCTATCTGGAGCGGTCCGAAAATACCGCGCGGCTGGTCGATGCCGGTTTCCGCATTGCGCTGACCCGGTCGGCGACGGCCGAAAAGGAATGGGAATCGGTGGTCGCAACGGCGGGCGTGCGCGATGCCTACATCGAGCGGCACGGCCAGTTCGAGGCCTCCGCCGTCATCGATTTCCTGCTCCGCGACCGCACCAACTCCTCAAGCGTCCTTTCCGTCATCGCCGAGGCGCGCGACAATGGCCGGATGGTGCGCACGGCGCTCACCCGCGAGGTCTGGGAAGCGGTCAACGAATGCTGGATGACGCTCAACGAGACCTTGTCGCGGCCGGTGCGCGACCGCGACCTGCCGTCCGTGCTCGCCGCCATCCGCCAGCAGAGCGCGCTGGTGCGCGGCGCGCTACACGGCACGATGCTGCGCAACGAGATTTTCGACTTCGCGCGGCTGGGCACCTTTCTCGAGCGGGCCGACAACACCGCCCGCATCCTCGACGTCAAATATTACGTGCTGCTGCCGTCCCTGTCGCTGGTCGGATCGACCATCGACAATGTGCAGTGGGAGACGATCCTGCGCTCGGTTTCGGCCTACCAGTCCTACCGGTGGGTGACGCGCGGCGATCCCAATCCGCGCGACATCGCCCACTTCCTCATTCTCGACCGGCGGCTGCCGCGAAGCCTCGCCTTCTGCTATGCCAAGATCAACGACAATCTGGGCTATCTGGAAACCGACCATGGCCATCGTCCGCATTCGCACACGATGGCCGACTCCTGCTTCCATCGCTTCCGGAACCGCTCGATCGACGAAGTCCTCGATGAGGGCCTGCATGAGTTCCTCAGCGGGTTCATCGCCGACAATCAGGCGCTCGGCGCGCAGATCGAACGCGATTACCGGTTTCATGAGTAAGCCATGCTGCTGACAATCTCACACACCACCCGCTACCAGTATGACCGGCCCGCCCGGCATGCCCTGCAGCAGGTTCGGCTGACGCCGAAGTCGCGCGCCGGCCAGTCGGTTCAGCAGTGGCAGACCGACATCACCGGCGGCAGCAAGCAGCTGTCCTATGACGACCAACACAACAACCATGTCGAACTGATCAGTTTCGATCTGGACGCGACCGAAGTGGTGATCCATTCGCACGGCACCGTGGAATCGACCAACGGCACGGGCATTGTCGGACCGCAGGGCGGGTTTGCGCCGCTGTGGTACTTCCGGCGGCAGACGGCGCTGACCAGGCCGGGCCCGGGCCTGCGCAAATTGATGCGCGATCTGGCGCAAGCGGGCGCGAGCGACGACGTGGCGAACATGCATGCGCTGATGAACGCCATCGAGGCGGCGGTGCGCTACGAGACCGGCGCCACGCATGCCGAAACCACCGCCGAAGAGGCGCTCGAAGCCGGCCATGGCGTGTGCCAGGATCATGCCCACATCTTCATCACGCTGGCGCGGATGCTCGGCTATCCGGCGCGCTATGTCTCGGGCTATCTGATGATGAACGACCGCGTCGAACAGGACGCGACCCACGCCTGGGCCGAGGCGCATATTGCCGGCCTTGGCTGGGTCGGCTTCGACGTCTCCAATGCGATTTCGCCGGACGAGCGCTACGTGCGGGTGGCGACGGGGCTCGACTATCGCGAGGCGGCGCCGATTTCGGGACTTCTTGTGGGCGCGGGAACCGAAGAGATGGCTGTCACGTTGCAGGTGCAGCAATGATCGCTGCGGCGGCAAGCGATTCGGAGAACCCCACATGACCTACTGCGTTGGCTTGACCCTGAACAAGGGGCTGGTCTTCATGTCCGACACGCGCACCAATGCGGGCGTCGACAACATCTCCGTCTTCAAGAAGATGTTCAACTGGCAGACGAAGGGCGACCGCGCCATCGTGATGATGACCGCCGGCAATCTCGCCACCACCCAGGCTGTCGTCAGCCTGCTGGACGAACGCTCCAAGGCGCCCGGCGACCGGCAGCCCACCATCCTTGAAGCGCCGTCCATGTTCCAGGTGGCGCGGATGGTCGCCGATACCTTGCGCGAAGTGGTGCAGAGCCATGCGCCTGCCGGCCAGAGCGCCGATGCGGCCTTCAACGCGACCATCATACTGGGCGGCCAGATCAAGGGATCCGACCCTCGCCTGTTCCTGATCTATCCGGAAGGCAATTTCGTCGAGGCGAGCGGCGACACGCCCTTCTTCCAGATCGGCGAGACCAAGTACGGCAAGCCGATCCTGGTGCGCGCCTACGATCCGGACATGAGCTTCGAGGATGCGGTCAAGCTGCTGCTGGTCTCGTTCGATTCCACCATCAAGGCGAACCTGTCGGTCGGCCTGCCGCTCGACTTCCAGATCTATGAGCGCGACGGTTTCGAACTGGGCGCCTGGGGGCGCATCGAACAGGGCGATGCCTATTACGCGACGATCTCCGAGGGCTGGAGCGAGGCGCTGCGCAGCGCCTTCCATTCGTTGCCGAACTTTTCGTTCGACGGTCGCTGAACTGGTCGCCAACCGGCGAAACCCGTTCACCATTCGGTAACGGTTTGGCTTGTCTTGCGTCCGCCGTTGCGATTAACTCCGCCCACGTGGCCCGGCCCCCCGGATTGATGGGCGCCGCCGGGCGGACGGAGTTCAACAGGGAGTTTACTCAGTCATGAAAAAAACGCTTCTCGCCGCAGCCAGCGTGCTGGCCCTGACGGCGGCCGCACAGGCCGAAGACGTCAAGATGGGCATCATTCTTGGCTTTACCGGTCCGATCGAATCGCTGACGCCCGACATGGCCGCCGGCGCGGAAATGGCCATCAGCGAGGCCAACGAATCCGGCCAGTTCCTGGGCGGCATGACGATCGAGCCCGTGCGCGCCGATTCCACCTGCGTGGACGCCGCCGCCGCCACCGCCGCGGCCGAGCGTCTGATCACCTCCGACGGCGTCGTCTCGATCATGGGTGCCGACTGCTCGGGCGTGACCACCGCTGTCGCCAACAATGCGGCCATCCCCAACGGTGTGGTGATGATCTCGCCGTCGGCCACCTCGCCGGCGCTGACAACCATCGAGGACAACGGCCTGTTCTTCCGCACCGCGCCGTCCGATGCGCGCCAGGGCGAAGTGCTCGCCGAAGTCGTGATGGGCAATGGCGTCGAATCGATCGCCATCACCTACACCAACAACGACTATGGCAAGGGTCTTGCGGATTCCTTCCAGTCGGCGTTCGAGGCGATGGGCGGAACGGTGACCATCACCGCGGCCCATGAAGACGGGCGCGGCGACTATTCGGCCGAAGTGGGCGCGCTGGCATCCGCCGGCGGCGACGCGCTTGCCGTGCTCGGCTATGTCGACCAGGGCGGCCGCGGCATCATGGAAGGCGCCATCGACACCGGCGCGTTCGAGACCTTCTATCTGGGCGACGGCATGATCGGCGATTCGCTGCTCGACCTGCCGGGGCTTGGCGACGTCACCACCATCGGCACCGCGCCGGGCGCCGAGGGCGATTTCGTCGACACGTTCAACGCCATGTTCGCCGAAGCCGTCGGCGACGGCTCGGGCCCGTACCGCGGCGAGAGCTATGACGCGGCCGCGCTGATGATCCTCGCCATGCAGAAGGCGGGCGAAGCCGACCGCGGCGCGATCGCCGGCAACATCATGGATCTGGCCAACGCGCCGGGCGAACCGATCGGCCCGGGCGAACTGGGCAAGGCGCTCGAGATGGTCGCCGCGGGCACCGACATCGACTATGTCGGGGCCACCAATGTCGAGTTCACCGATGTGGGCGAAGCCGCAGGCACCTACCGTGTGCTGCAGGTGACCGACGGCGCCTGGGAGACCCTCGAGGTCAAGTGACGCCAAGCGCCAGCGCCAACGGGCGCATCGAACGGAAAACCCCGGCCGGCGGCCGGGGTTTTTCTTTGCCTTCGGATGCTCCGCGGCCCGTCAGGACGGCTCACGGCGGATGAAGCTGTTGTAGACATATCCCTGCTGGCCCTCAAAGACCGCCGCGCACCAGTGCTCGCAGCCCTCTTCGGCGGCAAAGGCCGCATTGCCGGGAATGATCGCAAGGATGGCCGCGTCATTGTCGGGGCCCGCGCGCAGATTGACATGTTCACGCGCCCAGGCCGGCGGCAGATCAGCCGATGGAACCGGTTGGGCGGCGGCGGTTTCGGCCCGAGGCTGTGAAGCGCCCGCCGCCGGCTCGATCGCTTCCGTTCCGGTTTCCGGCGGCAGAACGAAGTTGGGGTCGCCTTGTGCGGCCAGCCGCTCTTCGATGGCGAGCACCTCGGCTTCGGTCGCCGCCACTTCGACGGGGCCGGACGGGGTCCCGGCGGGCAACGGCGCGCGGACGGGCGCCGCGCCGCCGGCAAAGGCGGCAAGGCCCGGATCGGGCCGGCCGGCGTCCGATGCGGGCGCGGCAATGCGCGGTGCGGTCTGCAATGTTCCGGCTGTGCCGCCGAACCGTGCGGCCAGCGGCGCATCGACGGCGGGCGCCGACGGCGTTTCAACCGAAGCGGTGCCCGTTTCGGCGATGCGGTCATCGGTCTGGATCGCCGTCTCGGTTGCGGCCGGTCGGGCAGGACGTTCGGCGGGGGCCGGCAAGGCCTCGGCAACGGGGACGGTCGCGGCATGCATGGTGCCGAGGTCGGGCTGGCGCGCAAGGCCCGCCGCGATGAGCATGGCGCCGGCGGCAAGACCGAGCCCGGCCAAACCGGTATAGAGCGCCGGCGGCGGCGGTGCCCAACTCTCGGTCACGACTGCGGCGCGGGCGCGATTTACGCGTGGCGGGTGGCCGCTCCAGTGGATCTTCGTTTGACGCATAATCTTACTCCCATAGCCCGGCGAGCAGATGCTGGCGGCCAAATCGCGCGAAAGTTCGGCGCCGGGAGCATGTGCCGATCACGTTTCGTGTCAGTCAGACGGCAATGGGCAGCCGCGCCGGTCGTGCGGCGCAGCCGGAATGCGCGGGGCGGCGAGACCGCGCCTGTCTATTTCGACCAGCGGGCAAGCGAAACGCAGACCGCGACCGTGGTTCTGCACGACGGACGCCGTGCAGCGGTCACGTTCGATGATCCGGCCAAGGCCGCGATGGTCGCCGATCGGCGCCAGTCGGTCGAATAGCGGCCGCGGCGCGATCCCCCATAGGCGGCCGAAGACGACCTCCCCCGGCTCCCTTTCGAGGCAAGCGCGACGCGGACCATGCCGGCCGAACGAACCGCCGCCCGTTGAACGGAAAAGATTCCATCGGGCCATCAAACGCTCTATCAGGCGGGCATGAAGCCGTTTCTCGTTCTGCAGCTGCGCCCGGAAACCGACGCCTCGGACGGCGAGTATGAGGCGCTGCTCGACAAGGGCGGCCTGGAGGCGGGCGCCACGCGCCGCATCCGCCTCGACCGCGATCCGATTCCGGCCGATCTCAGTCTGGACGATTATGCCGGCGTCATCGTCGGCGGCGGGCCGGGCTGCGTCAGCGATCCCGAGGACACCAAGTCCGACATGGACAAGCGGATCGAGGATGCGATCTTCGGGCTGATGCCGGAGATCACCGACCGGGACATACCCTATATGGGCTGCTGCTATGGCATCGGCATCCTCGCCGCGCATCTGGGCGCGCCCGTCGGCAAGGACCGTTATTCCGAGCCGATCAGCGCAGTCCAATGCCACGTCACCGAGCAGGGGCGGGCCGACGCGCTGCTGGACGGACTGCCCGACCGGTTCCTCGCCTTTGTCGGCCACAAGGAGGCGGTGCAGGCGCTGCCCGAGGGCTGCGCCCATCTTCTGGCGTCGGAGACCTGTCCGTTCCAGATGATCCGCCACAAGGACAATGTCTATGCGACGCAATTCCACCCCGAGGCCGATGGCGCGGTCTTCGAGCAGCGCATCCGCATCTACAAGGATCACGGCTATTTCGACCCGGCCGATGCCGCCCGGCTGATCGCGGACTGCCACGCACAGAGCGTCACGATGCCCGAACGGATCCTCAGGCGGTTCGTGGAACGCTACCGCTGACGGAGCTCAGGCCGGCACGGGGCGTTTGCGGGCGTCGGCGAGGATCAGCCCGTAAATGCTCACCGCGACGATGGTGAAGGCGGCGACCTGGTAGATGGCGACCGGCTCGCCCAGAAAGACGATGGCAAGCACCATGGTCAGCGCCGGCCACGGTACGGTGATCGAGCTGGCGAGCGACACGTCGATCGTCCGCACGGCGTGGAACCAGAGGATCAGTTCGACATAGTAGACAAGGCCCATCGCCAGCGCGAAGGCCTGGAACGGCAAATTGGCCAGATCGTCCAGCACGGTTCGCATGTCTGTCGTGGCCAGCACCACGATGCCGAGAAACACGCTGGAGACCAGAACGCGGATGAAGGTGATCTGCGCCGGCGTGATCGGCGTGCGTCCCAGCATCTCCTTGATGATCACATGGGCGACGCTCCACAGGAAAGGCACGGAGAGCGCGAACAGGAACCAGACCGAAAAGCCGTCGATCCGCCAGGTTCCGCCGGTTGCCAGATAGAACAGCGCGATGACGAGAAGACCGGTCAGGCCAAGCTCGAACACCGACTTGCGGCGGCCGAGGAACAGCGTCTCCCACAGGATCGCGAACAGCGGATAGGAGACGATGGCGATGGCCGCGCTGACCGCGCCGGCCTTTTCGACGGCCAGAACATAGGCATAGGTGGACAGGCCGAAAATGATGCCGGTCGAGACGAGGACCGTCAGGGTTCGCCGCCTTGTCGCCGGATCGACCGCGGCGCCGAAAATGCCCCTGTCCGGGGAAGCGATCCCCCGCAGCAGCAGCGGCAGCGAAAAGACCAGCTGCCAGACCGACAGGAAGAAGGCGAAGGACAGCGCGCTGAAACCGCCGGGCCGGCTGTTGGCGATGATCGGCATGACGCCCAGGATCACAAGGCAGATGCCGGCCAGCATGACGCCGGTTTTCGAACTGTTCGGTTGCGCGCGCACACCAGACCCCCAAAGCGTGACGAAGGATCCGACATCGCATCGGCGAGGCGCCGGCCTCAAGGCGAAACTTGTCTCCGTGACAATCGCGGCCTCAGGCGGCGAAATGGGCCTGCATCAGCTGTGCCGAACCTTTTCGGGCAGGATTCCCTTGGGCGAAAAGCGCAGGAAGAGGAGCAGCACGAAGCCCATCACGAAAAGCCGGAACGGCGCGGCAATGTCCTGCAGATGCTGGTAGAGCGGCGTCGACGGGTCCATGTCGCGGGTGATCTGTTCGATGATGAAGGCGCCGGCCGGTTCGGCCTGCACCCAGGTGAACCAGATGACGAAGCCGCCCAGCACCGCGCCCAGATTGTTGCCCGAGCCGCCGACGATCACCATCACCCAGATCAGGAAGGTGAAGCGCAGCGGATTGTAGGTGCCCGGCGTGAACTGGCCGTCGAGCGTCGTCATCATCGCACCGGCGATGCCGATGATCGCCGAACCCAGAATGAAGACCTGCAGGTGACGCCTGGTGATGTCCTTGCCCATCGCGGCGGCCGCTTCCTCATTGTCGCGGATGGCGCGCATCATGCGGCCCCAGGGCGAATTGAGCGCGCGCACGCACAGCGCCAGAAGGATCAGCAGCACGACGGTAAAGAGCCCGGCATAGGCGATCTTCACGAAGTGGCCCGAGCCCTCGACGATGAATTGCCGCAGCGCATCCTCGCGCGCCGCCGCGTCGGTGATCGCGGCCAGCTGGCCGGCATGGACCCGTTCGACCAGATCGGCGAACCAGGGCTGCTGCTGCAATTCGATCTCGTAGGGCACCGGACGCGGCAGGCCGGTGACGTTCTTGACGCCGCGCACCAGCCAGTCCTCGTTCTTGAGAACCGAGACAACGATTTCGGAGATGCCGAGCGTGGCGATGGCCAGATAGTCGGTCCTGAGACCCAGCGCGACCTTGCCGATGATCCAGGCAACGCCCGCGGCGACCACCCCGCCGGCGACCCAGGACAGGGTGATCGGCAGGCCGAGCCCGCCGATGAAGCCGGTGCGGGCGGGGTCGACCGCCTCCACCGCGCCGACCGCGGCGCCGAAGACGGGGCGCAGCGCGATATAGCCGGCGACGACCGTCACGAAGATCAGGAAGGACCGGAAACGCCCGCGCGTCGCCGAGGCGATGAAGGTGACCGTGGCGATGATCGCAACGACGATCAGGAACGACAGGGCCAGCCCGCGTCCTCCGGCGCCGAGCGCCTCCATGACGGGCGGGTGGGAGATGACGACGGCGGTGGCGCCGCCCAGCGCGGTAAAGCCCATCACGCCGGCATTGAACAGGCCGGCATAGCCCCATTGCAGGTTCAGCCCCATCGCCATGATCGCCGAGACCAGGCTCATGTTCAAAATGGTCAGGGCCACAGCGGGCGACTGGAACACGCCGGTGGCGATGAGTGCCAGACCCATGGCAGTGAAGGCCAGCGGCGCGCGCCAGGGCGACGCCTTGCGCTCGACGATCGCGTGGACCGGCTTGTCGGTATCGGCGGATGCGGCCTGTTCGGCGGTATCGACGGTCGTGTCGGTCATTTGATCACCGCCCCCCTGAAGATGCCGGTCGGCCGGATCAGCAAGACGACCACCAGAATGATGAACGAGACGGCGAATTTGTAGTCCGTGCCCAGAAACTGCAGCAGCCCCTCCGGCGCCCAGTTTTCGGGCACCAGATAGGTGACGAAGCGCTTGTAGGCATAGGTCATCATCACCTCGGAAAAGGCGACGATATAGCCGCCCACGACCGCGCCGATCGGCTGGCCGATGCCGCCCAGGATCGCCGCGGCGAAGATCGGTAGCAGGAGCTGGAAATAGGTGAACGGCTTGAAGCTCTTGTCCAGCCCGTAGAGCGCGCCGGCGATGGTGGCGAGCGCGGCGGCGATGATCCAGGTGATCAGCACGACGCGGTCGGGATTGATGCCCGACAGGAGCGCCAGATCCTCATTGTCCGAATAGGCGCGCATCGCCTTGCCGGTGCGCGAACGGCGCAAAAAGATGAACAGGGCCGTCACGGTGACGATGGCGACGATGACGGTCAGCGCCTGGGTCGTCTGGATCGCCAGCCCCTCGTCGAGGCCGGTCATCTCGCGGAACTCGCGCGCCCGGATGATGAAGCGCTCGCCGTCGGTGAAGCGGCGATCATCGGTTCCCATGATGAAGCGGACGATGGCCGACAGCATGAACATGACGCCGACCGAGGCGATGACGAGGACCACCGGCGCGGCGCGGCGCTTGCGGTAAAAGCCGAAAACCGAGCGGTCGATCAGGATCGCGGCGACGGCGGTGACGAGGATCGCCGGCACCAGCGCGATCAGGGCGGTCGGGACCGGTCCGGCGGTGATGCCCTGCGCCTGCAGCCCCCACGTTATCAGGATGACCATCGTCGTGCCGAACGCCATCAGGTCGCCATGGGCGAAATTGGCAAAGCGCAGAATGCCGAAGACCAGCGTCACGCCGAGCGCGCCGAGCGCGAGCTGGCTGCCATAGGCGAGCGCCGGCACGAACACGAAGTTGGTCATCAGGACCAGGGCATTGAGAATGTCGGTCGCGTCCGGCATGTCAGCCCCCCAGGAAGGATTTGCGCACTTCGGGATCGGCGAGCAGTTCCTCGCCCGTGCCTTCGCGCCAGTTGACGCCGCCGACCAGAACATAGCCGCGGTCCGCGATCTCCAGCGCCTGGCGTGCGTTCTGCTCCACCATCAGCACGGCAAGGCCGGTGTCGCGCACCTCGATGATCCGGTCGAACAGTTCGCCCATGACGATCGGCGAGACGCCGGCGGTCGGCTCGTCCAGCATCAGGACCGAGGGCCGCGTCATCAGCGCGCGCCCGACGGCGACCTGCTGGCGCTGGCCGCCCGACAGTTCGCCCGCGTTCTGGCGCCGCTTTTCCTTCAGGACCGGGAACAGGTCATAGACCTGGGCCATGGTCTGCCGGATGTCGTCGCGGCGCAGATAGGCGCCCATTTCGAGGTTTTCCTCGACGCTCATGCCGGTGAAGACATTGCTGGTCTGCGGCACGAAGGCGATGCCCTCGCCGACCCGTGCCTGCGGCGTCAGCGCGGTGATGTCCTTGTCGCCCAGCCGCACATGGCCCTTGCGGATCGTCAGCATGCCGAGCATCGCCTTCATGGCGGTCGACTTACCGGCGCCATTGGGTCCGACGATCACGGCGATCTCTCCCTTGTCTACACCGATCGTGCAGTCCTTGATGATGTCGGCGCCGCCATAGCCGCCCGTCATGCCCTGTCCGGTCAGATACATCAGGCGCCTTCCCCGGCCTGTTCGGCGTGTTTCCTGCGCGGCGCGTTCTTCAGGCCGCGACCGAGATAGGCCTCGATCACCTGTTCGTTGTTGCGCACCTCGTCTGCGGTTCCGCGCGCCAGAACCGAACCCTCGGCCATCACGATCACCGGGTCGCAGAGCCGGCCGATGAAATCCATGTCATGCTCGATCATGCAGAACGTGTAGCCGCGCTCGCGGTTGAGCCGGACGATGGCATCGCCGATCTCGTTGAGAAGCGTGCGGTTGACGCCGGCGCCGACCTCGTCGAGCAGCACGACCTTGGCATCGACCATCATGGTCCGGCCCAGTTCGACCAGCTTTTTCTGGCCGCCCGAGAGATTGCCCGCCAGTTCCTGTGTCAGATGGGTCAGGTTGAGGAAGTCGATCACCTCCATCGCCCGCTCGCGGATCGCCTTTTCCTGCTGGCGCACCTCGCCATAGGAGAACCAGGCGCTCAGCAGGCTTTCGCCGGCCTGGTCGCCGGGCACCATCATCAGGTTCTCGAGCACGGTGAGCGTCGAGAATTCATGGGCGATCTGGAAGGTGCGAAGCAGGCCCTTGGCGAACAGTTCGTGCGGCGGCAGGCCGGTCACATCCTCGCCGTCGAGCCGGATCGTGCCGCTTGTGGGCGCAATGTTGCCGGCGATGATGTTGAAGAGCGTCGTCTTGCCGGCGCCGTTCGGACCGATCAGCCCGGTGATCGACCCCTTGGCGATGTTCAGCGAGGCATCCTGCACCGCGTGCACGCCGCCGAACTGCTTGGAAACGGATTCAACTGTGATCATGCGGCGCTGCGCCAAGCCCTATTGTGCCAATTGTCCTCATTTGCGGACAATTCGCGCGCTTGTGCAATGGCTGAATGGGTGCGTCAAGCGGTTCCGGACACCGCAATCGTCAGCTTTCCGGACCGGTCCGGGCCGCCAGCGCCTCTTCGGCGGCGATCGCGCGCGCGTAGGCGGGCCGCGCCAGAACGCGCTCGAAATAGGCGGCGACCGGTTCGCTGCCGATCGGAAACTTGGCATACATCGCCCAGCGTCCGCAGTGGCCCAGGATCACGTCGACACAGGTGAAGCGGTCGCCCATCGCATAGTCGTTGTCGCCGAGGCGCCGGTGCAAGGTCTTGAGTTCACGCGCAAATTCCGCCGCGAGCCATGGGCCGACATCGAGCCTCATCTCCTTTGGAAGAAGCACGCGATGCTTGATCTTGGTCCACATCACGGCCTCGAACTCGGCCAGCGCGAAGAACAGCCAGCTTTCCATCTGCGCCCGTTCGCGCGCGTCGCGCGGCCCGAAACCGGCATCGCCATGCTTGTCGGCGAGATAGAGGCAGATCGCGGCGCTGTCGGTCAGGACGAAACCGTCGTCCACAAGCACAGGGCCCTTGTTGGACGGCGACAGGCCGACAAGGTCGCGCGTGCCGAGCCGGGCATGGACCAGTTCATAGGGCGCGCCGAGCTCTTCGAGCATCCAGGTCACCCGTGTCATGCGCGAGATCGGCGAACCGTGGACGCGGTAGCTCATCGGCCGAGCTCCACGGCGCGATCGCGCGCGGCTGTGACCGCCTCCCCGATCAGCGCGGCCAGCCCGCCCGGACGCATCAGAACGTCGAGCGCGGCCGCCGTGGTGCCGTTGGGACTGGTGACCTGTTCGCGCAGCGTGCCCGGATCGTCGGCGCTTTCGCGCGCATAGGCGGCGGCGCCGAAGACCGTCTGCATCGCCAGCCGGCCGGCGATCTCGTCCGGCAGCCCGACGGCGCGGCCGGCCTCGCTGAGCGCCTCGATCAGGTGAAACACATAGGCCGGGCCCGACCCCGAAACGGCGGTGACCGCATCCATCAGCGCCTCGTCAGCGATCTCGGTCACCTCGCCGCTCGCCGCCATCAATTGCCGCACGGCCGCCAGTTGCCGGTCGGTGACGGACGGGTTGGCGCACATCACCATCGCGCCGTGGCCGACCGCGGCGGGCGTGTTGGGCATGACGCGCACGACCGGCGCGCCGGGGGCGAGCGCATGTTCGAGCCGGTCGATCCGCACGCCGGCGGCGACCGAGACGAAAATGGTGTCGCGGCCGGGCTGGGCGTAGCGGCCGTAATCGGCAAGCACGTCGCCGATCACCTGCGGCTTGACCGCGACGATGACGATGGCCGGCGCAAGCGCGGCGGGCAGCGAGGCGGCGGTGGAATGCACATTGACGCCCTGGTCCTCGGCGCGTAGCCGCAGCGTGTCGAGCGGTTCCACCACATGGACATTGCCCGGCGGCAGCGTTCCGGTCCCGATCCAGCCGCGCAGCATGGCAAAGCCCATATTGCCGCATCCGACCAGAACGACGCTCATGTCCCTTGCAAGCACCCGGCATTCTCCCCTGTCGGTTCCGGCGCGCAAACCTGCAATGGCCCGCCGCCCATGGCAAGCCTTCAGAGCGGGATCGGGGCCCGATCAGGCGCGCAGCGGCAGCCGGGCGCTCAGGCGCAGGCCGGCCAGCGCGATCACCATGGTCAGCCAGATCGGATCGGCGCGGCGGAAGAAGAAGCTTTCGAGCGCGGAGACCAGAACGGCGAAGACGATGATCATGAAGAACAGGTCGGCCAGCGCACCGTCGCGCGCCCGTGCTCCGGCGCGCACATAGTCCGCCGCCGGTGCCAGAACGGTGAGCCAGACGGTGAGGAGCAGACCCGGCACACCGAGAAACAGCAGGATGTCGATGAAACCGTTGTGGCCGTGGACGATGCCGCGCGGGTCCCATGACCGGTCGAAGGGCTGTTCCGTCGAGCGCAGAAAATCATTGCCCCAGAAACCGTCCAGGCCGAACCCGGTCCAGGGCCTGGCGAAAAGATAGTCGCCGGCGAAATCCCAGATCGCGGTGCGGCCGGTGAAGGTCGTTGTCTCGTGAAAGCTGCGCAGGACCGCGTCGAAGGCCGGGACGAAGACCGAGCCCACGGTCAGCGCGTGGGTGGCAGCAATCGCGACGATCGCGGCCAAGGCGCCGATGAAGCGCAGGCCGAACAGCGCCGGCAGCAGCACCAGCGCCATGGTGACCGGCGCCAGCGCCAGCGCGGTCTTGGAGCCGGCATTGTAGGCGAAGAAGAAGGCGAGCACCGCGATCAGGCCGCCCGACAGCCATTGCCGGCGGCGCATCAGGAAGATGCCGCCGAAGCCGACCATGACCATGACCGGACCGGCGATGTTCTTGTGGGTGAAGACGCCGCGCCAGAGCCCGGCATGCTGGGCCTCGAGGTCGGCCGCCTGATGCATGGCGGCGCCCGGATCGAGCACGAGACCGGCGTAGCAAAGGGCAAGAAGCGCGAGCGAGACGGTCTTGAGCACGGTTTCGAAATCGCCGCGCGTTGCCGGCAGCAGCGGCAGGGCCGAGGCCATGCCGAGCGCGATCAGCGTAAAGGCGACCGAGCGCCATGCGCCCGCCACGTCCGTGGTGAAGGCGGATGCAGCGACGATGGCGGCCATGATCAGCCAGGGCACCGAGACAAAGCGCGCCAGAACGCGCCGGTCGACGAATGACAGGATGGCCGCCAGCGTCAGCGCGGCCATCGCCGAATAGCCGAGCTGGTTGATCAGCCGTCCCTGGTCGAAAAGGCTCGCTTCGTTGCGTCCGAACAGTCTGCCGGCGGCGAACGGGTCGAGCGAGATCCAGATCAGCGCGAGGACGGCCGTCGCCAGGAGAAGCCGCAGCGCGCCCGCGGTGACGCGGACGGGGCCGTGAAGGCCGTCAGTCCGTGGGGTTGCGATACTGCTCATTGGCATGGCCGAACTCGGATTGTATCCGGCCCAGCGCGATGTGCACCGGATAGAGCGCGTTGAGCACCGACCGGTTGCGCGCATAGCTCAGCGCGGCGCGCAGCGGCGACGCGCCGGCCAGCGCCAGGCTGTGGGCGATCGTCTTCGACCAGCCCAGCGGCTTGGACGCGTTCCGGCGATGGGCGATGCGTGCAGACAGCTGGCCGTTGCGCAGCGATCGCTTCTGGATCCAGTCCCATGTGACGCGGCTTTCGGGGATGGTCTCGTAGACCGGCGCTTCCTGGCACCAGCCGGTCTGGAAACCGGCGTCGCGCGCGCGGCGCAGAAAGTCCGCGTCGCCGCCGCCGGTGAAGTTGAACTGCAGGTCCATGAAGGGCTGGGGCTGGGTCTTCAGCACGTCGTTGCGGATCAGGAGATTGCCCGAGGAGAAGATGATCTTGACCGGACCGGTCTCGCCATAGTGCGGCGTGAAAACCGGATGGGTCTTCCACTTCTCCTCCGGATTGCCCTCGAAGACCGGCCATTGCGGGCCGCCGACCAGCGCGCAATCATACCGTTCGGATGTGGCGCACAGATTTTCGATCCAGTGCGGATCGGCGATCTCGTCATCGTCGATCACGCAGACATATTTGAGGTTGGGAAACTGTGTGAAGGCGGTGAACCAGCCGGCATTGTAGGCATGGCAATTGCCGCGGTCGTGGGCGACGATCAAGAGCCCCTGATAGGTGCCGTCCTCGAATTTCGGCGCCGCGACCGTCGCGCCCTCGCGCTTTTCGGCCTCGTTTTCCATGACGACGACCGCAAAGCGCCGTCCGGTCTCCTGCGCGGCGATGCTGTCGAGCGTGCGGATCAGATGTTCGGGGCGCCGGAAGGTCGGTATGGTGACCGCCACTTCGACGGCGTCCATGTCGAGGCCGGGGGAACGGGCGACATGCGAGATGTTGTTGGTAAGACTCTGGTTCATCGACCCGTCTGCTCCTTTGACCGACCCGCCCGCTTTGCCCTGCATAGATCACGAAAGGCGTTAAGGATGGGTTTCATGGATGCTGCCGTTAAGGCCGCTTTCAGACCTGCGGACGCATAAGGGCCGTGTTTGCAACCGGGCCGGATTTCGATGCACTTGGTATTCGCCTCTTCCCTTGTCCCGTGCGGCGCGCCCGAAAGCGGGTTCGAAATCGCCAACGCAGCCATCGTCGACGGCCTCGAGCGTGCCGGGGCGACGGTCAGCCACATCGGATTTCAATGGCCGGGCAGCAGTCTCAATGCGCCGGAACGGACCAGGAGCCTTGGCGAACTCGACGTCAAGACCGACAATGCCTCGACCCGCCAGAAACTGGCCTGGCTCGCCAGAGCGATGGCCGGCGGGCTGCCGTTCGCCTCGGCCAAGCTGCGCGTGCTTGGCGATGCGGCGTTTCGCGCCGCGCTGGACGAGATCGGGCCCTTTGACGCCGTCGTCATCAACGGCGTCGGCCTTGCCGGCGCTTTCGAAAAAGCGCTCACGGACCAGCCCTATCTTTATGTCGCGCACAATGTCGAACACCAAAGCGCGGCCGAAGCCGCCCGGCAGGCCAGCAGCCCGGTCGAACGGTTCATGTATCGCCGCGAGGCACGTCATCTGCGTGCGCTGGAAGAACGGCTCGTCGCCGGCGCGCGCCATGTCTGGACGCTGACGCAGGAGGACCGCGCAACCTTCGGGCTCGAAGGGTCGGAGCGCGCTTCGGTGCTGCCACTCGTCACGCCCCTTTCGGCGACGGCCATCCCCGCCGGCCAGCGGGTGCCCGCCTTCGATGCCGGCATGATCGGCACCTGGACATGGACACCCAATCGGATCGGGCTTGAATGGTTCCTGCAGGAGGTGATGCCGCATCTGCCCGAGCAGGTGACGATCGCCATCGCCGGGGCGCTGCCGGCCGGGTTCCCGCAACGCGACAAGCGCGTGACATTCCTTGGCCGGGTGGTCGATGCCAAGCAGTTCATACGCCAATGCCGGATCGTGACGCTGACCGCCCGCGCGGGCACCGGCGTCCAGCTCAAGACGATCGAAACGTTCGAGATGGGGCTGCCGGCCGTCGCGACGCCTTCCTCGCTGCGCGGCATCGCCGACGTGCCGGCGAATGTGCGCATCGCCGACACGGGGCGTGAATTCGGCAAGCTTCTGGCCGAGCAGATCGTCGGTCACCGCACCGGATCGGTGACCGATCTGGATGCGACCGCGTTCCGCGCCTCGCAGATCGCCGGCATGGACGCAGCAATCGCACAGGCTCTGAGCGCATTTCGGGCGGGCCATTAACGCAAACACAAGGCCGGAACGCTAGGATTGCCGCATTGCCGATGATCAGACCATAGCAGACTGGCCATGACCGACATTGCCGCGACCCATTTTGACGAGCCTGCCGGCCAGCGTGACATTCTGGGCGTTGCGGTGGCCGATCTCACCGAAAAAGGCGCGCTGGACATGGTCCATGCCGCCATCGATCGCAAGACCTATCGCCCGATCGCCTTCCTGAACGCCAACAACGCCAATATCGGGGTCGATGACGCGGCGTTTCGCGCCGTCCTCTCGCGGTTCACCGTGCTGTCGGACGGCGTCGGCGTCGATGTCGCCGCCAAGATGCTTTATGGCACGGCGTTCCGCGCCAATCTCAACGGCACCGATTTCGTGCCTGCCCTGTTCCGTTCGGCCAGGCGGCCGATGAAGGTCGGGCTTTTCGGCGCACGCCCCGGCGTCGCCGAACTGGCGGCCGGCCATTTCGGCACGGTCGATCCGCGGCACGATTACCGCGCGCTGGCCGATGGCTTCGTCGATGCGGCCGGCGAGGCCGCGCTTCTCGACACGCTGACGCAATGGAAGCCCGACATCCTTCTGGTCGCGCTCGGTGTGCCCCGGCAGGAAAAATGGATCGTCGAGCGGCTGACGCCGGATCATTGTACCGTTCCGATCGCCGTCGGCGCGCTGTTCGACCTGAGCACCGGCGAGGTGCCGCGTGCGCCGCTCTTGCTGCGGCGGGCGCGCAGCGAATGGGTCTATCGGCTGTGGCGGGAACCGCGCCGCCTCTGGCGCCGCTACATCGTCGGAAACCCGGTCTTTCTGGCCCGGGTTCTGCGCCAGCGGCTGACGGGGAGCCACCAGCCATGACCGCCAGGACGAACGCCATCGTCACGCCGTCCCATGCGCCTGACTTCGAGCGCTGCGCGATCCTGTGCGAGAGCATCGACCGTTATGTCACCGGCTATTCGATGCATTATCTTCTGGTCGATACGATCGACGCGCCGCTGTTCCGCAGGCTCGAAGGCCCGCGCCGGCGCATCATCACCGAGACCGAATTGCTGCCCTGGTGGCTCCGGCGCGTTCCAAGTCCCTTGTCGCCGGGCGGCCGGCGCGTCTGGATCGGCCCGCGCACGCTGCCGCTTGTCGGCTGGCACGTCCAGCAGATCAAGCGCATCGCCATAGCCGGCCTGATCGACGATGACGGCCTGCTCTATTGCGATTCCGACACCGCCTTCGTGCGCCCCTACGATCTCGCCGACATGTGGGTCGGCGACGCGATGCGCTTTTACCGTCACGACCATGGCGCGCGGGAGGTCCGCGCGGGCGACCATATGGACTGGGTCGCCCATGCCGCCGACGCGCTCGGCATCGAGAAGTCTCTCCGTCAGGACCATGACTATGTCGGCCAGTTCACCGCCTGGAAGCGCAGCACAATTCTGGGCATGTGCGCGCGGATGGAGCAGGTGCACGGCCGTCACTGGGTCGCGGTGATCGGCCGCAAGCGCAAATTCTCCGAATGCATGCTCTACGGCGCCTATGTCGATGGCGTTCTGGGCGGTGCGGGCCACCACGCGGTCGACCGGCTGACATGCGAAGTGCGCTGGTTCGACCCGGCACCGAGCGATGCCGAACTCGACGCCATGATCGCCGGCCTCAAGCCGGGCCAGGTCGGCATCGGCGTCCAGTCGTTCGTGGACATGGCGCCCGAGCGCTTCCGCGCCGCGGTGCTGGGCCGGCGGGCAGCAGCGGCCTGACCGGCTTCAGACGCGGATGGCGGGCTGCGCCAGGGCGCGGTAGGTCACGGCGAACGACACCGCGTAGAGCGCGGCGAAAACCCCGTTGAGCCAGACCAGCCATTGGCCGCCGGCCCAATCGTGCGACAGAAGCAGCACCATCAGGGCCGCCTTGAGCGTGCCGACCAGCGCATAGAGCACAAGGCGTGTCACCGTCTGGCCGCGCCCGTACAGAAGCTCGGCCTGATATTCGATCAGGTTGCGCAGCGCCGGTACGAACAGGACAGCGATGACGAGCGGCGCGGCCTGGGCGACATTGTCGCCCAATATGTCCGGCTTTACGGCGAAGACGGCGGCGATCGCCAGAAGGCCCAAGGTCGAGAGCAAGAAGATACCCGCTTCGAACAGGGCACGCATGGGCACACTTTCGAGCAGTTGCGGGCGGCGCATCAGGCGCTGGGTGAGCAGCGTGGAAAAGGTGCGCACCGGCATCGCCGTCAGATCGACCAGCCGCATCACGATCGCATAGAGCCCGGCGAGGGCCGGCCCGCCCAGGGCGAGGACGATCAGCTTGTCGAGTTCGTTCTGGAGATAGAACAGGATTTCCGCGCCGCTGACCGAAAGCGCGTCGCGGATGCGCCGCCCGAACAGGCGCAGCGGCAGGCGCAAACGCAGCCGGGGATAGAAGACGGCCACGGCAACCAGCGCCATCAGCGCCTGGGTGACGATGTAGATCTGCGCCCAGACCATCAGATCGGGCGCGGGCGACAGCGCCAGGGCAAGGGCTGCGGCGGCCTTGGCCGAAAAGCCGAACACGATGACGATCGACGCGCGGCCGAACCGTTCCAGCCCCTTGTTGACGATGATCACCACTTCCAGCGTCCGCCAGAACAGCACTTCCGTGCCGACGATCATCGCAAAGGCGGCCAGCGGCATCGCCCCGGCAAAAAGCGCCCCATGGACGCCGAGCCCGATCGCCGCGACCAGCGGCAATGACAGCAGCAACGCGGCGATGTAGCCGCCCGTATAGGCGCCGATCAGATGCGGCTTGACGGTCGCCACCCGGTAAAGCGGCGACACGAAGCCGAAGCCCGCCAGCCGCGACAGCACGATGCCGACCGACGAGGCGGTTGCGAACAGGCCGAACTCGGCGATCGTCAGCGTGTTGGCGACGAGATAGAAATAGAAAAGCTGGATGAAGACCCGCGCGCCGTCGCCGGAGAAGGCGCGCGCATATTTGCCCGCAAGCTGGGCTGCGGTCTCCGGTCCCCCATGCGCCATGACCGGGGGCGCGCTTTGTGCGATGGCCTGTTTCACGGGCACCAGCCTTGCAGAAAACCTTTAAGATCGGGTTGTGTGGCGGGGATCGGAACCCGACCGAACTGCCGTTGCGGAAAGCGGGCGCCGACCACGAAAATTAACCTTTTGTTTCCCATGGCTCTTTAGCCTGCGTTTACCAATTCGGCCGGAATGGGCTGGCCGAGTTTTTCGTCATGCGGGCACCATGTTCGATCCTCCCTCCACCGGCGCAAGGCGATCGCTCTTGATGCGCGCCCGCGCGGACGCGGCCGAACCGGCCGAACGCGCACGGGAACAGGACAACGCCCGGACGTTCCGTACGGCCCGCGCCCGCCGTGCCGCGCAAAGGCCGAACCCGCTGCTTTCGGCGCTGGCGGGCGAGCCGGAAAAGACGTCCCCGGACGCCGAGCCCGCCACAGAACATGGCGGCCGGCCGATTTCCGCCGACGACCGGCGAACGCGTCCGGCGAGGGCGACGGCCGCGACAGACGATCCGCGGCGCGAACCCGCCATGCCGACGCCGCAGACCGGCCAACCCATGGATGGCGCCTTGATCGACCCGATCGCGATGATCGCGACGATCTGGCGCTGGCGCTTCATCATCGCCGGCCTGACGCTTGCCGGCGCGGTGCTGGGCGTTCTGGTCGCCCTTGGCACACCGCAGCGCTACACCGCCTATTCGGAAGTGCTGATCGATCCGCGCGAGGTGCAGCTTGTCGGCCGCGACCTGGAGCGCGAGTTTCTGGCCAATGAAGCCGCCTTGGCCATCGTCGACAGCCGGCTGTCGCTGGTCTGGTCGCGCCCGGTGCTCGAGCGGGTGATCGAGACCACCAACCTCGATCAGGACCCTGAGTTCAATGGCGAAGCCGGCGGCGGTGTCGGATTGCGGGACGGCATCGGGGTGATCCTGTCGCTGTTCGGCGGCGAGACGCCGGTGGAGACCAGCAACCGCGAAACGCTGGAGAATCTGCGCGACGCGATCAGCATCAACCGTTCGACGCGGACCTTCGTCATCAATATCGGTGTGGAGGCCCGGTCGGCGCAAAAGGCCGCGATGCTGGCCAACGAGGTCACGCTTGCCTTCGTCGAGGAACAGGGTTCGATCAGCTCGGACAAGGCGCGCGACGCCAACGAGGCACTGACCGGCCGGCTGGACGAATTGCAGTCCAAGGTCGAGGCAGCCGAACGGCGCATTGAGCAGTACCGGCTCGAAAACGGGCTGATGACGACCCAGGGCCGGCTTCTGAGCGAGGACGAACTGGCGACCGCCAGCGCGCAACTCGCCGAAGCCCGCGCGCTGACGATCCGTGCGCGCACCAAGGCCGAACAGGCCAGCGAGATCAGCGTCGATGCAGCCATTTCCGGATCGGTGCCGGCGGACCTGATCACCTCGTCGCTGGAGACATTCCGCGCGCAGCATGCCGCGCTGCGCCAGAGCGCGGCGCAGTTGCAAAACCAGCTCGGCCCGCGCCATCCGCGCCTTGAAGCGGCCAATGCGGCGATCGAAGCAGCGCGCCAGGACATAGCCGGCGAACTGCAGCGCATCGTGCAAGGCGCGCAATCGGAACTGCGCCGCACCGTGCAGACAGAGCAGGAACTGGCCGCCCAGGTCGCCCGCGCCAAGGCGCAAGTGAGCGAGCAGACCGATGCGCTGGTGACGCTGCGCGATCTGCAGGCCGAGGCCGAAGCGGCGCGCGCGATCTACAATGGCGCGCTGCTGCGCGCCCGCGAGACCGGCGAGATCGGCGCGCTCGGCACCGTCAACGCCGCCGTGCTCGCCGAAGCCGAACCGCCGCGCAGCGCCTCGTCCATGTCGCGCAAGACGATCGCCGTCGCCTTTACCGTCGGTCTTTTCCTCCTCGGCCTCGGCCTTGCCGCCGCAGCGGGCCTGCGCAAGGCGCTGCGCCTCGACGCGTTGACCGTTGCCGATGGCAGCGCCCCCGACCCCGGTCCCGACGCCCCCGCCCCCACTCGCAACCGCACCAAGGA